GTGCTGAATCAGCACTTTTAAAACACTTTTAATGTAGAATATTTCAGAATGTATTGCTCAAAAGCAAAAGTTGCAATATAGTTTTTCTATCGTCTTTAGCTGTTGTATAAGAATATACAGGGAAATCGCAGATTTCTATGAACTTTATTTTTTTTTACTACCGACGACGTCATCAAACACGACATTCGCAGAACTCATTTTAAATGTAAAATATGGGCTGGCCCTATATCAAAATTTTGTGTTTCTAGGCATAGTAAGAATGTGAGAAAGTTTCATACTTGTATCATTCAAGTGAAGAATTTTGTCATTAACAGCTGTACTATTTTGTTTGTCTTGTGAAATGCGGAATTATATATTTAATATGCTTACTTTATGATGTCATGTCAGTTTCGTAGATGGAAACTAATGATGACCGTGGGCAGGCCAGACCAGGGTAAGACTGGGACGAATGTGTAGCGAGTATTTTGAAATGTGTAGCGAGCATTTTGAAATGTGTAGCGAGAATTTTGAAATGTGTAGTGAGTATTATGAAATGTGTAGTGAGTATTTTGAAATGTGTAGCGAGTATTTTGAAATGTGTAGTGAGTATTATGAAATGTGTAGTGAGTATTTTGAAATGTGTGTTGAGAATGTGTAGTGAGTATTATGAAATGTGTAGTGAGTATTTTGAAATGTGTAGTGAGTATTATAAAATGTGTAGTGAGTATTTTGAAATGTGTAGCAGAATTTTGAAATGTGTAGTGAGTATTATGAAATGTGAGTATTATGAAATGTGTAGTGAGTATTTTGAAATGTGTAGTGAGTATTTTGAAATGTGTAGTGAGTATTTTGAAATGTGTAGTGAGTATTTTGAAATGTGTAGCGAGTATTTTGAAATGTGTAGTGAGTATTTTGAAATGTGTAGTATGATTTTGAGTGATGTTTTCTTATTGTTTGTTATGTTGTCTAAATTATTTTTCTGGTGACCCGTACCGGCCACCGTACTGATGAGACAAGAAGTACGTTGACGTTTGCTTTGTTTTGCAAAAAAACTTTCTTTCTCGTCCCTTAATTTTTTATTTTAGTTTATTTGTTTATTATCTATAACACATTTCAATTGTAAAAGTTTCCCAAAATTTTTGTTTGAAAAAATACTTGTTGCTTTAGTAAAATTATAATTTCGTTAGTATTTAATAATTAAATGTCACATCACTTTTGTAAACCAGCTTTAGTGCTAAAAAGATCTACAGTGCTAAAAGAAAGTTCATCATTATTATCATATTTCCAGAGAAAAATGACTTTGCTTCGCGAGAGTGGCCTCAAAATCCCGAGGTCAGTAGCGAATGCCTATATTATTCCCCCTTATATCCACTTATAGTCGACTCCCGTGAAAAAAGTGGACAAATGGTTCGACACAATGATAGACATAAAAATAAACGCAGAGGTAGACATGAAGACAGACACAACGGTAAACATAAACAGAGGCGTAACTAGAACGTTAATTGGGGGTATATGCATATTCATACATAAGAATGCATATTCATACATTCCGTTGTGCCCTACTGATTTCTTTTGAAAGTGATTTGAATTTCAAAAGAAATCAGTAGGGCACAACTGAATATAAATATACACCTTTAATGAATGTTCTAGTTACGCCTGTGAAGATAAATGTAAACATAAAGATATAGACAAAATTGTAGACGCAAAGTTAGAAATAAAGATAGAAAAACAATATAGACAAAATGTAGACATAAAGGTGAACATAAAGGTAGACATAAGGGTAGAAAAATATGTAGACACAAAGGGAGACACAAAGGTAGACACAAAGGTAGACATAAGGGTAGAAAAAAATGTAAACACAAAGGTAGATACAAAGGTAGACATTAAGGTAGACACAAAGGTAAACATAAAGTTAGATATAAAGGTAGAAAATAAAGGTAGACATACAAAAAAATACATAAAGGTAGACATAAAGGCAGACATAAAGGTAGGCATAAAGACAGATATAAAGGTAGACACAAAGGTAGACAAAAACGAAGACATAAAGGTAAACGTAAAGGTAGACATAAAGGTAGACATAAAGGTACACATGAAGGTAGACATAAAGGTAAACATAAAGGTAGACATTAAAGTGCAGAAATAGTTAAATAAAAACGTAGACACGAAAGTAGATGCAAAAAAATAGGCAATAAGATTGACAAAAAGGTAGTACAAAGCTCGACAAATAGGTAAACAAAAAAGTAGACAAATCGGTAGACATAAATAAAGGAAGACAAAAAGGTGAATAAAAATCATGACAAAAAAATTTTTAACAAAAAAAAGACAAAATGGAGGACAAAAAGGTGTACAAAAGTGTGGAAAAAAACGTTGAAAAGAAGACTTTTTTGGAATGATGACGTTTTTAAATGTCGTCTCCTATGTAATAACGACATAAGTTAAAAATAATCAACTAGAAAATGGCAATTTTTAGCCGTGTAAAAGATCAAAATTTTCAAAACTTGCTCTTGATTTGGAACTACTTCTCCCAGCAACACCATTAGTTTTGAAATTCTTCTTATATCCCTGTATAAACATGATGAACGTCAAAATTCTTTCAAATCAGATCTTTTTCATGTTTACTCTAAGTCAAAGTGAAGTGAAGTTTCATAATTCATTCATTTGCCAGTAACGTTTCATTTCGCATACCTATTAATTACACGTCGACGCCTTTTGACCACACACAAACAATAGCAAAGGCAGCTGTCTCGACTCTTGATCTCTGCTGTCAGGTCTAAAAACAAGAGTGAAAAACCAAATATTTAGTGAATTTATCCAAATATAAGGAATTAACAAAAGCTGGAGTGATTTTGATTAGCATATGTGGTATATAGCTGGCTATTTTCTTCAAACCAAATTGAAGACAGATATGTTTTTTTTTCATTATTATTAGCTCCTATCATTATTATTTAAAAAAAGACTGATTTCATGGCTAAATAGTTTAATTATTTCGGTTTTTACGATATTACACAATTTAAAAGAGATCAAACAGTATATTACATTAAACGTTTGATAAAATTGTATGCAGCTATTTATTTAAAATTACTTTAGGCAAGAAGTGTTCTTTAAACGCTATTTTTTACAACAAAAATTGTGATATTTTGGTATTGTTATTAAGTCATGACTAAATACAAAAACTGTGTTAAAAAACTATGCTAAGACTAATAATGAAAAAATCAATCCTTCACAGTGACAAAATCAAAGTTGTCTAGGTCTACTGGAGTAAATGCCGTAGTAGTTATACAGTTAAAAAATTTCCTGTATTTTATTCATCTTGCTGAAAGTCATTTTAACTTAATCTTCAAGTCTGCTTCCATTTGGCTGTCAACCGCAGATGTTATGCTACGGTCATGCAGCACAAACTTGAACGACGTCCTTTTTTCAGTCGTTGTCTGTAGCTCAGCAGAAATCGACCACACTACATGGGAAAATTTTCTTTTCGAGCAAGACAAGACACAAGACAAGAGATTTTGGCGATGCTCGGGAAACGAATGGCAAGTTTAGCCACAGCTGCCATCATCTAAAAGCAGGTTTTAGAAACAGAAAGCACTTGAAAATTTACCATACATGTTAAATTTGTTACAGTTAAGTGTGGACTAAATGCAAGGCTTAGTTTTTTTAACGCTTCCAGACGATTCTTATCAGGACTTGCGTGTGTCCTGTGTGGGAAATACAAAGATGGGTCAACAGTGGTTTGACCTTTTCGATATGGCGATTATTCATACAACGATGGGAAAATATGACAAAAGCTAGAAAAAACGACAACATGAAATTTTGTGGCAGAACTTGTAGTCACAGTGCTCAAACATTTCGAAAGAAACATTGCACCGACTCAATCAACGTATTTGTGACCCTACATTCCTGTACGACACTCCTTTATAAATAGATCTTTTTGGAGTATGACGTACATATCATAACGTATGATAAGGTGGATCAAGTTCCTCCATAATGACTAAAGAACTTCAACATCGGAACTGAGTATATATTCTGTGCCAGAACTGAGCTGTATTTGGATACAAGTATAGGTTTTACTCAGCGAGTTAATATGGTATATTATATGTTTTTTTGCATGTATCGTGTCTCTCGTGTGGCGGGTCCGTGTTGCCTGGAGTGTTGACGGCCACATTCTTCTATTTGAACGGCCACACTCTTCTATCACATTTTCTTATTGAATCTTATATTGTTCTTTCTTGCAGTTTTTCTAGTAAAATACTTCCCTTATCCAAATCCCCCCAGCCCCATGAGTGCTATGCCATTGATTGCACTGATATATATACATAAAGACTGAATAACGCAAACTAATTCTGGTGCATAGATTATTTTGAAGCCAACTTTCGACAGCGGCGGCCATATTGGAGTATCCACCTCAAGTATAAGTTTTTTAATGATTTTCATCATATTTTGTGTTCTTTCCATTTTCTCTTTCAGAAATCATGCCAAATCTTATATTATAATATTTAAGCAACACGAGAAGATTTCTATAAGAAATTTAGCAAACATGAGTTTTTGCCCAAAGCCGTTCTATTGCAGTCTTGTCATCATTATAATTCTTTTTTGTCTCAAGAGTAAAACATATGATCCATAATAAATGCGAGAGTAGTATTTCGTTTGATAAAGCCTATATAAAACTGAAAAAGTGGATGGTCATATATAGCCGCCACCCAGCTTCAAGTCAGGCACTAAGTTGTGTTATCCAGTTTTATACATATCAGTGATTGATTGTTGCAACTGGCAAATCAATGATTGCCCTTTTTCACTGTGGGCGTTCATTTCTTGCATGAATACTTTCAGCGATAACGTTTTATTGCCCGGACATGACAACTAAAACTGCTCGAAGTCAAAAATAGAAAGTTTGCTTGCGTGACTGTAATGGCGGCCAATCTTTCAAAATATTTGCCAAAGGAATTTTGTTTACATTTTTGATAAGGAAATGCAGTTTAACCTTTCCCCTCAGAGTTCATCGCGTTGTCATAAGTTGTGATCCATTTATGTGCACGAAAACATTTACACAACACATCCCGACCGCATATTTGAAAAACGTTCGCTGTCCAAATCATCATGACGTACTTCCCTTCGTTATTTTCGGACAAATTCCAGGTAGAGAAGTATATTTGTTTGGACGAAATTTGTCGACAGAGGAAGGGAGAGTGCGCGTTTCACACAAAAGTCACGAAACTGCGTCTTTGTTTCTCACTTATAAAGACGAGCGCGGGAATTAGCTGTCATTCTATTCACGCTTTCATAAGTGATCAACTTCAAATCTACTTAAACGATCAGATCAACGTAAAAGAATGTTGCCTTTTACAAGATTATTGTTCTGTTAAAATAAACAACAAGAAGAAAAAATTTACGTATATTTTACAGCTGGGACAAGCGAATATTTGGTAAGTGTAAAATATCTTGAGACATTTTTTCTTTAACAGTTCGTCGTTGATTGTTGGCTTGTTGCGACAAACCTGTTGCGACAAGTTGATCGGCAAATTCGGCTGTTTGTTCAAAATGGCCTTTGTTCTGTCATGTACGGTTTGAAGTTACATTTTTAAGCTCTGTGGGCCCGATACCCAAACTGAGCAAAACCACGATAAACAAGTTACTGCCCGTCGTCAAGGTGAAAGAACAACTCTTTCTATTGTAGTTGAAAAATATTTTCTTCTTCAGTAATATTTAACAGATGTTAAATGCCCCATGGGAAATAAAATATTCATCAAAATTGCGCTTTATACGTTTGCACCCTTGGATTTTGCCATATATGGCGTTCAATCCCAGTCGTCCCGAGCGGCTCTTGCTAAAGTGTACATATTATAATTTTTATAGGTACATTTTGTTGACAACATAGTCTGTGGCACTTAGCTGTTAAAGCCTGCTATCAGACGATACTTGCTGGACTATAAAATAATCGAACTCGCGGATAATTTACGAAAAACGTTCGTTGACCGAATATATTTCAAGGAGTTTCATTGATACAACTCAGTTTTTATCAGAAAGAGCTAGAAGTATCCCAGACGGTAGACATAGATTGTTGTTCTTTGAGTTTCCATAGCCTGTTTTTGGTTATTACTGGATTTCGACGTTAATCCTCACGTTTTTTTGCTTATTGTCGCAGTGTTTTGAGGTTTGTCGCAATCATGAAAGTGCATATTGTTGCGAATTTCTCTAATTTGTCAGCTTAATGAACCCATGAACGGATTCTTAAGTGGACACCGCGATTAAATCAATCGTCTCATCCTGGATATCTACTCACGAGTATACTGTTTGCCGGAAATCAATTTAGGAAGATATATCGTTGTGTCGCTGGTATTCTTTCATTACATTCCATACACGCATTATCAAAGTCGAGCAATCTCGCTGGGTAACTGAACGGCATTCAAAGCACCTTTTTGTCAATTTAAATATTCACTGCAACGTTCGACAAGACTCGCGAAGGTGTAAAACATCTCGATATCGACGGTTCGTGCAACTGAAAGAGGATTCGTACCTCAGGCTATAATATACTATGTACAATTCAAGAAAACCTAAAGTGTTATTTCGACCGGCAAGATGGTTGATTTCATCGTTGCGCTACGGTTTTTTAATGCCGTTGGCTTGCGGTAAGCGCATGTTCGCAGAACAGAAAGATGAGGATTTTTCCACGCACATTCAGTGGGTGAACAGTAAAATAAAGGACCCAAATTATCACATAGAGTCATTGACAGACCTTGCTCAGGGAACACCTCTGCTCCAGCTTGTTGACAGTTGTATTAAAAACACGTACAAATCCAAACACGAATTTGTGTTTGGCGAATTGGACGATTCGCGTAGCCTCAGTTTGGTCAAAGTGAAGGTTGCCGTTACTTTGATGGAAGCGAAGGGGGTGATAGGAACTAACGAGTTCTCGCCCGAACTCATTGCGGCTGGCGACCTTGAACAGATTCGCGGGGTTGTTGTTAAACTTGCTTTATTTCCTACAACCCTACCGCGTTGTAAACACACTGCGCACGGCGCAACGAATGAAGACTGTAGCGACAATGTTATCACAGAGGTTTGGTGATGGAGTATGTTCTAAGATCACGATGAGCCGTATGCTCTGCTCAGGATCTGCTTTGGCCATCCTTGATTCCTTACAGTTTAGGGTGCTACAAAAATAGATGCATTAAGATTTTTTATGCATTATCTAGAATGGGAGTCTCTTCGTGCAAAGACCATGATCATGCGTATGTTGCCTGAAAGGTGTCTTTTAACTCGACGAAAAACTAAATGGGGACAACTTATTGCATTAGCAACAATGCTGCGAGGTTTTACAAAATTGTTTTTATGCTTTGATATTTATTCCAACGAGTGTAATTTTATATGTAAATAAATACGCATGCAGTGATAATCCAGAATATATTGCTTAAAGATTAGCAACAAGTTGAGATACCGATTTAAGCAAACATCATTTGCGTTTCTGGTCTTTTTGAACGTCTCATTTATTAGCATGCAAATTCGTTCTGAATTCCAAATATTTTCGTTTGGATTCGTAAATCACGTGGCAACGTAATAACACGGAAATAGAAACTAGTCGCGTTTCGCTTCGATTATTGTACTAATAATAAGGGAGTTGGAGAAACCACTTCCGCCCGAAGCAGTAAATGTGTCATTTTTGTCAATACCATATTAAATAATAAATTTATGACTTTCTGCTACACGTTTTTGCGTACATGAACTGACCGAGTAACTATCAATTTAAGGTTGCTCGAAATCCTTCATAACATTCTGGCTCTTCAAAGGAATTCAAAAGGAATTCAAAACAAGCCTCTGAGTTAAGTATCGAAACGAGCAGTTCACGATAGCAGTCCAGAATTGTATCTTGCCAAAATGAACGACGAGGTGGAAGAACAATTTCATCGTTTCGAGGAGAGAATTAGAACACTTAGTGAGCTCGATAAGAATGGGGTATCCGGTTTTGCCCGCGAATTTCAGGTATAAAGAACGAGTCCTAGACGGAAAGTAACAAATACCGATTTGAAATAGTTCCTTGTGTGTTGATTACGGTCGATAAATTTTTAGATTGGAATGTGCCACGCTATTTTATACGTTACTTATAAAATATCACGCGCTCTTTTCGAAATTTGTTACCGTTTGGCTATCCATATTTTATACCTAAGCTGAGAGAGTGCGAGTTGAATGATCTCGTGGTGAAATGTGTAATGGTTTGTCGAAGGGGGAGATGTTGTATACGAGGGGGAGGAGGGGGTTAAAGTCAATTATTATTTCTGTGGAATTTGCTGTAAGTTGATATCCATAATGGATGATGCAAGCTGGGTGGAGTTCCATTGCCATTATGCAGTAAGTTATGTAGTATTCTACGCCCATTGCAGATAGGACATTTCATAGTTTCAATTAGTCGTTTGCCTCAAAATACTGGATTGTGTTTTTGCCACTTTCTTGATTATCAGAAAAATCCTTATCAGGTGTTGTGCTTTAAATAATATATTGCAATTCCTCTTGATGGCTTGGGGAAAATGGATGGGAAAATGCTGATGAGCTTATCATACAAACAGAACTGAAAGAGACCATATCAATGATCTTTCTAATGAAATTCTTTTCAAAAGTTTATTCCCCTTCCCTCTTCATTTCATTTCAATTCAACTTATCCATCACTATAGTTACAAAAAGCATTGTGATGTCAAGGAAAAGGCTGTTTTCTTGTTAAACATTTCACAATGTGAATGTCAAGTGAATCAGACATATTTTAAAAATCTTATGATTAAAAATGCTTACATACGCTGGAACATAAGCTTTAGGGTGGTGCTGGAGTGTAACAATACCTAGCTTTGGTTAAATATGTATAAAAGTTGCTCCAGATTGTGATAGAGGATAAAAAAAATGGTCTAGATAAAGTTGTGGATTTTTTTATCAAACACAGTCATTGCAAGAGGAGGGTTCATAAATGTAAAGCACTTCCCGATATTTTGTGATGGTGATGCCACTAATAATTGCACTGACTACAACCATACAAAATTTATGTACTCTAATTTATGTGTAAACATTAAATGGCATTGATTTGCCTCTCAATCATTGTTGAAAAATGGCAAATCAATGAAATGTATGTGTATGTTGGTGTATTTTGTGATATTCTAATATCTACAAATGAAGACCAATTTAATACAATTGGAAATATTAATAGAATAGGGCTATTGCCCCTTCCCCTGCTCTGCTTTGCTGGCACCAGTAATATTAAGGTTTTTAACATGTATGCTGCATTGATAACGCTTCAGTTTGAGTTGATTTGATTTTCAACTATAAAGTAACATCGTATGTCGTATGTCTGATGGTGGTAGAAGGAACATTAAAAAGCAAGAATAAATCATCACTTATTTCCCAATGTAAAGTAAATGGTTTGAACCCAGGAGTATTGTTACATGTTTGTAAATGTTGATCGTCCAGGTTGGTATAGTCCTGAGAAGGACTGTTTTGTTGTTGTTGACTAACAGTCCTGGTCAACAACAACAAAAACAGTCCTTCTCAGGACTATACCAACCTGGACAATCAACATTTACAAACATATTTCTCAATGTATTACATGAAAGTCTGTGTACATCACATTTAGCCTTGGCTAATTGTAACTTACATAGAGCAACAATCGTCTTAAATTTATTTAATTTTTTCTGTTTGTTTTATTTGCTGGCTTATGTTCAAGGGGGGAGGATTCTGGGGTAGGGGGGGACTTAGAAACTTGTCTTGAAAGTGTTTTAAGAGCATTGAGGCTTGTTTGAAATTAAACGTAAAAACATTATTATTGATGAAATTTTCCACAAAATCTTACGAAAAAAAGCAATTTTCGTAATTACCTACAAAATAGCACCGCGCTCTTTTAGCGGGAAAATTATATGCCACGCCCTTTTATCGGACAAATTAATTAGGTCTTCATCCTCAATCTTGAAATCTAAGTAGCGCCTCTGCCAACAATCATTAGTTTTTTACCATTAGATTAGTTTTTAGGTCATTACAAAATACCTTTTTTAAGATATGTAAAGTTTTGATCTTATCAATGAACTATCTATCTATCTGTCTATCTGTATCTAAGGTTTCACTTCTACGTCCTTAATTGTGTACTTTTGTGTAGAAACTTCGACAGATGTCGAGCCAATACAAGGAACAAGGAAACCCCGTTTATGCGACAAAACATGGACAGCTGCCAGCCAACAAAGTCAAGAATCGATTTAAAGACATATTGCCATGTAAGATGATATTTTTGTTGTGGATTATTGTGGTCTCGTACGACTCTGGTATATTTTTTCTTTTCAGTCGATAATTCAAGGGTTACTCTTCCTTCGTCTGGCGAAGAAGGCTCAGATTACATAAATGCAAATTTCATCAAGGTATCAAATTTGCAATTGATCAGAATTTGAGAAACTGTTAAGATAATAGTTTGTTTCCGCATTTAATCGCTACATTGAATTAGTCATAACTATGATCTATTTCGAAACACCGCCCAAAGCTGAGTAATTATAGAGGAATGCAAATCACAAAGGAATTTCCGTTTGATTTATTTCTGTTTGAAATTGTCAATGTTGATAGCAGTGGCAAAGAAGATATTGCACACTCTGTTCTAAACTCGTTGTAAAGATCGAAAAATACGTCTTGATGTGTAGTGAAATTCCACGTACAAGAACGTTGATTTTTTTAAAGTTAGCCTAAACCAATTGTTATATAAATGGAGCTCATTGCGATGTAAGGCTAAACGTGTTCTCAAATAGATCCTTATTTTTGCAAAAAAGCGAGTCTTTTATGGCTGGTGTGTTAATGACTTGTTTTGGAGTTTCTCTCCCGCGGGCCATTTTCATTACTTTGCGAAGAGTTTGTTTTGTTTGAGTTGTATATTTCAGTTTCAACTCTTTTAAAAATAGGATAAGAACCTGTTTGAAATCTTAGCCGAAATATTAGATTGTGTATACGTCACTAAGTCATGTTCGACGTATACACATGTGATATATAGAGCAGTAAGAGAGACTAGAGATGTTACTAAGCAAAGAGAGAGGACATTAAGTTCGATATGACTAGATCTGAAAGTATAGATCTATTTGTGAGATTAGAAGCTCTTAAACTACAATAAATGAGTGAATTGTATAGTAGTTCTGTGTCAGAAGGACGAAGAAACATCCGTAACATAAACAAGTTCTTATTTACAGAGGGTGAAAATCAGAGATTTTTGCCCAGCTGGTTCTTAAATCTAGACGTGAGATTTTACAGTACGCCTCTACCATTTTAGGGTTTAAAGGGCGATCGCGAATACATCGCGTCGCAAGGTCCGTTGTCACACACGGTCAATGATTTTTGGCGAATGGTTTGGACTTATAAAGTAAAGGTAAAAAGTAGATTTTTATGAAATTATTTGTGGATATATTATTTATTGGAGCTGTGAGAGATGAACTTAACCGTCTTAATCTTATTCAATAATTTCCCCCAAAGCTAGGTAATTACCTTAATTTGCTTGCCTTGATTTTTATGATTAATTTTTAAGGTTGTTGTTATGCTTTGTAAAGAAGAAGAAAGTAAAAAAGTATGGAATTTTATTGAATAGCTATACCACTGCTTTCAATTTGTAATATAGTGAGTGGTCCGAATCTGGAGTATCGTTAAATGTTTGTAGATGTAGATCGTCCAGGTTAGTGGAGTTTGGAGAACGACTGTTGGCGTTGGTGGTAACTGACGTTTTCGACAAAGCGGTAAATATCTTCAGAGTCAAGTAAGGATTTTAAAACTTAAATCAACTCCAACACCGACAGTCCTTCTCGGGACTGCACTAACCTGAAAGATCAACATCGACAAACATGTACAGGCATTTCGTTTTGTGTGTCGTACTCCTGGATTCATCCATCTGCTTTTGGTCTTTAGCAAAATTTGAAAAGCCTTTTATTATACGTCAAATAGAAAAAGTGTCAGCGTTACTGGTGTGAGAGCGACGAACCAACAATAACTTTTGGTGCCATTGTCGTCAAAACCGTAAGTTTCACTTATCAAAAAATCCCGCTTTCCTTATAACATTTAAATGTTTTGACTATCATCTTACGAACGGCTGCAAACATTCATTTCATTAGGAAAGAACCATTAACGTACAAAATAACTTTGTGATGCGAACGTTGCTGGCAAAATGTGGAGAGGTATAAGCAAGCTACATGAATACAAATGACGAGCTGGGGAGGGGAGGGGTTTGGTCATTTTACTTGTAAACCCGCCATGTCCTGATCCTTTTTGAGGTTGTATGGCTAAGGCATTGTTCTTTTCTACATCTGTCTGCTTATTTTGAACGAACACGTCTTTGCTCAGATCAGAATGAATAGTCTAAAATGTTGTGAAACGATAACGTCATACCTTACGTCAATAACGTCATAGACTAACAGTTTTTTAACATTCGCTTTTAGGAATCACTAAAACTGACGCAATTCCATTACACGGCTTGGCCAGATCATGGTGTTCCAAAGACCACGTTACCTTTGATTGAATTAATCAAAATGGTCCGTGATTGTAGACGTGACAACTGTCCAATTGTTTTACATTGCAGGTATGAAAGATTTATTTTAAGAAATTAAAAGTGCTCAAAATCAGAGTAGAGCATGTATAATTAAAGTGATTACAATTCCTAAAACAGAAACATTAGCCACATTAAGCAACATTTTAAGGATCTCTTTTATCAATATTATATATAATGATGATGATTAAGATATTGTTGAAACGTAGGCTCGTTAAATGTAGAAAATGTTATTGGGAGTTAGACTTTCCTTTTGTGTTCGTACAAAAGTCGAAATCACTGCCATCATGGTGGACAATGATTTGACCACATTTAAAATTTAACCAGATATATTACTGGAATGCAACCTTTAGGTTAACATGCCTGTGTTGGCAATAAGCCAAAGCTTTAGTCCAGATCGGTAAATTTGCCTGTTCTTGCATGAAGCCAAAATTCTAGCTTACTTTAGCGTAAACTGTCTGTCGACCATGCGATAAAAGATTTAAAAATGACTAGTTTAAAAATGCTGACTTCAACAGGACTATTTTAAAATGCTGACTTCAACTTTATGCGGCAGGTAGCCATTCAGTTTTATTCAGTTCAGGGACTCACTTTGGATGCTGCCACAGTGATCTGTGACGTTTTATTACTTACTTACTTTCAGTGCCGGTTGTGGTCGAACGGGTACCATATGTGCTATGGATTACAGTCACTCACTTCTAGAAGCAAAGGTGAGATGGTAAAAAAATTTCCCACTAATTGTGTTCTTTTTATGAGAAGCAACGACAGCACGACAGTGTGTCTCAAGTTGATATGTTTATCAAGCGATATCCGTTTACGTTGTGTTTGCTTTGAAAATGTGAACCTCGCTCCTCTTCTATCATTTCCACTGTAGTACAGGGTGACCCAAAAAGATGCGTACCCATGAAAATTTCAATTATGGCTTTAATTAAAAAGCTATTTATTTCAAATTACAGTCACACATCATTCAGTTTATGGAAGACTATTCACAAGAGTTTCGGCTATTTCTGTCAATTTTTAGTCAATTTATGGCTTTCCCAAGATGTGTTCCAAATGTCCACCATTTCGTTGCAAGCACACCTGTACTCGTCTGGGAAAGGTTTGAATCACTTTTATACACTCCTCTTTCGGGATGGCTCTTATTTTTGAAGAACTTAAAACTGCCATCACAGCAAAAACAAGAGCCATCCCGAAAGAGGAGTGTATAAAAGTGATTCAAAACTTTAGACGAGTACAGGTTTGCTACAACGAAATGGTGGACATTTGAAAGCCATAAATTGACTAAAAATGACAGAAATAGCCGAAACTCTTGTGAATAGTCTTCCATAAACTGAATGATGTGTGGTTGTAATTTGAAATAAATAGCTTTTTAATTAAAGCCATAATTGAAATTTTCATCGGTACGCATCTTTTTGGGTCACCCTGTATTACAATAAGTGAATTTTAGCAATTATACATATTTGTACTGGTACTGTAATGTGACTACTGCTGTGCTTAATATTTTATTTGTGCATGTTTTATGAATGTGTGCGACCGTGCAAGTCAATGATTTGGAACTCAATCCCCCAATGCCTTGTCAAGATGAGGCCATTGAACTAAAATACATGGAATGCAACCTCAAGCAAATAAGTGAAGCCATATCTTACGCCAGACACGCGAGATTTTGCCCCAGAAACGCGTGTTTAATGTTTTGACATTCTCTCGCGGAGTAATAATTGATTGACTACACACACATGTCTGGGGTAAAACCACGGCTTCAGAAAATTATTAGGGTTTTGTATTACAGGTAGCGTTCCATGTATTTTATTTCAATGGATGAGGCGGGGAAGCCATTCTGAAAAGTGGCATAAACACAAAACTCTTTTTCTGTTCTTCAAAAATGAGTTAAAAGAAAGTTCAATAGACCAATCCTTACAAAGATTTTGAAAACCTAACCTAGATGTTAACTCAGCAAGTGTATACCATCGCAGAAGAAGTAGAGTTTAATATTACATGTCGTCAGGTTTTCCACCGTTCAAAATGGTGACTTTCCTCGGTCGATACTATAGAATTTTGGTCGAATAAGTTATCTAGTAGGTTGGGTTCTAGGCCATGGTGCAAATACAGGATTGTCACATGCTAACTCGTAGCATCGTGGATATGTGAATATTTTGTAAATCTTAGTGATTCCTCTCGAAGTCCTGCTGTATTTTCCTGCTTGCTTTCTCTACGAAAAACTTGTCATTTTTTGATATAGCGGTACAAAGAAGTCGATCCATACCTCATCGTCGAAAGTCTACGTAAACAACGACATGCCATGGTGCAAACGGCGGTATTGAGAATTTTTTTCATCTTTATTTTAAATAACGATTGCTGTGATAGATGTGTATCATTGTCGACCTCATGTACATGGGCCACAACGATCATGTGCCATTGAATTGGTAGTTAAGATTGTAGCTTGAATATGTGAATGTCCCTCCCCCCATCAATCCTTGAGGCTGGTGACGTAATTTTAACTCAGGGCATCTCGTCTTTGTTGTGGCAGAGTGATCTCTTTCATTCCAACCATTATGTTCTTTGGCTCAGTGGTTTGAGCATGTCATCTGTATTGTGGCAAGGTGTTCAGTCTCATTCGGACCATTATATTCTGTCGCTTAGTGGTTAGAGCATCTCATCTGTTTTGTGGTGGGATGGTCTGTTGTTTTTTGGCACAGTGTTTAGAGCACCTCGTCTTTTTCGTGGCAAGGTGTCCAGCTTCATTCTTACCATTATGTCTATTGTTCAGTGGTTAGAGAATCTCATCTTTATTGTGGCAGTGTGGTCAGTTTCGAATCAGAAGATCTGTCTCAGTGGCTTTGCTTCTTCGGCATTCAACCATGAGTTTTTTGCAGCAATACAATAAGCATGCAATAATTACAGAGAAAGCAACTATCATCTTTCTAATTCAAACAACCCGATCAGACCCAGAATATTTTAGAAAAGCTGTATGGAAACAAGATTAGGTTGTTTATCACTTCACTACTTTTGTCTAGGGTCAGTACGAGTTCCTCGGACACGCTATGTTGTCCATGTTCCGCGAAAAACTGAACCTCCCTGCTGATATTGACGACGACCACCTGTACGTAAATGTCGAATCCAAATCTTTAAGTTCGGATTCCGAATCCGAGCCTAGCTCTCCCCTGCCGCCAAGTAAACAAACGAAAACGCCCCAATCACCGCCCAGCAATGAAAATAAAATTCAAAAAATGCCCTCAGGTATGTAGGAAAGTTTGCAGGAACGAACTATTGATTGTTTATAGATATGAAAGCTTATAGCAAAGGATATCTACGAACAAGTTCCTTTGTAATCCATTGTTTTCTACGGATTATAACCAGGGGCGAACATAGTAAACACATTGTGGTGTGGGGCTCGATGTTCTGACACTTGACTGATTTTTTTAGCGTGCTTATATGATAGAAAAAGCCCACAAATCTCTAGGTCTTGAACACAGCATTTATTGGGCTTCTAATGTTTATTAATTGCAATGACTACGACTGAGATAAACATGACTGAGTTGTGTACTGGCTTGTTTGTTTTTTTTCACGGCAAATGTTTTTTCGCTAACAATAAGAAAGGGTAGCTAACTTCTGCTCATGCATTGAAGGCATTCCGGTACCGAAATACCCAATGTTAACGACATTTTGTATCATGGCAAGTAAAAACTTTTTGCCTTTTTTGTTACAGGCACACAGATCGGTCCACCTTCGCCAGCACCTCGACAAAAGGTCGTCAGAAATGCAAGTTTGTCTAAAACTTACGTTAACGTTAATCGTGCAAAAACCCTTCCGCCAAACGCAAATCAAAACAGCAGCATCCTCGAACATGGTAATAGTCTGTATAAAACGGCTCATGTCGTCAAACAATCTTGTTATATCTACAGGATAAGAGTTTTTTTTGTTTCAATATCGTCACGAAAGCCATAAAGTACGATTTATCGCATGGACAATGGACAGAATGAATTCAAAGTTATCGCAGTTTCATTTTTTAAATATAACCAGCATTTTGATACGTTTGAATAACTCACTCCGCCATAGATAGTGCAACCGACCCCAGGTGTATTATTGCGAGCCATTGACCCATTCCTAACCAATTTTTGCTAATTTCCCGGAGCAGCCTCAAGGAAGCCCGAGAGACACTCTTTACCGGCTTTCGTCATTGATCATAATCCATCTAGTTTTTACCAAAATGCTCCAGGTATGGACAAATTTCACTGTGACCAATTAAACCAGGTTGCGTTAGTTTCTTAAAACCATTTATTGTCTTGTATTTAGACAAAAATCCTCGGTCGCAGGTCTCCAATAAGCCGAGTCAATACGAAAATGTCCAAGGTAGGTTTTGCTATATTTTTTGTTCTGTGTGTTATATGTGTCGGAAACGCTGGTTTCTTTATTTTCCAATAATAATTATTGCTCGGCGATGCAAGGCATCCATTCGGTTCAGTGGCATAGGCGAATCCAAAAGTTTTGGTCATGCTATGTGAGATGTTTGTTTTTAAAGTGAGCGAACACCTAAATATTTGCATAGCACGACCAAAATTGCGGTCTGTCTACTCCCATGCAGTCTATGGATTGCAGTCTTCTGTATTCTTCTGTGACATGTTTAGTACCCGAACCGTACTCAGCACGTAGTGCTTCGACAACTGCGAAGCAAATGGCTCATCTTCGTTCTAACAGCTATGATCAAGGGGATCGCACATACCACGTCCTTGAGAACCCAACGAACAGTTCTGTTGGCTCTGGTAAATCATTACAACAGATGCTAGACAGGGCCAAAGTTTTGCCGAATAATGTTTCATCTTCAGGTGATTTTTAGAGCTTCGTTTGTGTTACTGGGTGAATGTTTTCAACGTGGAATCAAATCTTTTATCATATATGCCATAAAGTCTTTAATTTAATAACCAGTTTCTTTTTTATATGATTAAGAAAAGGCTACAATACATCTTTAATAAACCATTAATCAATCAACTGCGTTGTTGCTGCGCTGCTTTGCTCGGACATTTGAGGTCAAAAATACACGAAAACGTTTTGAGATTGAGCATTGAAATCCCCGAATGTCGTTTTTTGCAATATTATTCTATTAAACATTGTCCTAATATAGAGAAGCGATTTTAACTATCGAGGCTGGCTACGTATTTACAAAATGAAGAGTAGCTAATTGTGTTTGGATCTTATGATCTTAAAATGGAGAAAAAGATTCACATTATAAAGGAGATGGTTAAAACCGTGATAAAAACGAGGCTTCCCAATTAAATAATATTTCTGCTGCGTGCACTTTGTTTACCGTTCTCATAATGGCAGTCACTTGCTGAAATATGACGTGATGCTGTCCCTAGCTCAAATACCACGTGACGTGCCGAAACACCACGTGACTGCTGTTGTTTCTTCAAACGTCACCTCACTGATATTGCTAAAATATCACATTATTGTGAACAGATTGTTTTGTGTTCGAACCGCCAATTTTCTTTTTCTACTTTTTTAGATGTGAATGCAAAAGATTTGCGAACGACAGCCTCCACTCTGCGGTATGTGGCCAAAAGCGAATTCTTTGTCTTAATTAATAAAAGCGGATCTCCACTTCACATATTGTATGACGTTTGTCTAAAAAATTTGCGCACATGGCTACTTTTTCTCAAGCGCTTGGTCAAATTTTATACAATCCTCAATTAGCTAAATCGTGTAAGGAGATCTAAATTTTTAACGGCAAAAAAACGGCATTTTGATTTCAAGCGATGTCTTAATTGTGTGAGAAAAATGAAACTTTCAGTTACAATTTGACTGAAAGTTTCATTGCTGTTGTCGTTCGTAGGAAGAGATGAAGGACAACTTTGTTCGATGTCCTTCAAAGGAATTGAGTCGATATGCTGTCATTTTTCTACGGTCGACAGCCTCCCCTGTATAGTCATCAAATATAAACGAAATTACAGAGTCTTATTATTACAGTTGGAAGATACACTACTTTCCATGCCGCGTTTATTTAAAAAAAGAACTTTGAAACATTGAGAAGTTCTAATAAAATTCCCAATTGCTAAAATTTCTAGTAAAACATATAATCGTATTCCGAATTGTTTCACTAATTGACTCACGATATTTTAACTATTTCAAAGGACACTGGTTCCAAGTCTGTGGGTTCTCTTGATAAACCATCAGGTAACTCTTGCTTGAGACGACTACATTTCTAAATTTCCCACAATTTTTGTTTTCCATGCATTTTTCTCGTGTTGGTGGAAATTGATGTTCTTGGCTTGCATGATCCATTCCAATAAGTGCAGTGCGAATGCTACTGCCTTTTAGTTTTTTGAAATATTTTTGGAAGTGAACTTTATAGTTGTTACAATTCAAATATAAAGAATGATGAATGCTTCAGAATGCATAATGAGCGTTATAATGTATAATGAAGTATGATAATGTATGATGATAATTTATGATTTAGTGCCTAACACTTTTTTCCAACGTTACTACTGATTGTTTATAGAGTTTGCCAAATCACGAAATGCGTTAACGCCATCTACGCCACAGGTTTGTGAGTTTTGTGTTTCTTTTTTCCAAATATAATATATCGTAAAATTTAGGGCACAGACTGCACGAGGAAAGAAGAGATATATCTTGAAAAATCTTGATGTTTGAAAAAAGAGGGATAATGAATATCTTAGGAAAGAGAGAACATGAATATCTTAGGAAAGAGAACATGAATATCTTAAGAAAGAGAGAACATGAATATCTTAGGAAAGAAAGAACATGAATATCTTAGGAAAGAGAGAACATGAATATCTTAGGAAAGAGAGAACATGAATATCTTAGGAAAGAAAGAACATGAATATCTTAGGAAAGAGAGAACATGAATATCTTAGGAAAGAGAGAACATGAATATCTTAGGAAAGAGAGAACACGAAAACATTAAACTATATGCATGAGCATGTAATGTGGTGGTGTGTTTCAAGATGTTTGCTATGATTTGAAGTGTGGAGAATAGATTTTGTAGTAACGTTAACATTTATTTATTGTAGATAAAGAAATATACCAACCCTTGTTATTGATTGATGTATGTAGTGTATATTGTTCATTATGCAGGCTCCTAAAAGAAGAACGTCCCAGGCGCCAGGGCAGACTAACATAGGTAAAATTGATCAAAGAGTTAGAACGACTAGAAAGTTCATGGACGCTTTTGTATATTATCATTTTAACTAATTTGTGATTTTGGTTCTAGAATATTAATAAATCACGGACAAAATCTCCAAATTATTTTTAAAAAATAGTTGAAACAGAGAGTAATGTCTTTACATTCAGGCGTGTTTTTGTTGCAGGTTACGGGGTAAGAATTGGGAAGCCTAAAGGTCCCCGCAATCCACCGAGTAGCTGGAAGGTGAAAGTTCAACACGTATTTTAAGGTTAGCCAGCACTAAGTTAACTTTTCAAGACTTGTTTTCCCAAGTTAGTAAACTTAGGCAGTAGACATTTTTTGCGAAGGGATTGGAAAGATATGGGATTGGTCTAAAAGATGAAATTTATTTCCCTATAAACAAAACTAAAAGTTTTTCATAACATTATCTTTTGCATCAACGAAGTATTTTTTATCCCTTAGTAATGTATGTTGTTCTTTAGATGCAAGACGACGAGGCTTTGGTTTAAATGTTCTTTAAGAAGTAAAACGTCAATACAATCAATCGTCGTAGTAGGAAAGAATAAATATCGAAAAAAATTTTTCTCCGTTTACTTGTACTGTGCCAGGAAATTTTTCCCAATTGTTTCACGCATTTCTTGCGTTTTTGTCTCTTGCAGGAGTTTTTATAGAAATTATTAGTAGATTTAGAATACAGGTGTATTAAATGGTTTATCACATTACCCTGTAATCTGTATTCTGTGAACTAAACAATACCATTTTGTAATTTGCTAACTGCGTATCTTTTCAGCAACTAAAATATTTCTCCTGAAATTTTTAAGTTTTGCAGGAAATTTCTATTTTTTAAAATTTGCTGCTAGGAAGTGAAATGCGCAAGTACATTTAATGATTGTATTGTTTAGATGATAATATAATAAATCATCACGCACCATATTTATCATGACCTGTTCCTATTTCAACCGTTAGATTTGCTGACGAAGGTGGAGTCCTAGAATTTTTACACCAAACATTTATAAACTCCTTCGTCGGCCTTAAATATCGAATGAAAGTACAATTTTCCATCTTGAATTTCTAGTTTGTTTCTAAATATCGGAGCGTTGATTTGTCATTTGTATATTTTGGCATATCTTAAATGAAAATATTTTTAAAATGCTCTATTTAGGTTATACAGCGTGAACAATGATTTACATACGATTCAGATAGTTCCATTCCATTTTTTGTCCAAGAGTATCTCGGGGCTGGATAACTATAAGCATTGCATGACCATGAGAAATTTTGGCCCTCTTATTGTTTCATTTGCTAGTTGACCTCCTTCCAGCCTGACTGGTCTTCCTATGAACATATGTGTGTTCTTTTTTTAAAAAACTACATGTGTTTGTTACATGCTCTGTGTTTCCTAAGATTTTTTAATGTGTTCATAATCTCTCTTTCGGTCTTTCCTAAGATATTCATGCTCTCTCTTTCCTAAGATAATCATCTCTCTTTCTTGAGATATACATGTCATTTCGTCTAATAAAATTCTTATTCTCTCTTTTCATAAGATATCCATGCACTCTTTCCTAAGATATTCGTGTTCTCTATTCTAAGGTATTCATGTGCTCTAATAGGAGTACGGGACGGGGGGTGTGAGCAGCTTGCAAAGTTTAAAGATTGTAAAGTTGGGCAAATTTTAAACGTTAATTGGGAGAAAATATGGCGGAACCTTCAATGTGAGTTGGGGAAAATATTTACTCCACCACAGAAATGATAGCTACCGCACGTCTGTGAAATAGACGACATAAACAACATTTTATAAATGCGACATGAACGACATTGGAAAATGACAACATGAACGACTTTTCGAAAAGACAACATGACCGACACTTGAAAAAGAAGGCATGAACGACGTTTAAATAAGACGATATGAACGATCAACGACGTTTAAAAAAGACGACATGAGCGACATTTAAAAAAACGACATCAACGACATTTCGAAAAGAGGACATGAACGACATTTTAATCATGTAATTTTACAACAAGCAAATTTTAACAAATTATCTTGTAGAGACAATGAGTTCTATATAATTGATATTTGCTAGCCACAATATATTATTACGGGCGGGAGGCGTTCCTCCACGCGTGATTCTTCAGAAAGGAAACGCTGTTCTTGTCAAATAGTTAGGGAACGCTGTTCCCCCAGCAAAACATCACTGGATACACCGACACACGTTATCTTACTTTATCTTTCAGATTTTTAAAGAGGCTGTTATCGTTTTCTCTTGCGTCATTCATTACTAACTACGCAGACACACGTTGTCTTAGTTTATATTTTAGACAGTGTGAAGCAGACTGTTCTTGTTCTCTGCTGTTCATTCATCACCACCTACACTGACGCATGTTATTTAAGAAATACTACGCGTACATATATTTACATATCTTTGTTACCTGCACAAAACCTTTTCTGCCCCTGAGAATCTGACATAACTTCTTAGGGGCTGATTACATGAGCCCCAGTAGCCGGGATTCCGCCAAGCGTTAAATGATTTTGGCAAATGGAACGATTCAATACTTATCATCAGATAAATCTTCTCAAGCAATTTTACAATATTCTGATTTAATAACTTCTCAAAACATTTAAAATTGAAACAACCAATTTTCCCTAAATTTGGAATTAAGCCCGCCGCACACTGGTGAACTTGCCGCGTGTTCTTGTTATTCGTGACAAGTGTGATTGAAAAAATTTCCTAGTGTGCGCGTAAGTTTTGAACAACATTTGTCATTCGTGACAGATTAGTCAAATATCAAATGCGTTTGTTATTTATCATTAAATAAAATCATTGACGAATGACATGCGCACCATTGTCCTGGTTTACCACATAGCAATGGATGCTATTGTGCATACTTCATTCGTCTTCTTTCTTCTTGTTGAAATGTTCTTTGCTTCGAATGCTATGGTTCGACGATAAAATTGTGCAAGCTTTTCCATTTATATTTCTATCATTGCAATAATGACACCAAAGACATTGGATAAACACGTTGCAACTCAATGTTTTAACTGGGCGATAAATACTATTCTGTTTCAAATACTTAATATGTTGTAGCTGGTCTTCCACGTCTCTCGTCTAGCTTAGTGGGACAGAAAACGGTTTGATAATCACTGCTTTTCGGGTTCGAGACCCTTTCGTTCTCTTTCGCTTTTTAGAGTTCAATAATAGATAAATATCTCTAAGGGTAAGGTAAGTGCACAATCTAAGGTTCGAGACCACCTTGTACATTGTATATTTCTACTTCAAAGTTAAACAAAGGCGGAAATATGCCATGAAACCTTTAGTATTCGTTGTTGATCTTCTGGCTCAACAGGCTCTGTTTGATCTCCAATGCACGAAGTTCTTGGTTCGGCCCGGTATCGTCGGTAGTTAGGGTTGGAGATTGCCGATTGAGTGCAAGGTTGAGGGTAGGAGGGGAAGTAAAAGGGCATTCGGTTTGCCCTCTGTTTCCTAACTATTATAAATTGACACCCTTAAGGGAGTCCTAGAAAAATTTAAAAGACTTAGTTTTTTAGGGCAAAGTTATTGCAAGATATCAACTTGTCTTTTTTTCTTTGCGATTTTTTTCTGAAAATACCATTCTCGAAAAACCAACAATAGAAATGCCATTTGCACATGTTGTGTGTGCTATTATTTCCCCTTACTTCGCTCACTTGTTTGTCCTGATATACACGGTATCGTTTATTTCAAGTCTAATGCTCCACACAGAAGCCCAACAATAACCGACTCTCTAAGGATCGAACCACACATCACAACCTGAGAAACCTTACTCTACACACTCGACCAGTGAGTGCGTAGGAAACAAACGGAAAATTTAGTCAACTTATGACAATGTGTTGAAAGTAATAATAAAAAAATTAATTCGTAAAGTAACAACCAAAAATTTAAAAAGCATATATCTTAACTTAATAATCATTTATCGTCAGTTTTGCTAATCAATAATAAAACATTCTAAGAGTTTCTCGCAACAGCATCTTAGCATTTTCTTGTAAGACGTCGAAGCAATTACTTCTACAAAAGTATGAGTCTTTTTACAATACTTCCCAACGCTTATGCGGTGTAGATTTGTTCGGGCAGCTCATTGTGTCATTTTCTTGTGGTGAACAGAAAATTTCTGCTTTGATATATATTCCAAAGCGTAGATGTCTTTTAAAAGGAGCATCTTCCAATAAATGTCAGTATAAGTAGACTACTTCTCTTTAAGTTGATACAGGATCAAATATTTTATATTACACGTAATTGCCTTCCTTCGTTGTTTAATTGTTTAGCTGTATATTGTCTTGGAATGCTGTAAATATATCCCACTAGTCATACCAAAATATAACTGAACACTACATTCTTCCTTTTCAACTGCAAATTTTACCGTAGCCTTCAAATGTCTTTCGCTCAAATGTTTTATTAACATTCTTCTCTAAATATTATTTGAAGTAAGTTTTTGTCATGAGCAGCCACTGCAAAAGATGTGACGATGACGTTCTGTAATATATGATCTGTTCCTTTCCGTTCAGTAAGGTGCATTATAATCTTTCACACATATATAGTTTTTCTGTTAAGTCCTGTGGCATTTCTGCATTGATAGCTTTCATTGTTCGCGTAAAAGTTTCGAGAGAATCGCTTCCAAATTTGACTTGCTTTCTCCTTCCACGTGTTCCCTTGTCAACCCTAACTTCTGACAAAATCAGGAAATGTTTCGACTTGTTGTTAACCGGTTTAAGCCCAAGTTATTAGCTATTAGCTGCCAAGTACTCTTGACAATGCCAATCAATCTTTTCCTTTCTTGATTACTCACACACTTAACCATAGCATTTGTTATTGCTCTTTCCATTCTCATAGCACTTTTGAACTGTACTTTTATGTGTTATATGATTAATTATGTAAACATTAGCTTGCTGACTACAGTTGGTTAACGTCTTTCATGTTCTGCACATGGACATTTTTTTTACATGATCCTGATCCCAAACTTTGTCAATTCTTGACTTGCACCCATTCTCCAGGGATTTACTAACAATAACATTTGCCAACTCTTCTGGAGTCCACAGAAGTATTGGTAAAATATTCTATCGTATACAACCTCCAAAAAGGTTGACGTGAAAAACAAAAATAGGTTTGACATCGGGTGATAATTATGCTCGCAAGTCCTTCAATTTGATATTTCCCCCCCCAAATCATTCTGTACCAAAAAGGGTTTAGCCATCATTTCACACGATCTATTTCTTATTTGGTAACCAAACACTGATTTTGTTGCTGAAGATCACGTTGTTTTTAAAAGGTTAATAATCTCTCATACGATTGTGGGGCATAATGCAAATTATACAATGATTTTCTCGATCTCTTCTTTTTGTCAGTAACATTGTGCTCAGAAAATTTTAATAATTTCCACCAGTGACGTAGAAACAGGGACGGCCATAGGAAGCAAAGGCCTGAAATGCGTTTTGCAATTGCAAGCAATAATTAAATTTAAAGAAAAAATCCAATACATTTATTTCATTATACCTACAAAAACAAAATCTACTATTTACAAATCTCTTCAACGACTTTCTGAGCGTTATCTTCGAGATCATCGGAGGTAAACATCAGACCCATGTCGGCGATATCGTACATGATTGCTTTGGTGTCGAGTACAATTATTTTGCTTCCCGACTGGCGTACTTCAAGCGAAATGTTACGAGCTATGGCCTTATCCCACACGCCGTCATCCATGAGTAGCACCCATGCGTTTTTTGCATCTGCCCTGTTGTAGTGGTTCATAATCTGTAATGCAAAGAGACGAACAGCTCGTCAGTGTGATCAAGTAAATACCCTCGCCCTCGGGGAGAGAGGGGAGCTACGGGCTTATACATGAAAACTGTCAAGGCTTACGATGACCTTCGTGGTAGCGTTAAATCAGAATTCTTTACCTGCTGCGCTAAATCCATGGCATAACCACCAAACGTGTAAGCACCGTAGTGAAACTCAACTTTGGAAATGGCATCTGTTAGTTCCCCTGCGGTCTGGTACTCTGTGAAGTAAAACTCTAGACCTGTATGCGATTTACTAGAGTACTGTAACAGGCCAACGTGAGTTGTGTTTGGGCCAATATCAAACGACTCCACTACCAGTGACATGAACTTTTTGAAATTTTCAAACGTTGTCGTTGAAACGCTCCCGGAACCGTCGACCAAGAAAAATATATTTCTTTTTTCACGTACGCACAAGTGCAGCAGCGTAATTGCTGGTCCTGATTCTCCTTAAGGAGAGAGAAAGAAAGAGTACTACCTCTGTCCTATTTTGCATGCACAAGTATATATAACGATTCTATTGTTTAGATTGCCATATTATAATGTATCATAATGTACCATATTTATCATCACCTGTTCCTGTTTCAACCGATAGATTTGCTGACGAAGATAGGAGTCCAAGATTGTTTCCCACCAAACATTTATAAACTCCTTCGTCCGCCTTAGATATCAATTGAAAGTATAATTTTCCATCTTGAATTTCTAAGTTGTTTCTAAATATCGAAACGCTCATTTGCAATTTGTAGCTAAATTTTGGCCATGCCTTAAATGAAAATATTTTTAAAATGCTCTATTTAGGTTATACAGCGTGAACAATGATTTACATACGATTCAGATAGTTCCATTCCATTTTTTGTCCAAGAGTAAGTCGGGGCTGGATAACTATAAGCATTGCATGACCATGAGAAGTTTTGGCCCTCTTTTATTGTTTCATTTGCTAGTTGACCTCCTTCCAGCCAGATTGGTCTTCCTATGAAGATGTGTGTTTATTTTTTAAAACTACATGATTTTCTTATATGTTCTATCTTTCCTAAGATATTCATGTTCTCTTTTTCCTAAGATATTCATGTGTCCCTTTTTCTTAAGATATTCATGTTCTCTTTTTCCTAAGATATTCATGTCTCTCTTTCCTAAGATATTCATGTTATCTCTTTCCTAAGGTATTCATGTTCTTTCTTTCCTAAGATATTCATGTTCTTTCTTTTCTAAGATATTCATGTTCTCTCTTTCCTAAGATATTCATGTTCTATCTTTCCTAAGATATTCATGTTCTATCTTTCCTAAGATATTCATGTTCTCTCTTTCCTAAGATATTCATGTTCTCTCTATCCTAAGATATTCGTGTTATCTCTTTCTTAAGGTATTCATGTTCTTTCTTTCCTATGGCTATTATGTTCGTTTTCCCCCAAAGTACAAATTTTATTAGCTTCAAAAAATAGGGTATTGAAACACTAAACCTATCACATCAAGTCTTGCCATTCTTTCGTCGACATGATCTTTTCCATTGTACGTACTGTTCACCTTACATTTATACAATCCAGCGTGTTTTATGTCGATCGAAGTGATCATCAACAAATGATTAAAGTTTTGAAGCTCATAACCATCTCTACCACCGCTGACGATGGTCGTCTCTCTCCCTTCCAGATTTGTAAAAGTCCATGTATAGTCAGGTGTAGGACTAAAAAAAGGTAATGCACCTTTACTCCACCGGAAGTGTAACATAAATGACGGAATCACTCACGTATGCGCGATTATCATTTTTTAATATTAAAGAAACTGAATCGTAAGCTAGACGCTTAGCCATAAATGAGTTTATCTCATCTATCAGTTCATGGAGTGCATATGCATGTTATTGGTGGCTGTTACTAATTTTTTTAATAACTTGAATGTTTGAAACCGTGAACTTGTCTTTAGATGTAGATTGCTGAGTTTGATAGAATCCCAAGAAGAACTGTTAGTGTTGTTGATCGACGTTCGGACAAACTCAGCGGTAGTCATCTTTATCAGAGTGAAGTGACTACCTCCCAGGTTGTCGAAACGTGTAAACATTAACAACCTGGAAGATCTATACATATGGACACACGTAAATGTTCTCAATTATTTTTCTCATGATTTGACAGTGTAGTTTTTGTTATATAAAACTACTACAAAACCACCGTGGAAATAAGAACAAGAAAACTTAACATACAGCCCAACTGCTCCACATCTCAACACAACAATACTTTTGCCTGGTGAAACTCTTTTGTCTTTCAGTTCTGTTCTGATCATTGGTCCAAAAGGAGTTTTATTTCCCCCTAGAACGCAGGAGTGTCAGTAGTGCCTTGCCTGTCTTACATAAAAGTCGATTGTTCTTTACCTGAAATCTCTCGCAGCAAGAATCGCTGAGAAAATGCCAAATTCTTATATTCTTTCGACTCAATGACACAACTGACGCCATTCTTCTCGACGTTGAAAACTTCAAGATCCTTTTTTCTCACGTTTGCAAACAGCAGGGTTCCATTCTCCATTATCATGTAATGTTTGGCAGAAGTTAGAAACCATGCTCCCGTTGTCCCACGTCGTCCACCCCAATGGAAAAAAACGTCTCTAGACAATTTTCTTGGCGGGCAGGTCAGTGCAAAGTCCTTGCCAACAGTAACAAGTGCTTCTTCGACTTCGCTGTCTGTCTTGTAGAATCCATCGACAGCTAAACATTTGATAATTTGGAAGTGAGTAAATGAAGATCACAATATTTACATAACTTTGTTCCATGCTCAAAAGCTTTTCTGCTAGTGTGAACTTGACCAAAATTCTAACGATCAAAATTGCATAATATTGCAACTTAGGGATTAGCTTAGTGATCAAGCATCAAAATTTGAACACTTGACTTTATTTTAAAGTTCGCTTATTTTAAAAAACCTATGTACACAAAAATATCCACAAACCATATAAACGTACTTCGTTGAAAATACGTTAGTTTAATAATAAAGAAAGACAATGTCGGTCGATTTCGAAGATTTGCAGTTTTTCTATACACCTTTTCGCTAATCACCACGATTGCATTATTGTGCAGATATTGCTCTAACAGAAGTCATGTTAAATACCCCAGGGGCGTCTGAAGCAGGGGCAAGGAGGGCTAATGAGAAGAGGGGGAAGTCTCCCCGCCTTTGCATTAAGATAGCAAAATTACTAAGAAATATAATGTTTACCAATGGTCTATTTTGACTATGAAAATTATGTATCTAAAATGCAACTGAGTGGACTTTTAAAGAAACAAGCTGGAACCTTTCCCAATTCTTTTATTTTATTAGTTTATGACATGTGCGATTGGGCGACGGGCGTTGCTAAAATTCAAAATGGCGTTTACTTAGTACCATATTATAGATTGGTACTATAATTTCTAAAATATGCCCCTTCTCCCAACTTTCGTATTCTTTCCGACGCTACCGAAAAATGCTTAATGCTTGCAATATAGGTTATGCTCGTAACTGACAATATTTTACGCATTCATGAGCTTGATAATTTATGGAGCATTATAGTTATAGAATATATAAATTACTAAAGTCCTCTTCATTTGATACATTCTGTCCACTCAAGAGAACTGGTTTGTTTGATAAGGACAATTTTATAATAAGACTAGTGATTTGTGAAAGGTTATATTTTCAGAATTTTTTCATGTTAACACCAAAAAAGAAATAACAGCGTAAGTCTTAAAGAAAGGCGCAAGTCTCAAAAAAATGCAGTGATTGTCTTTTCCTCAAGAACTCAAAACCCGTTCCCCCTCCCTCGGAATTTGAAAAGAAATTCTTTACGGAATTATTTGTCTACAAGGACGTTTATGGCATAAGAAGTATACAAATATTAGAATATGAACTTAGAAGTGTCAATTTATCACACACTTACGAGGAAAACGAACTTTTATTTTGGGACCACGAAGTACTTCATCGTCACTTGTGGCCAGGCACTGGTACGTTCCTTGGTAGTCAGCGGTCGCCGTGCTCTGGAGTACGACAAGTTTGTTTGTGAAGAGATAAAATTTGTTGCCATCCGAAGGGATTTTCGTATCGTTATGAAACCATTCGTATGTCTTCGCTCCTTTTATGTTGCACTCCAGATTTCGAAAATTTTCAGCTAATCCAGTGTAATTTTCGGGAGCGTTCTCACTGAACTCGAGTGATGTGGCTATGGCAGAAAGACGTTGTTAATTAAGCCAATTAAACAGTGCTATTTTTTGTTGGAAGACTCTATAAATTGTTGAAAAACAGATCACTCGCAATGTATACACTTGTACTGGAGCACTCAAGTTTAAACATAGCACTTCCACTGAAAGAGGAGGAGTATTTCCCGAAAACCTTTTCTAGTCGATAATTCAAAAAAATGCAAGAAAAAACTCATTCCAATCACCATCATCACGTGAGCTCAAGATATGATTGAGTTATGAAGAGGCCACAAGTGAAGTGAGAAAAGATTAACGTAATTCGCATCTTGAGTTTACAAGATGATGCTATATGTGGTGTGTTTTCTCTTATGATTTTGGTTTCTGATGAAAATACAAAGTGTTGTAATTAATTCTCAACTTTTAGCAAATAACATTCTCGACAAAAATGTTATACTTATGAATTATTTCGAAGCTCAAATTACAATGTGATAATGAAGGGATGCAGAATCTATTTCTATTCTTTACCAAAGAATTACGAGGAAAAAAGAAGAAAAAAACTCTTAAATAACATGGGTACTTCACAGCCAATACTTTTTTTACCTTCGACTGCGGCAAAGAAGATTAAGTACAATCGAAGATCCATTCCATTCATCTTGCGTTCGTGAAAGTTCGTCCCGGAGGTAATACACTGTGCAAATGAATAGTGTTGAAATATCTGTGAAATAGGTCAAGTTTCAATTGTTGCTTTTACATCCCATATTGATACTATACGCTCTTTGTCTTAAAGTTGTCCGCTGCGAGAATCACAAATACAAAGTTTTCTATTAAAATTGGTTTTGTACAATTTTTCAGATTACTGAGATCAGTTTACAAACACAATCCGGATTCTCGCTTTCTAATTCAAGTTCTCTACTTATAGAAAGTTCGCGCATATTCGTGAGACTCGTCTACATGGACGATTTGCAGATTTCTGTCGAAACATTTTTAGGTACCGAAGATCGAAATGTTCCTGCACAAACAATCCAAAAATACGGTGCAAAAACATTAGCAAACCAAAAATTGCTCGAGTTTGTACAAGTACAACCTTTGACATATCGCTCCTTACACCACGTCATGCGCGTTGGTAAGCAATCTATATCTTCTAATATGTGATCAAAATCATTAGCCGTTTCTCTGAATGTATGACGCACGTTTCAGTAGGCATGAAGTATCTTACCTGAAGCTTCTGTGATACTTTCTATAGAGTCCGTTTCCTCGATGCGCAAACTGAACAAATGATCTCACGGTAACCGCTCAAGTTTCATGCCATTGAAATCATTAACGTCCTTATATGAATTGCCGTTAGCTGAGTTCCGCTTTTTTAACCCGCGCGTTTTGATTGGCTTTTGCGCTTCCACATGATTCCTTTGAGAAAATTGTCAATTCTGTGAGGACGTTGTGCTTGAGCTCTTGCCGGTCAAGTCTTTTGGTCAAGAAAATCTTCATTTGCTTATTTATTAATCTTACTTATTCTATGGAACAGATATGCCATGATAACAGTTGAAATAACAAATGTACTCTCATCATCAATGATATCCACGATGCTCATTCCATTCAGCTCGCTTCTCAATCCTTTCACGAAAGCTATCAGCTGGAATTACGGCATAGAGACAATTGCCAACAACGGCGTTGTACAAATAGACAGACAAAACAAATACATTTATGGGCAAATGAAAGACTGCCTTCCCTCCCAAATAACGAATAGATAAGATTTGATAACAACAAGGCGTGATAACGTTTGGAAAGTTAAGGGCGTATAAGACATTGCAAGTGCAGACTCGGGAAAACACTTGTTATTTACGAATCTAAAGGGGCCACAGTTTGCACATGGGCATGTAGAAGAATGTTCGAGTTTTATAGTGTTTGGGTACATGGATACATTGTATACAGCATGAAATTAAAAGGTTGCAATTAAAAATCGATTTATGCGAAGCGTGTTTTTGTTTTGTCGTGCATGTTGATGTGCATCAGTGCATATGAATGCCAATCTTTGGGCTTAAAGCCATCAGCTTTTTATTTTGTCTTAATTTTGGAAAATCTCTTGCTGTGAAATGACGACCTTTGACTTTCTTTGTGGGGTAGCGTTTTCAACGTTGAAAACATTGACATGAGAGAGAAATAGTTTTTCTTTTGCGTCGTCATTTCTATGATTCGACACCAGCTCGCAACACGAAGCTTAATAATGGCTAAAAATACCGTGGGATAGTGAACAGACAACTATAACTCGACCCTGAGATTTATTGTGGAACTTTTTTCAGTCACGTCATATTTTCTAGTCTTGTTATCCTTTCACCGGTGCACCTGAATGAAGAAGCTTGACTTCTCATAGCTTCTCATACAATTATGTTTTTTTGGCATCGTGTTTATTGCTCTTTGTGACAAAATCATGGCATCACAAAAACAGATTATAACTTATCGCATTAATCCACGAAATATCAAATATCGTCAAAATCTCGTGATGAGACACTCGATGTCGCACCTTGTTACATTCTGAACTCTAACAATGTGACATGAAGTGATGCAGATCCTGACGTTGTGACGTCAACGAATCACAAATTTTACTTATGTCATTGGCACAAGATTATTCTTCGTCAGTATTGTGTGATTCGCTGTCGCACGGAGGAAAATGAACGATTACACTGCGCAAAACCTAATGCAACAACAACCTTAAATCATTTAGTTCTTCCGTTTTTTAATCAAATAATACTCTCTATGTTTACGTAAGCTGTGGATAAGATCGAAACTTGTCAATGTAAGATGTAAAACCTATTTATTCGAACGATACACCAGGCGATTCCAAAGGCGAATCAAGAAGAACCATTTGCCAACAGAAGACCTGGCAATCAAGGACGCACTATTAAAAAAATATTATTACACGTTTCAGATCCATAATTCAGAATATTCTGAAATTTGCTCAAGAAGATTTATCTGATGATAAGTATTGAATCGTTTCCATTTGCCAAAATCATATAAAGCTTGCCTGAATTCCAGCTACCCGGGCTCGTGTAATCAGCCTCTAAAAGTTGGGTCGGTCGATCACAAAAAAATGCCCACATACAAAGATGCTGTTGTTTTGGCGAAGTTAGCCTTTACGTAACTAACTGGCATCACACTTAGTAAATAGAAATTGGAGGTTAATTGTGTGGACATTCCTTAGATCAAACGTCACGTTTTTTCTTTTTTAAACTCAGATTAAACCAGTCCGTGTTCATGAAAACAAAACTCGATAAATATTTACATGTAAACAACAACGGACAACAAAAAACCGCCTTGTCTGTGAGAAATTTTTAATGGTTCCGGATGTATTGATGAAATTTGGCATAGGAACCTTTCTTGTGTAAATTGCGATTGACAATGAGACTTGAGAAAGAACGAAGCACTTGGAACAAATCGAGTTGAACGACAGACAAACATTGATTAACACTGGGCGCTTTCATGTTAGGGACTTGGTTGAATTGAAAAAGTTCCTTCTACTGTGAATGCGTGGGAATGTGTATTATGAAAACAGTAACGGTCGACAAAATGATGTCATCATTACACAAGCGATGTAATATCGGGCCATATTCATTAAATAAAAAAATTCAAGCAGATGATTTAATTTAGAACGAAAGCAGTTTTAAGTTCATTTCATCCTTGCTTGCTCTCTTGAAAACATCTGAATTCAAATAGCAAAACACACAAACTTTTCATTCGTTTGAAATAACGGCAAATGGCCACACTGCAGATTTTTAATGCGATATTGTCCTAGACAAGTTTAATTAGTGCATTTTCGGTGAGCAAACAGAATTCGAAGAGAATCATACCTAAATATAAAATAAAGGACTTGTTTAAGCGGATGTTAGAACAAGTACTGATTAAGTGTAGCATCCCTTATAATGAATGGGCATCGTCCAAGGTCAAATATCTTTCTTGGTGCACGCACTGAATACGGAAAGACAGTCGGATCTGAATTTTTAGAAGGGCACAGTCTCTTTGGAAATTTTAAATTCAGTGTTCCTGAACGATTATGGGGTGTAGTAAAAGTTATCACCTTCCCTTCATAATTTCAATCTGAATACGAGGGCCGTCCTTTAGCCAAATAGAGGTGCCAAGAACCCTTGCTAACTAACTCTTGTCTGCGCCACTGATATAAGTACAATTTTGAGACGACCAGGATAACTTGGTTCATAAATCAATCGACTGGACGACGAGTTATCCAAAAATCAGGTCATATTGAGTACACAGAATCGAATTGGAAAAGTCCAATATGTAGTATTTCTGATGCCTCTGAAACGCTGCTAGATTGTCACATAGATTTTCTTCTAATCCTTTGTGCAATATTCTATTTGAAGTTCGTGACAAGTTGTTTGGAATTGCTTTGTCACCGTGAGCCGTTGGGAAGCTTTCCGTGTCAGCGATCTGATTTCCTCTCCTCCGTTGCCGTTATAGAAGAAATTTGTAGAATTGTTTGCATTTCTAAGACAGGCCTCCCACCAAAAACTTCGTGACAAGTTGTAACCACAATTGGGTTAGGATACAAACAATGATTGTGTACACTCCCAATTCCGCTGTCGGAACTTGGAATCGTCATCTCGAGGACTCGACCCTACAAGCACGTTGCCGATTGAACGGGAATCGGCAAGATCTTTAAATGATCTGGACACATTTTATCCTTTAGCACTTGAAGTTAGAGCATTCTATGAAACGTCGTAATTTGATTCCTTTCAAAAGTGCCAAGGCGCCATTTTGCATACTGTATTTGTTGTTGTAATTTTTGACGATAAGGCGATGTACAACATTGCATCGTCTGACTTTTCAAAAAACAAAGAAAGAAATACCATCAAGCTTAGCCGAATCGTAAGCAAGATTTTTACGAGTCAAAATTCGTCTTTGGTCTTTTTTGCTACATCCCATTACATCAATCGTAATTGCTGTAATATATAAAATTTAATGATGACCATTACTACGTATGAAAATTTTGAAGAGATGCAATGTTTTAGAGATAAAGTTTAGCAGTAAAATATCCATAAACAGATTTCACTCCATGGACCATAGTATATCTAGCACAGTAACGAAGCCAGCCCGTTTTTTGTGGTTTTACACTGCCGCGATGCAAATAGTTTGATGTTCATTCACTGGAAATACAAGGAATGGAGCTAATTTCTAAAGAAGTGAAAATAATTCTGCCGAAAAGACTGTAATGCAAGAGTAAAAGTTTGGGCAAAGCAGACCCCTTTCATCCTTCATATTGAATCGGAAAGTTCATACTTTTAAAGAAGACATCTCCTTGTTTTGTATAATCTCCAGTAAATACAGTTTCAGTCTTTACAACGTCTCTTGAACAAGGAACAGAACAATGCGCGTCATATCCGATAAGAAAAATGTAAACACAACTAATCTATATCACGTGGTGCAATCTACATCAGAATGAAGGCAATGACTCTAACCCTGTCTGAAATTTTAATTATTACCGATTTGAGGGATCGCGTCCTCGCACGCCGTCAGACTAAGTTGCTGATTTATTAATCACAAGAGTTGCAATTTACTTTGATGATTAAACGTTGAAAAAAACTAGAAGAGAAAGCCGAAAGTGATCAACTCAAGGTACGTTTGACGAGAATAAGTCATGTTGAGTACTCGATGTAAAATATTGGACGAGCGCTTCTTCGGGAGCCAAATTAGAAACACGTATATTTACCGCGTCAGATTAGATAGCCACGAGTTTTTGTTGATGCAAGCCTATTCTTATGTTAAACTATTTTATCTCTCATTTCACCTGTATTAGTAGCGAAGTTCGATGATAAAGGTGTAATTGTTAGTATTTGTGTGAAATATCCGTTTGCATTACTGCGATTCTGTTTGAAGGCAGAGTCGTTTCGCTTTGAAACGACTCGAATATCTCGCAGTTACCTTCGAACTTTTTTGGTTCAAAGAATATATCGGCTTTACGAAGACCGCGCTCTTTTTTCTGGATGTATCGCTTGTGCTCTCGTGCATTTGTCGTACGTATATGTCTTAAGCGGGAAACATTTATTCCGTGAAATGTCTTATACATGAAATGAGAGGATTTATTGTGTTTTGAAGTAGCTATTAGATTTCGCGCATTGTGTATCAACTTGTATGTCGAATGAACCAGTAGTTTGATGTCTGTCATGTTCTCTGCCCGTCATGTTTTCTGCCCGTCATGTTCTCTGCCCGTCATGATCTCTGCCCGTAGCTTGGCAATTGCCTTCAACAACAGCCGCTTGGTAATAAAGCAGTTTAGTAATAGACGCATGGCTTGTAACCAAGTCTTTCGTCGGTTTTTATGTCTTTGTTCCTCGGTACTTGATTAGAGATGCGTTACGATTTTCTAAAGGCGATTCTAATTGATGATTCTAATTGACGAAATTCATTGCGTCTTTTGTATTTTTTGGGGATGAAATTCAAATCTTGACAATGTTTACTTTGTAACGGCTCGCCCTGTGGTTTTTGTTCGTCAACACAGCACGTTATTATGCATTTGTTTGAACTCTTTGTGTTTAATAATGAATATTTTGAGGTTTTCATATTTTCATGCTCGAGTCGTGCAGGTAGAAACACCATTCGCTTGTACGATTTCAAACTCTATCGACTGCGATGACTTGATGGCGTCCTGCTGTTTGTAATGGTCCGCCAGCTTTGGTTTATGTCATTAGTGTTTCCTTGGTGAATAATTCATCAACGCCTTTCTGTATTCATTTTAGTATCTCGACCACAACACATTTCGACAAAATGAGGATCTTCAGAAATACTTGTTTGATTGTCACACACTGTCCTTGTGCCTTTTCGCGTTTCCGCCGCAACGAAATGCTTTTGTGTTAAAGTCGGCCTTTAAAGAGACTTGCCCTTGTTATGTCTGATATTGCTAACGGCAACAACTACGCAAAAACTAATTAAAAATTGACTAAAGTGGATAAAATATGCATAGTAAAATGAACATAGAGAAGAAGCTACAGGAGTAGGTAATCCTTCTCCAATATCCCCATCAAGATGTGCTGTGTATTTAAAATTTTTGAAATTAGCAACTTTGAATTGCCTCGAGAAATATTTTACGCATACGCCACTAATCGATAATAAGACATTCACTCCTTATTATTAACTTTATTGCCATGAATGTAAACAAATCGATCTTTGACTTGAAGGCATGCGAACGTATGTCTCGTGACAAAAAAGTTTACCCTTGTACTCACAGAAACGACGTATGTTTTCTTCGACATAAATGTTTGTTTTCGAATACCGGAAAAAACCGGGACCGAGGAGCGTATTTTTCATTTGGAATTGGAGAGGGCATAAACTGCCGAAAAATATTAGTATCTATGAATCGCCTTTTATACTTTCAAAATTATACATTTCACTTATATGAGCGACGTAATCTTTTCAGACCGTGTCGAAAATGATTTTTACCCCCCATCCCTTAGTGTATCAAACCCAGGCTGCTCACATGAGTTATCAGTACAAAGGTTTGTGTCACCTTTGGGCTTGTAGTTTTGACGTCACGCAAACAGAGATCACTTATTTTTCCCATCATAGAACGCGCTTTTTTGCTACGTCGCGAATTTTGTGTCTTTTGCAGCATGTTGATGGTTTATGGTACATATTTTATGAACTACAGTGAATCTTGTATTGCCTTGCTTACGATATTTTTAACGATTCTTTTGCAAGAGTGTTTTATTGACATGTTGCTCCGTTCGAACTTCGCGTTTGACCTCCTGTTGAGCCTACAAATGAAACAGAATTTGGACAGCGTAAATAATTAAAAGGTTTATTTGCGGCTTTTGCAATCGAAAAAGTAGGGTCGGTCAAAATTTCGCCAACGTTTTGTGCTATATTCCATTTAGGGTCAAAATTTTGCAATTTTGAGAATTTTTGCTCCAACAGCACAGAATGGCGTGCACCGCATTTCGCTATAGCAATAGACCTGGTATATTTCTTGTTAACATATTTATTCAAGAATTATTAAGCTTCATGTTTTTACGAGGTATTTTGCATGTCATTTTCAGCGGCGTTTCTCCTGACAATAGCAACAGCCGTCTTTTACAAATGTGCAAATGGAAAAGAGGCATGTGTAATGTAGAAATTCCGTTGGTCGGAACAGCATGCGAGTTATCCTGACGTTTAGTCTCATGCCAAACACGTACATTGTATGCATGTACATATTAACATTGTCGATAAACTGTACTTTTTTCATCACGAATAAAGGTCGTCATAACTATACTATGGTTTTAAAGTGACGTAAATTGTTTGATGTCTATATTTGTTGGATAAATATAGCTGGTGTGACCATTGAAACATGAGCTAGGTTGACTGTCCTTAAAGCTGACATGGGACATAAACCTGAGATTGCGCATGGCAATGACTAAATTCTTTTTGTTGAAACTCTTGAAAAGAGGGCCAACATTGATTTTTCGTTACATAACGGCGTTTTTGTTCCATGGTCCTTAGAGTTTATTTGGCTATTTTTTCAACGTTTACAATAATTACATGTTTGTAATAGTTTACAATAATTTCGCGTTAGTTTGAGGGAAATTTCGTGAACGTATGAGAGGTTAACAAACGAATGGGAAAGTCTTACACTCGCACACCCATATGTGCAAGGAAGGAGTTTTTCATTACAAAAAGAGATTTTATGCTTCTTCTGTGCTGGCTTGCAGTTTCAATTGTTTGTGTGTTCTACGAAATAAAAGGATGCAAATTTAACCACTTTTTTATCTTTATTGTGTATAGAATTTTATCGAAACAAAGACGGCCTGTCGCCATGATGTACGGGCTTCTGCTGTTGTTTTGCGCCTTTGCTTTCGGTAGGTTAGCGAACTTCTTGATTGAAGTACAGAATAGCGCTTTATCGCCCAATTCATTGCATTTGCCTTTTGAACTTTTTCAATTTGTAGGGGACGAATTGATTCCTAGGATTCTTCGGGATGCCGATGACGTCCGAGGATTTCCGGACGACTTTGCTTTGTTGAGAGTGACGACGAACGATGTAAGCGGTGCCACTTATTACTGGATGAAGGACAGCAAAAGAATCGACAAAGACACTACGCCACAATTCAGTGGTATCCATGACCGCGTGCTGATACCGGTGGGAAAAGGAAGAGAATATGCTGGCGTGTATCGGTTCGTTATGAAAGCCAAAACTGGAACAATCATGGGGAGGAAGATCACTGTCGAATTTACTTGTGAGCGTTCGGTTTTTTAGTGTTATTTCTCAAAAGGCTAATTGTCCAAGGGGACCAGAAAATCGAGTCCTAGTCTTGTCTTTTCAATTCATACTTCCTCGTTGTTTTCTTACACTTTTAATTTTTTTATCTGTTGTTTTCAAACCACTTTCGTTCATGTGTCATCGAAATGCGGCATTTTAGATCTTGGAGAATTTGACCTTGGCTTTCAAAGACTTTATCATCCACCGGTGGTTATTGGTCAAGCAAACTTCATTCGTTGCCCGAAGCACACCCCAGGAAATAACATCATCTACAAATGGGGAAAAAGGTCCACGATAACCGGTGCTAATTTTCTAATGAACAAACCAAACTATCTTGTTCTTGATGACGGCACGTTATTTTATTCACACATCACCGAAAATGACGTTAGGACATTTAACGAAAGCAAATGGACGTGCGCCATGGAGGTGAAAGTTAACAATAAAAATTCATTCGCATGGGCCAATCACGTTGAAACAGAACTAAGGATTGTCGGAAGTAAGTTTGATTTTTGTTAATAGCGGTATTGCCAGAAGGTCAATGATAGGTTCATGCACGAAATGTACCGCGCATGTGTGTTTTCCTTTTGCGCATGAAAACATATGTGAGAAACGGGTCATGCGTACAAAGATTATCGCCTGTAGCATTTTATCAAAAAAGCCTACGTGAATGTTAAGGTTGGATCCAGGATGATTATTTAGGAGGGTGCTCTGGTTATTCATTAGATTAACAGCTCGAGATTTCTATGAAGTAATAGATGTATGATACAAGTAATTCGGAATAGATTTCTGTTGCTTCTTTGTGGTTGTGGACTTGTAGGTGCCGCTGTGCCATGTCATACAAATTATTACTCTTTTTGTTACATATACTGTTACTTTAGCTTAAGATAAAGATTAATGATTATGAGCTATTTTTTGAAATGTACTTCATTAAACATGAATCACAATTGCTTTTGCTTAATTGCTAGGTATACTAAAACTTTGCTTGTCAGAAAAGTGGCACCTTTTCTGCTTCCCTTTTAGTCAAGGCTATGAACACATCACTACGCACCGCATCCCTCGGCATTTATGATTTTGGACAAAAAGTAGCGCTCAAGCGAAAAAACGCGACTTCAATTTTGATATCTAATTGCTTTCAAAACATCGTTTGGATTAACATAAACTATCACTTGAATTCGAAAATTATAATGAACATTCTGAGCATTATCTTCTAGAGTAGCATGTAGCTAGACATTGCTTCATTCTAATTAATAAAGATGAAATTTGCACTGAATGAAGATTGAAATGTTGCGGCTAAGATATACGCTCCTTAGGCACATATCAACTTTTTTTGTCTTTCTTATTTAGCGAACATGACAGAATTTGGACCGAATATCGTTACACCTCTTCCACAGGCTAAACGGTTTGAAGAAGGAACAACCATATCGATGAAATGCGCCGCAACTGGACGGTATGAATCCTTGTGTTTTATCATATACCTGATAAATATCGTAAACCTCCCAACATAAGTATGTAATAGGAATACAAGCCGCAAGACGGTGGAATTTTCATCCTGTATGTATACACATGGTTGTTTTATATAGAAATATTGATTTTTGAAGCATGGATGTTGCGATGGGAAATGATCAGCCTACTTTGCGCTCACTATTTGCAGGCTAAACTTACCTTTCAACTCTGAGTTGCCAATATCAGACCTCTTCCAGTTTTACTATGACTTTCGATTACTTCTCAAATGTTAGAATAACTTCACTATAAAATATTTCTCCTAAAAGCTATGTATTTTCGACAATATTTGCCTGAGTAATATTAGTAAATAAGCCCGTTTTAGAAACTTTCGAAGTTCGAACTGCTCCGAAACTCTTTAATCTTATCCGTTATGGCTTGTGTGTATTCCCACGAAATATAATCTTTTGTTTGGCCGGTAAGCGGTTAAACCTGCGTAGCTTCTTCAGCATTCAGACAGTTGTCATTACATTTTGATAGACCAACGCCAAAATATTCTTGGAAACGAATCGATGTTTATGGCAAAGAAATAGCCGTGAAAGACGGTAAAGGTGGCATAACCTTTGAAGATCGTGATGATCGATTATTGATCATCGATTCAGCGAAGAAGGAGCATGCTGGTCGATATTTTTGCACTGCATCAATCGGGGAAAAGAACGATACAGTCGAAGGCTCGTTGATTTTTGAAGGTAGGCAAATATTGTTCCGTTCTCGTGCATCCTCCAACATCCTCTTACATCCTCATATGTCATAGTTTATATTTAAAGCATACAATGTTCAATGTGTAAAGTCTCTTTTTTCCTTTGCCAAATATGTATATGTATATTTAAAAAATGCTTTCACCTCATATCTTTGTATGTAATTTTCATCTTACTTTCTTGTCCGGAGTGGGCTTAAGTTTCCTTTCATTTTATTACAGTTGAACCAAAGTGGGTTGGCGAAAAAATTAAGTCGGCGAAGCCATCAATTTATTCAACTCATTCGTGGACGTGCAACGCATCTGGTTTTCCTGAGCCAACATACAAGTGGTACAAAGACGGAAAAGAGCTTGGTGACAGGTCAGTGTGCGTCAACATGAAAAATCTTTTCCAATATTTTTATTTACCCATAGTTATTTTTCAAGAGTTGGAATTTGTCTCTTCTAATGCCTTGCGTGCCCGAACTTAAAAACTTTGCAGCGAAATCTTCCGTCTTAACTCTTCTCTACTCAATTGCACGAAAAACAATAAAGATAGATCTGTGTTCGGCTCTATTTTATTGTCTGTGTTTGATTATCATAAATACTGGAGCGACTTGCGAGGTTCTCAGTTTTCGGTTTCTATTACTCTCTCACTGACTTGCTCCATGTTAAAAAAATTATTTATAGTATAAAGTAAATGGTATAACAGTAAATGTATGACGTTTCGACCAGGGGCGGATCTAGAGTATGTCAAATCCGTCGCGACTGATGTTTGAAACTCAAAATTACCTATTCATATTAGTTAAAAATTCATTAATTATTCTTACTTTATTATCGCATTTACTTCGTGATAAAAATCCAGCTTTGTTTATTATTGAAAACTAATGACTAATCCAATGAATATCTCCTTGGTAACCAGATCAGTTGAATTTTAATTGACCTGGAATAACCGACTGATAAGCGGGGTGGCTTGACTGGTTCGACATATAAAGGAGTCTAAGAACGCCAGAAACGCTATTTTATTGGTCAATGGCCAGATCAGTGGACAGTCTGGAATAATCTCGACCGATAATAGGGGTGGCCGGACCTATAAGGGAGTCCAATTGCTATCTTACAATTGGTTCATTTGAATTTTTGTCTTACTGTGATTGGTTTGACCTATTTCGACTGATAGCCAACTGAACTAACATAGTCAAGCTCACTGTCTGAATTGAATGTTTGATCGTTTCATAATAATTTTCTAAAGCATGATAGAAACTAAACTACAATCAGATGGAATTTATAAATCTTTACAAATTCATATGTTGACATGAATGCTGCTTTACCAAACTGGGAATTTTTTCAAGAGGGCGAAAAATTTATGGATGAATTGTAAATGCTTGGCAAAGACGATCTCGCGAGCGACATTTCAGTCATTGATGTTCAAAAGCAAGCCAACATTGTTTTGAGTTTTATCAGCAGAAATTTACATCAAAATCGTAAGTAAAGGACAACTGAAGTGTATGCATGAATGTAATATATCAAAGTCAATTTATGCGAGTGTGTGATGCGATTTATGTTAATATGGCGTATGGTAAGCAGATAGATGCTTCTAAAATTGTTGTTGCCGAAGGACTTTTAGCTAGGATTTCTTTAGTGCTTAGGAATCGTGACCGTATATGGCAGCGAAATCCTACATTCCTGCAAATATATTTCAATGGCCAAAATCTGTAGCCATAAGGCGCCATACTGTTATTACTTTATCATAAACAAATGTTTGGGACTTTTCAGTTTATGATCATTGATCATTCAATCATTAGACAGTTATACTACATATTGCTTAAGTTTTGAGAAAACTAACATTGATTACATGAGAAGCTGTTTACTATAACCTGTGATTTTGAGTCTTCTGATCCATGAAGCTTTTTATTTTGACAATTTGACTGGAATGGTATTAAACCTTAGTATTTCAGATACATGAAATGTTGTCCCATGTCACATATTGTCCCCTTTTCTAACTGAACACCTCATGTAGAGATGTAAAGTTGTGTTAATCTACGGCTCATACCAGATTGTTTGCCATAAATTCCAAGGGCTATTGATGTATGAAAAGCATTTTCTATAAAGTAAAAATGTCTTCCTATGTATGCAGATAAACCTTGAAATTTGGCAAAACAGCAAAGTATTTTCATGATCACTAGGTAATTTTTCTGATGATCATTATAATTTCTAAACTAAATTATTTCAGATTTACATTTAAACGAGCTTTGATCATATGAAATGATATTTATCATAACCAGTAAGCATAACACATGAACCAATTTTAACATTCATGTAATTATATAATTAAAGACATGTTGGTTACATTCTGTTTGTAATTGATAATACAATGCTACTAGTGATTGCTATATAGTACACCTTGAAGAAGATAATAGTCAAGTGAAATGCCTAATAAACATTTATGGCATTCAGCTGTCCTTATCTGCAAATTTTCACTCTGATAATTTTGCTTAAGCTTTGGCAGAAAAAATTTTGAGTTTTTCCTCAAAGGTGAATTTGCTAATACTGATGTGGAGATGGGTAAGGTTACAATAAACTTGCATGGTTTGAAGTCTGAGCTTTTCTATATCTATGAACTGTCTCTTGTAGTACCAAATTTCTAACTTAACTCATTACATAGAGGTTTGAATGGGGTCTCTAGGGGTCTATGCCTGACAACTTGGTAGAAATTTTTAAAGGCTATATCTGTTTTGAATATAGCATTATTGTAAAATAAATTTTACGTTCCTAGACATGCTAATGAGCTATATATTTGGCATAATAATGAGCCTAAATATTTGGCAAAACATTCAAGTATTGTTCACTTCATTTTTTTTTTTTTGAAAAAAAACGTAACCAAAATGTGTTGTATTTATGCAAAAACGATGCCCACAAAATACATTTTGTAATGCTCTGAAACGCTGAAAATGGCATTTTTAAGGCTCTGAAATTCAAAATTTCTCAGGAGAGAATGCCTCGGACCCCCCCTATATGCGGAGCGCCTCCGATGTTTTATGACTGATGTTTGAAAAATCCTAGATCCGCCCCTGGTTTCGACAACCTTAGCTGTAGTCATCTTCAGAGTCAAATGAGGAGTAAACGTCAGGTTAGCCGTATTTGTTAACTGGTTCTTACGTCATTGTATTGTGTGTACAGAAAATGTGTGGATGTCAATTGTGTATGGTCATTGTGAAATAATATGAAGTGTGATGTTTTTAGTTGAGATAAGTGATTTAGTTGTGATGTTTTTATTTGTAATGTGTGCGTGTCAATTGTGTATTGTCATTGTGAATTAGTGTGAAGTGTAATGTTTTTAGTTGATCGTTTGTTTGTATTGTAAGGTGCCGGTAACCTGACGTTTACTCCTCATTTGACTCTGAAGATGACTACCGCTAAGGTTGTCGAAACGTTAGTCAACAATAACAAAAACAGTCCTTCTCAAGACTATACCAACCTGGACGATCTACATTTACAAATATATATAGTTTATGTATGAAACAGTTGAATAATTTTTCCCTTTATTATTTGATTGAATCAATGCTGTTAGCTGCCTGCTAACAGCAAAACAATGTCTCCTCTTTAGTGGAAAGCACAGGATTAATGAGGGAACAGTAACATTTCCAAGACTGGAGCTAACTGATTCTGGCATGTACGAGTGTGTTGCTGAAAACAGTTTAAACAACATTTATCAAACTGCTCATTTGAATGTCAGAGGTTTGTATCACGTTTATGTAGAGAGCTTAAGTCTTAGGACATGCAAACCCTAGAAGGATGACATTCTCAGGTAAACTTGGAAAAATCACGTAAATGAATACAGTAAACTCTCGTTTTAAAACGGGGTATCGCTGTTTTATTTTGTTTTTAAGTGTTGATTTGAATTCGTAGGTCAATATTACTTCAAAGTTTGTCCCCTTCCATATTGCGTTCGATAAATTCTAGGGTGTCCATTGTAGCTAGAGAAAAACATGGAAGATGTTTGTTGGGGACCACATGAAGTGTCCGCAATGCCTTTATAACGAGATTCGGCAGGGTGTTGGCCTCATTTGTATTGTTTTTACGTTTCTGTTTGCATTTTTGGTGCTTCAAGGAGCCGTGTATCAATTGGTTGAAGGTAGCATCTTGTATAAATTTTTTTTTGTTTTGCCTTTAGCGGAGAAACCTGTTTTTCACGAAAACACCGGCACGAAAACATTATTCATCGGAAATAAAGGAGTGATTGAATGTCGTGCAAAAGCTGCACCATCTGCCAAGAACACGTGGGAAAAAGATGGCGTCAAAATTGATTTCACGTTTTCAAAATATACTCTTGCCAATCATGAAAATCTCGTTATCCGTGAGTACAAATATTGCAATTAAACGATGAAAAGTTTGATTTACCTTTTCTCTTCGGAACTGTCATGGCCAATGGTTGCAATAATGTAAGCCAGTCCTCCTTAGTGCTCCAGCTCGGGTGACGTTTCTACGTCCATTGACTTGAAACATAACTTTCTAAAAAAACGAACAAAGGTCATGTATAACATTACTAACTTGGATGGTGAATATAAACGAGCTTCACAGAAAATGCCTGTAATATTCTACGTATGAATAACTCAAAAAACCATCCACAGGATAAGGATTTTTACTAAACTTATCAAAAATAGGCACTGCGGGTGTACATGTACGCACAGCTGATTTTTGGAATCATTGTAACTCCATGCAGCAATGGGGTTGGGGTGAAAATAACTGTGTTGATGCACAAAGTTACTTTAATTTTATAGTATAGTTGTGAAACTTTGTTGTTAGAATCTTACTCATCGTTTACACAAAAGATTTTTGGCCTGCGTCTACTGTAAAAGTACAATTTACATAAATTATATATTCCACTTTATATTGCTAAACAATTATTGGAGTTACCAAAACCTTATACATACAGCTTTATGGTCTGAGAAACGTTTTGAAGTTTTTTCAGAGCGTTTTGAATTTGAACTTGACTTGCTCTTGTGTATTTTAGTTATGTAGCTGTTTTTTGTGCACTCTTTTATTCGAGGGATCAATGGATGTTCGTTGTCTTTGTAGAGAGGGTAAGCAAGCAAGATATTGGAAATTATACTTGCTACGCTAAAAATACATATGGAAGCGATTCAAAGAAGATAAGCGTTCAGGTCATTGGTGAAATCAATTTCGTTGACACCCCCAAAAATATCGAGAAAGTTAGGGGCGAAACATTTAAATTAAAGTGCAAAGCTGAAGGTAAGTGTTAGTCTAGTAGGCTTGTTTTTGCAAGAATTGTAATGAATAACTGAGGTCTGGTTCAGGTACACCGCATAGATTTAATCAAAACAGAAACAGAAAGTTGTCAAAGTTGCTGTAAATTTCAACTTCTGTACGATACGAAAGCTGGCAGCTGAAATTTCATTAAAAAGGCTGTGTTGTAAACCTCAAATTCCTCGAGTTTCCTTTGTTATTTCTGTTCTGAAATGATATTCTGCTACATTTCCTTGCTTTGTCTCTTGAGTGAAATATTTGTAGTGTGAAAATGGGGTCAACTAGACAAAATATGTGTTGTTCAAACCGAGTGCACGCATAGGTGACATTCCAAGTTTGAAGCTTGTGGTTAGTCCTCATCAACGACTAACATAAGTTTGACATAAACTTAAGCAGGTGCATTTATACACCAGATGTCTGGCATATAATGTACATAACAATAATCTTTTGTGTATGCAGGCGATAAAGACAGTGCTACGAAGCTGGTGATCAAGTACAAATGGCAAGTCGATGGTAAAGATCTTGTTTATGACGATTCGGTGGTTTGGTCAGAACAGGCTCACGCCCTCATCTTCCTTAAAACTGAGGTAGAGTCTGATATAAGTTTTGTACATTCATAAACTTTCATCAACTACCCGAAAATCGTGATACCATTTATCTTACATGAACTTTGTTGAACATGGTTGTAGGAACGGGATTGCGCGTTATCTGATAAATTTGACTTACTGTAGGTTGCGCAAAGTGGTACTTATGAGTGTATTGCCTATATTGATCAACCCTCGTATGCTGAAAAACGAAGCCGAGCCATCGTCAAAATTAAAGGTGAAAAAATACAGGCGTTTGACATGACCTTATTTAGTTTCATAGTTTCGTACATGTGGTGTATTTCATTTTGTTGATAGTCATGCCATTTTATCTCGTTCTCAGTTTTTGCGTTGCCGAAGTAAAATTTATCGATTTGTTTATATTGTGAATTCTTTGTTTAGTAGTTGTTGTCCGTATGTCATTTTTACGCATAATTTTATAAGGAAAATTAGACATCTGCCTTTGCAGTTGTTCTGATTGTTTCTTTACGTCTCAGGTCCTCCCGAAGCTCCCAATAAGGTTGAAATTGATGGTAATTGCAGCTTGTTCATTGCTAAGATAATGTGGAGTACCACACCGTCGAACCAGAATACCATTAAACACTTTATCATACAAAAGATGACGTCGTACGGGGTAGACACTTGGTACAACGTGAGCGAGAACGTGGATGCAAAAGAGTTTATGTGGACTGTTAAAAATCTATCGCCTTTTACGAAATATCGTTTCCGCGTTCTTGCTATCAATGAGATTGGTACGAGCGCACCCAGTGAGCCCACAAAATTTGATAACTGCGTCACACCTGCTAAAGGTAAAACAATTTCAGATAATTTTTTTCCATTTAAAGTTTGAGCTACACAACATGGTGTCCAGTATTTGTCCCACACACGGTTTTTGGTGTGTTGACGTACCGAGATTTGGTTTCAAGAGACTTAGTAGCATTGTTCTTATTTCGAGACAAATCTTCAACTGAAAGTATTACAGACCGCAAAGCGTGTCACCGACTTTAGAATTTAAAATGAATTGTTTTGCATCTTTTGAAACACGAAAGACTTTGTTGTATCTATCCTAGTTACTAATGCTTTGTGTGATTTTTTTACCTAGAACCAACGAAGTGTCCCAATATCAGCGCCTTTCCAGGAAAAGCCAATGAATTGACATTAAAATGGGAGGTTGGTTCTTACGTTTTTATTCTTTTGCAAGTAGATTCTGATTGGTTCAAAGACACGTACGAATTCGTTATGTTCAACAAAATGAACAAATCTAGTGTCATATAATGTGTGAAAATTAACAGTGTCTTGTTGCCATAACTTTACTGTACATCATAAATATGCTAACGCCTAAAAGCTCACTCGCACTCGCTGAGTGCGACAAAGAAATTTCGCTCCCAAAAATCAATGGCAAACTCAAAAAGAATAGTTAATGTAATAATTTTGAAGTGAGCGTAAGCGTGACCGAGCTTTTCGAATACAGGAGTAAGTTTTATTGAATAAGTACAATGTTTTGTGAATTAATATGTTTTACTAACATTTATTTTGCAAGGGAACCATATGATGTTACTGAACTTACGCAACTGACCAATAGCGTCAACCTTTTTTAAACATTTTTAAAGGTGAAAACTTTATTTTCTTTGAAGCACAACTTTTCTCCTTTCTTTCAGAAAATGGACCGCATATATCACAATGGAGGTGATTTCCATTATGTTCTTGAGTATTATTCCTCGATAAACGTCAATCCAACACCAAAAAGATTTGAACGCTACCAGCACGAATTCAAGATCCCAAATGCTGGTTATTATCATCTGTGGTCGTATAAAATCCAAGGGAAAAACATAGTTGGTGGTGGGCCATTTTGTGAAGGGAATGCCTATTCTGGCCAGAATGGTAGGTCGAGTATCGATAAATTGCTGAACGGATTTTAACGGCCTGCTTATGTTGATGTCGAGTTAACACTTGGAGTTGCCAGAAAAATATACAGAAAGTGTTCAACTTCGAAATTCTTAAAAGATTTGGTTGCATTTGGTCTTCTGCGTGTTTGAGCTTCCTTGTTTATCTCTCTTTCTCTTTAGTGATTATACGTCGCTTCCCATCTGTCTATAGGCCTTTTTGTTTATCTCTCTTTTTCTTTTGTTCTGTCGTCTTTGTTTGTCTTTCTTCCCTGTTGGTCTTTGCTTATTTGTGTATCTCCCGCTCTTTTTCTTTTGTGTTTCTTTGTTTATCTCGCATTCCTTTTGGTCTGGGCCTCTTTGTTTATCGCCCTTTCTTTTTGTCCAGGCTTGTTTGTTTATTGTGCTTCCCTTTTGGTTTTTCCTTGTCTACCTTCCTTTCTTGTTATCTGGGCTTCTCTGCTAAACTCGCTTCCCTTTTTCTCTAGGCTTCTTTGTTTATCTCGTCGTCATCGCTCAGTTTAATGTATTGTCAACAGTGTAATTTGCTTAATATTGAGCCTCACCTGCATAGATATTACCAATCGTCAACCCATCAAGCATCAAAAGTTTTACACTTTTTTATTTTGTTTTGTCATAAGCCAGAAAGTGCTCCTGATATGTGACGTTTCGATTTATCGACTTTGTTTGATATTTCTAGCTCCGGACAAAGCACCTTCGCAACTTACTGTTAGTAAAATTGGTGCCAGATACTTCATTGTCCAGTGGAAAAAACTTACATTAAAGAGAGGAAGCGTTGATGGCTATAACGTTAGTAGAGCTTATATGATATTGTCAGGGGTTTGTGAGACAATCGCGCATGTACACCAGTGGTTAGTGTAATACACGTGAAACATTTGACATATTATACAGTTAAAGTGGCAGCGCATATGTTCCTTGACAGCCATGCAGTTTTAACATCAAGGATCTAAAATGGGCGAAGTTTGCACATGCGTAATCACTTCAATTTAGCTACGTCGGGCGACCATGTTTTTTTTGCAGGCATACGAAAAAATTTTACAGGCAACGGAAAAAAGTCGTTGCACGAACTTTGTTCTCATACATTCTAACACAATTGCTCAAAGCTGTGATCGGCAAATATTGAAAATTTTTTCGAGAAATTTGAATTTTGCATTTTTCTCAAATGTGCATCATATGTTCTTCTGAATCAATACGGTTTGCCTTTGGCTTAAGCCACTTGCAGGTAGCGCCCCCCTACCTTAGCTCCCTCAACATTTTACACTGATCTTACACTGAGAGGGCGGCTGCCACTCTATTTTTTGTAAGGCGTCAACAGTGCATTTACTTTTTCTTCAGCTCATTTACAATCAACTTGGCACCTCTTCAACATCGCGTCGTTCGATCAATGCGAATCTTTGCACGGAGGATAGTACATGCGAACTGAATATCAGCGCCAGCCTCACATCCAAACGTGTCGACGGTCTTCTACCCGACACCGAATACAGAATATCTCTTCGCGGTTATAATAGCGGCGGATTTGGTCGCCGTAGTGCACCCATTTTAGTTCGAACAATGGAAGACGTACCCGAGGCAGTTGCTACCCTTACCCTCACGCCGTACGCCAAGTTTGTTAAAGTAGAGTGGACGGAACCGAACCAACCAAACGGAATTATCACCAAGTACAGAATATCCATTGATAAGCAACCCAATTTTAAACCTATCATTCTTAACGCCAATACCAAAAAATACATCTTCGATCGCCTGAGACCAAAGACTGAATATATCGTGACCGTACAGCCCAGTACGAGTAAAGGTTATGGCAAGAAACGTGCCGACTCGGTCGAAACACTTTCACCACAAGGTAAAGTGAGCTATCGTCGGGCTTATGTAATATGTTTCGCTAGGTTTTCGAAAATTAACAAAAAAATTCTCGGAAAAGAGATTGTAAATTGCACGTGATATTTTTTGCAGCAATAAACGTTATGCTCATTTGGTCAAATGGAACCGTCGAGTGAAGCACTTTTGAGTGGCACTTGCGTAGATAGTTAGAGTACAGTGACGTAGTCAGAAGTTGTGCAATTCACGTTCAGCCTAAATAATTTTCTTTCAATCAGGCTTTTACTGAACCTACCATTTTAATGCATGCAGATATCAAATTTGAAGAACCAAATTTGTTTGATGGCTACGCCTTTATAGACTACATAAACTCAGGCGAAATTGACTTCATAAGCTTGTGCTCAAACTTTCAGTGAGAGCGAATTGTAGCTACATACAACTGAATTGATTTTAAATTACTCAAAATGCAGTACTTCTACAATGAGATGTAGACTATTGATTTGGTATTCAAAGCATGAATATATATAGGATTTATCAAAAACTAAAGAAAATACAAGCATGGATAGAAACATGGTTCGATTTCCGATTTGAAAAGACTACCACTAGCAATTCAGTTTTTGAATTTATTTACCGTTTAATACTTCTCGATTTAAATTGCTCCGTCTTATTTGTTCAGTGCCTGCGGTCCCAAAAGCTCCGATTTTGGAAGGTATTGGTGAAAATGGTGTAAACGTGACTTTCCAAGAAGGACAACCCGAACAGGGATTTCCCGAAAAATTCCTCGTGTATTATCGCATCAAAGGTAAAAGACTTTCATATATTAGATTATGCATTCGAAGTGAGAACATCGTATTTTTTTTCATCCTGTTACGATATAAATTTCGGAACTCTTAAGTATACAACGTTTTGTTTCAGACGGCGAAGATACGGAATGGGCTAATTTGACAGATCCTGTGGACTATTTTGGTACGGATGGTAAGTCGTACGTGGAAATATACGATTTGAACGAAGGGGTGATGTATGAGTTTACCACCATTGCTTTGAACAACGAGGGCAAAAGTGAAAAGGGTGTCATTGGAGAAGTTCGCCCAGGAAACAATAAAAAAAAAGGTTAGTTTCTCAACTTGTTTGTTTGCCATACATTTAGGCATGCGCACAATTTATTTCCTGAATAAAAATAGCGGACGAGATCATAGGTTACAACAATTACAATAATTTAAGTTACAACAGTTCAACAAATTGCACGATGTTGAATGGAAATGTTAGATGCCCAAAACACATGTACACAGTATGTCAACATCATTCATCATTTCGTGAATTCTTTGGTAAAAGTGCTTTCTGGAAAATTATTGGATCGTGCGGAGACATTTACGACAAACATGGTGCTGTCGATAGTGCGTCCAACTTGTTTTGAACAAGATTTTTCCCATTTGCTGATGTTGACTGCATTTAGACAAAATGTATCAAACTTAATATTCAATCAAATTTTTTCTCTATCTGCTATGTAAAGAGGTTTGCCTATTTTATTTAGGTTTCTTGCAAAAATACAACTGTTTCTAAATGTTCTTTCCTGCCAAATCGTGCCTACGAACAATCCTTAGACTGAAAACTTTTTTACCGTTCGTAGCTAAAGCAGACACAACTTCGCTGGTCAAACGCGCCTGGTTCATTGTTGTCATCATAATAGTTTTCTTGCTTCTGATATTGCTGATGGTGGCATTGCTAATAACAAGGAAACGCGGCGAAAGATACCCCGGTATGTTGTGTAGTACGTTTTAACTGAGAGATATGGTTTGGCGGTTTGCATTTGTATTTTATAATTCGCATTGTCATTAGCTAAATTTTTATTTTTTGTGAAATGCTTGTCGATGAAAAAGACATACTCATGATGTATACTCACATGAAATAATTACATTCAGCCATAAACGTCACTTGGTTGTATTAAAAGTACTAAAAAGCTTGCGGTACATCACCTACCGCAAGAAGGGCCTCTTGCCGTTAAAACCTGAATCGCAAAGCCATGGTCACGTGACTTTTTGCGGTTTGCCGTGCGCCAAACTAAAACTCTTTAACGACGCTATTTTCAAGTTGGAAATGCATACGCTTGCAAGCGTGGCGAAAGTAAAGAATATTTGGTTCTTATTAAAATGTTAAGACTTAATGGTGTTATGGCACAGTATAGAAACATACAGTAGTCTCCCTCCACTGTACAACTTGGTGCTGTATATTTAATTAGATTACTGGCTGCGGCTAGCCATCCCAGCGCTCCTATTAGCCGAAAAAAGCATTTGACTGGCTGCCACTATGCTAATCACATGCTTAATAAGATATGCACTACACAAAAAAATTCCATAGAGTGGGACTTCTGTTTGTTTCTATACTGTGATTATGGTTTGTGATGTTAAGTGCTGTTTTTCCGACAGTTGGAAAACGAGAGAAGAAGAGAGCAGGTGGTATACTTGATATGGCAGATGAAGCGGATTATGGCGCGTATCCCATGAAAGATCACAGGTTAGAGTTTAGCATTTTTATGAATGCCAACTTCAGAGACAATGTAGATTGTTTTTATCGGTCGCCATGTTGGGGGAAAATTTCATATAGTGAAAAGAATTTATGTTCATTTCATACTTTGTTGAGCATCGGCATTTTGATGTACTCTCCCAACATGGCCGCATGCAAACATTGTACAGGGTGTCAAAAAAAAATGTAACTAGCATTTATAACAGATCAATGAACTCGACAGTTCTGTGCCTCTTGGATTTCATACATACACTTATTTCCAACATGTTATGACATACTGACATACACTAATTTCCAACGCAAATGCATTATAACAGCCACAAAAGTGTGGTCATATTCTCCCTTAGTTACAACAAACATGAACAAACTAGCGTTTGACTAAATTAACAAGGCGAAACAAATAGCTACTGCATACTAAACTATTTAACGCAGATTTCATTTAAGTGCATACATAATTATTCGTTTTTTTTGGGCGACACCCCGCCGTTGTAGTAGTAGAACGTTCAATGCCATACGAAAACATTTGCAAAATTTAATATTTTTTCAACAGGTCAAACGGAAATGGTGTGAACCGGCAAAACAGTAACGCCTCAATGCCATACAGAGATCCTGACCGCGATAGTTTGGAGGCGTATGGTGAAGAAGATCGTTTCGCCGAGGATGCAGCTTCATTGATCGGTGTTTATAACGATGACCGAAAACATGGCAAAGGTAAAGGCATGTTCGAGCCGGAAGCTGTGTAAAAGCAACAAGAGAGGCTGTGCCTATGGTTAACGTCGGTTTCGACCAAGAGATAGCATTGCTCGCTGAGTCCGTTTCACACTTTTTTTAGATATAATAGTTTAAGTTATTTGTAATTATTTGAGCTGACAGCGATCAGGTTTTTTGAACTGATTTAAAATAGTGAAGATAGTACTTGAAGACTCTGCAAAAAGGAATATTTTTAGAAAGGTGAATCATTACATGTTATAAATAACATGAATTCAACGAACTCTTCATTAAAGAGATGGCCGTTTTTGTAAAGTTTGCGAGGATCAACTTTTAGTCAAAACTATTTCTTAACGTTATTTATGCAACGATATACAACTGTTCTTAATATAAATGAAATTAGTCTGTAAATTAGTAAATATTAGTTTTATTTCATAAATTATTTCATATTTTTACTCAATTTTCCATACAGAATTCAGAAAACCACGACTAATTTGTATCCTTGCTTTTTCTTTACGCATTAACTTTATAGGTGGCTTCGTTAATGTGAATGACATTTCATATTTTTACAGCAGTTGATGGCGAATTATTTTTCATAAATATTTACTAATATAATTGGACAGGGCCTTTTGCACTTTCAGCAAATTGATGTTTTTGGGGTTTGACGCACTAACCACACATGCAACAACAATGACAAGGCTATTTATTATTTATACACCTTAAAGATCAAACATCGGTTTCTTTGCTTAATTTTACTGAAGCTGCTTTCCAATTATTTATCAAGATAACTGCAATTTTCACTGATAGTGAAAGGCTTCAATTATCGACGTTTTCGTGACAGGGAGTTTGCACGATGCACGCTGCAAATCGACGACAATGCATCAATATCGCTGGCGCTTACGACAATGACGTTGTTGTGGCTTAACCCAATCAAAATCGATGTCAACACCAAGCAACTCTCAACCATTCTTGTGCAGTGATTACCCGTGCATGTCAGAGAATTTTTCTCAAGATACAATGTGTTTAAATAGTCGCCAATAAAGGCTAACTTTTTCCCGTACTTTTTAAGGGCTATCGCATCTGCGTCGTTTGTCCAATCTCCGCCACTTCCACCTGAGGAACTTTCTGGCTTTAGGCGGGCCTTACGCACTAATTCATCGCCAATTTTTGCGAGACGCGCCCCGAGTTTTTGTAGAAGCGTTTTTCGTGACGTTTTTGATGCTCTGATGTTCAATTTGTAAAATGCGGGAAGGGATGCGCGTCGCTTTTCCGTCATCTTTCGACTTTTGATAGACGTTGTTCGTCGACGATATTGGCCGCCACATTTTTCTGTCGATATGATAATTTTTTTGTTCGTTGCCGGGTCAATACGTAAATAAAAATCCTTTTTTTCATCCGATCCCGATGTCGTTGCTGAAAAAAAAACACACAAAATATTCGTTAAATTTTATGAATAGTGGCACTGTAATTCTACAATTTAGTGAAATAGTGTTGAAATCAAAACAAAAAACAGGAATCGTGTTTTTTTTTATAATATTCCAATCAAACTGTGAGACCCAAACAACCCAAAAAGTTCAAGCAAAATTACTAATTGCGAATTATAAAGTAGTATACGGTTATGGCAGCCGTTTTGATTGTAGTATTCTTATGCAAAATACATACGGGCTACAAATTCCAAGCACGCACGAAATTACTTGTCACTAGAAAGTAAAACTGAAATTTTGATCAATGTAAAACCCTTGCGAAAACGAACCATTTTTTCGCGGTGTATTCGGAAAACTTCAACATTACAAAATTCAGTTCAAGACAACATTGTGCAGTTTTATCAGCGAAATTTTGTCAAGGAAAAACCTTACTAAATGTAGATGAGAAATCTTGAAATTACTCAAACTTGTGATTGTATATTTATTATTGTTAATGCTATGAAATTTTCGTTCTTACCTTGAGGATGTGAAGAATTATGAGTTTTCGAATCCAAACTCTCGACGTAAAACATGATTTTATGCTATTTCCAAAAAGCACTCACTGTCAGAGATAACTTGTATACTGATGTGATGAGCTAGCTTCGCTTGTTTTATACCGACGGCTTGCATGACTTGGAGGGTCGGATCGATGTCGATTAATTAGGAAGGTGTATGAGAATATATTACGATATTCCAAACACGTTTTAGCTGATTGCATGGGAACAATTATTTTGGCAGAGTGCGACATGAAAAGCGTAATTCAGCACGAAAGGTTATGAAGACGCGAAAAAGCCCTCATTTACATTGACCAACGGTTTAATAAATCTTTCAAGCTCTCAATCTGGGCTCTTCGGATATGTTGTTTTTCGACAAGAATACACTAGCAAGTGTGTCAAAAGCCGCTTCAATCGGTTTTGCTAAAACAAGCAAGTCATATTCAATTTCGTGTGTTCTTTGATCATGCACCGCGCAACGAGTCGCCCTTTCGTGATAATGAATGCGCTTTACGATCGGAACTTTCACATTATTGGAAAAAAAGCATACGATCGTCTCGGGGCTTCTACTTTGCCTCTTTCAGTCTCAATACCGAATCTGATTTTGTCATTGTCTCTTACAAAAATATCAATGAAACAATTTCACCTGCCCGAGTTGTAATTACCATCCTATCATTTAACCTTTCAGCTCAATTTGAACTTGAACTTGTTCATGTTTAAAATATTCATGATATCAGCTGCCTTGGGTTTTAAATGATTTGCACATTCTGCACCTGCTGGAACTGTGTAATGTTCGACTAAAGAATACCGTGAAATGTTTTTGCATTACGCATGGAAAAGCAATACTACGACGTTTTAACGCTTTTCCACCCGTGATAAAAGTTCACAACAAAGTTTTCCTCGTGCACAAAATGCTTATATTGCCGCATTTGTTGTTTCACAGCTTGGTATTTATTTTGGGATGTTCTTTCCGGCCATGTCGTATTGACAACTTTTTAAAGGGAATTTTAAGAACGTCTCTCAGCCGTGTCAGCTTGGTGTAGTGTGGGTCTTGTACAGAGAGTTGCTGAGATTGGAGTAACAACAGGAAGAGAAAACGAGCGGGGGTGGAATTACATGCGCAAATCAATACAATGAAGGTTGCCATGCTATGAGAATTTTTGGCTGGTTGTATTTGGATGAAAGCACACTTGCCCCAAGAAAAAGCATGCAACCTTATGCCTTGCCTGTTTCCAGATAAGAAAAGCAGAAAAGGAGGTCCATGCTACTAATATACATTTCCCGCTCTGATTTCTCACGGGGAAGAGTTTGCGATCCGTGGTCATTCTCATGAAAAAGGTTAACTTCATCAAACTATAGAGTTAAGGGCTGAAAATCACGCAGAACTTCAAGGGTGGACAAAGCTGGGAAAATACAAATGACCTATTTGAGCTACTCTGTCTACAGGTACATTGTGCACTACATCGACTGCATGTTAATAACATAGAAGGTTTTTTCATTAATTAGTATATTAGTGATGTAACAAGAAATACAAGTGCGTACTGAAAACAGCTAGAAATGTCAGTTGGGCGAATTAATTAGTTTTATGAATGGTGTGACCGTAGGAGGATTTTTTTCTACTCTATGTGTACACAAATAGATGCTACAACGTTGATATCAGTATTTTTAACGCCATCGTTGAAATCTTTCCCCGAAGAGTTATCAAGGACAAGCCATATGGCGGAGCCGCATTTATTGCTCATCATCTCAATGGATTTTCTGCCCAAATTCCAGAGAAAAAACCAAAACCTCTGTCTGTGCGTTTTCTTGCTCATACTGTAAATCCAAATCTTTGTTTCCAAGAATGTAGGGAAAGGCAAACTCGTTACAATTATCAACTAAACACTTGCTCAGTTTAATCGAATTAAGGCTGAGTTGGCTCCCAATAATTCTTTACTTCAAATTTCGCGCCGGACTAGGATGCCAAAGAATTATGCACGAAGACGATATGAAGGAAGGACCAACAAAGGTGTAGTTGGGCATCTTACACTTATGACAAAATTCAGCTAATATTCAGCAGGCTTGAGGTTGTTAGATCTAGCTTTTGTTTCAATAGGGAAATTGGCTATTTCGCTTCATGAGTCGAATGCAGCTGTCATTGCTGCTAGTACCGTTATAGAAGATAGTAGTCACAGTCACGGACTAAAAACATAATACAAGCACAGGTTCTTCACAACAAGTGCCATATTGCTCTCGACCAAGTAGCAGAAAAGTCATCAGCATTAATCTGTAGAAGACTAAAGACTTCAAGACGGTGCAGTACTTTGAGATGCTTGTTAAGAATAAACTGTAATCTTTATTCCATAAGCATCCATTAATATTAAACAGATTACAAGAACTGCATGGATAAGAAATTGACTTTGACTGCCCAGAAGCAACATGTTCGCCCATTTTGAGAATTTTAGGTTAAACGAGTTTCATTTGCAAGCCGATTTAGATTGTTCAATAACAAGTTTCCAGAGATAGTTGCACAGCGATTAATTTGGGAGTACACTAGTAGATGCCTTTGTCATAGCTGTAAGTAGTACTGGGTAGTCTATCTTTACCGGACTCTCTCAAATATTTTCAAATAAGTTATGTCTCATCATAAATAGAAAAACCAAAAATACATATAATGACTATAAACACGATAGTTATATTGGAAATTTCTAGATGCTATGCATTTTATCACATAGTCTGATGATGTCAGTACTGATAAGTGAGTACACATGCAGGGGCAAAACTAGAACATTAATTGAGGGGGGGGGGAGAAAGTATACTCATATAAGCAGTTGTACCCAACTGATTTCTCTTAAAAGTAAATTAACTTTGAAGAGAATTCAGCAGGGCGTATCAACCCTACTGGATCAACCCTATTTGGAGGTCTGAAATGCCCATATTTCAGGCAAACAGCAAGCACAAACCAGGTCATTTCCTGTTGTTCAACTGCCTCCCTCTCAATAACCACAAAGAGTGCTCAAGTCAAAATAGTATGATAACATTTAAACAGAATTGCCACTGGCAGACAATAAAACCGGCACAATAAACTTTAATGAATGTTTTTTTCAATTGAAAAAAAATGTGCCACTACAAATAAACCCACAACTATAAGCACAAAGAAATATTGAATGTTGATTAACAATTCACCTTCTTTCCCAACAATTCTATAAATAGAAAACATATTTTAAGGTGAACCACAATGAAGAGAAATGAGTACACAAAACCCTGTATACTTAAACTACAAGACTTCCATACAAGCTTCTTAATAGAAATCACTGTCTCAGAAAATAGACATTAATTAAAAAAGGAAAATAAAACTTTTTGCATTGATCATTGTCAAGTAATATCAAGAGTCTATTAGGGCATTGTCAATTGTTTATTTGGACATTTTGTGTACAAGTGTGGTGATTTGGACTTTCAAGTAATGAAATTGAAAATACAACTGTTTCTGAACAGCTATTTCATTGTAAGTTGCATGAGAGTGTATGCAGTATATTTACCAGCAGCAATCTTAACTGTTATTGAGTAAAATCACCATAAAGGATCAACATGGCATAAGAGCCAATTCCTCAATTAGTTATGCAAGACCAAAGCTAGAAAATGTAACTTGAGGGAATTTGTATTCATAGATTCAGTTGTGCCCTACTGAGTTCTTTGGCTTTCAGAGGACTAAAGTTCTCAAAATTGAGACCCTCTTGAAATGACAGTGTAGAAAATCTAGACATATAGCTCTTACATGCAGAAACAAAAAGGAATAATCTTTCTGAAGTGCCTAGAAAATCTTTGGAAGGTTCACGTTTGGCCTTCAGGGGTGGATACAAGAGGAAAAAATTTCAATAAGTAAAATATTTACTGAGAAAAATACCATATGCACAAGTCCTGTCTCAAATGCCAATTTTGCATAAATTAACAAACATTCTTGGTAGAGTATGAATTTTCATATTTTGATTTTTTATAGAGAAAAACCCAAACAAGATGAAAAAACCAAGTAACTTTCTCAGATTCTTCATTATTTCAATGCTACGTATTGACATTTTTTGGTTGACATACGATTGACTACCGACCATATACTTCATAACATACCCCTTCCTCATCCAAAGCTTTCAGTTTTTCTGCCATATTTTGTCGTCTTTTATGCCTTTTATTTTCTTCAAGTTTCGTCAAGTTTTGAGGCAGAGCGCCGTGTCATTTACGTGTCGTCGCTTCTCTGCTTGAAAAATCACAGTTTTCGGAATTCTTGTATACTTGGATTACATTATTGCAGACAAACACGTTGTTGTTAAGTCCGAATCGAAACTTTCTAAGGGAAAAACCTTTCATGGCACGTTTAGGATCGAAATTGAAAACTCAGCTCTAAAAATAGTTTAGTACGTTCCACGTGGTCCTCGAGAAATAAAGTCTTGAAAAAATGACAGGGGGGGAAATGCACTTCACAAAATGTTTGTTCTCCGGCTACGAAAATAAATACATGAAACATATCAAAACATCACAGACGTTTGACGGTATAAAAGTTTTTTCATACAGATTAGACTGTTCGTTTCAAAAGCATTTTACTTTTTTACGTGCGATGAAAAATAAAAATTTGTATCATAATGATATTTTTTTCATTTGGATGCATTGCATTCATTGTATGTGATGAGAGAAGAAATTCTTCGCGACGTAGCCTCCCCCTGTCACACTATTTGTCACGCGGGCGGGAAAGGGGAAGTACACGTTATTTTTAGAGCTGTGTTTTGAATGGTTTTGAATGTCAATGCTAAATGTGAAATGAAAGGTTTTCCCTTTGTGTTAAAGTTAATCATTTAAATTTTTCGATTGGGACTTACCTACAAGGACCTATCTGCTATACTGCAATACATACAAGGACTGAGAAGCGTGACTTATCGAGCAAAGAAACGACAACTTTGCATTGGCGGCAAATTCGACTGAATGTTCGTGTACAAAATAGTCACATTAAAAACATAGCACTGCCTCCAAACTTGACGAAACTCGGGTGAAATCTTATTTTCTCATCAATGATCATGTACATGTACAAGAATCGGTGAATACTTTCAAGACTCGGCAATGAAAAGCATACAAGACGGCAAAATATGGTGAAGTAAGTGAAGCGTGTTTTGGACTTGAGGAAGGTATGTGAAATATACTATGTGCATAAAAAATGAATCCAACTTTAACGCACTGTGACTTGAAATTTATATAATGAATTTGAACAATTCATGCACTTTGGTAGACGTCAAGGGGTCTACGGAATAACGTCAAGGGGTCAACGGAATGCTGTAGCTTGAACTATCTTCTACCTCTAGTTTTATTTGCATTCCACACTCTGCACCCCACACAACATGGGCGTACGGGCTGGGGGCAGTGAACTCCATATATATATATCTGGAATGATAACGACAATACATTTTATAGATATAAAATTGAAGCCAAAGTCCTAGTCTCTTGCGCGGTTTGTACGTCAGTTCCAGTCCTTCAAAGTCGAATATTCACGCGGTTTGTACGTCAGTTTCATTCCCCTGAGTGCCAAACATACACGGCCAATATAAATTTGAATACAAATTGCGAAAAAATAAACATATAAACAACATCACGACAAACAACACACGAGGACAACTCTTCGCAAAGGTTATTTTTACAGCTGAAACTTTACTACAGTGAGTTCGTTGTAACTTACAACTTGTAACGAGGAAAAGCCAACTGAAAATTACACTGTATGCTAAAAACAATACAATAGAAAATATGACGAGAAAATATTCAAGCATAAACTTTCTTTCGTCGGAAGGTAAATTGTCAAACGGTGTCAGACAGTGTTTGTCTTTTTGTCATTTCAGTGGATTCAAAGATCTGTTTTTCCAAAAAAGAAACTTGAATATCCAGTTTCACAAAAAATATTGAGTCTATAACTCGCATTTTCACTTTTTACAGAGCGATTGTATTTTTCATCGATTTTTATTGTGCTTGAAATACTACATGGTTGTCATCTCGATATCAATAATTGAATATCCTTAAAGACTTTGCATGTTTGTAAATGTAGATCGTCAGGTCCTGAGAAGGACTGTTTTGTTGTTGTTGACTGACGTTTCGACAACCTTAGCGGTAGTCATCTTCTCTTTGATTCATTTGACTCTGAAAATGACTACTGCTAAGGTTGTCGAAAAGTCAGTCAACAACAACAAAAATCCTTCTAGAACGATGTAACCTCCTGGGTTCAAACCATTTACCTTAAACACTTTGATATGTTTTAAAGGAAAACTGCAGCGTAAGAGCAGATCGACTAAGTTCACCTCACCTTGCTTCTCAATTTATCACTTTGATTCACTTTCCGTGAACCTTTTCATTCCAAAATTTCGTTATTTTACGCTCTGATCAAGATCCGAACTCTACCATTACCAAGGGACAAATGATTAAAAAATTAAAATGAACACGCGAGACTAGAGCCTGACGTGTAATGACGAATGATGACGACAAATATTTTTTTGGCTTCAATTTTTGGCTTCGGTTATCATTCCAGTTATTCAAATGTCGAGTTCACTGGCTGGGGGAAGCACAGGGAACACAGCCCCCCCCCCCCAAAGTATGGAACAGATGAACAAGAAAGGAATTAATTGACATTTAAAATTCCTTGCGTTATGTGAAGTTTTTCCTTGCCTTAATTGAAACCTGTGCAGTTTCATATGAAAATATAATATTAATACGGCGTTAAACTTCCAAAGTTGATATTTATCTTGCTTTTTCATGATTATGCAGCATAAAACGAAATATTACAGGGTTTTGGGTAGTTAGCAGTATCTTTAAGGTACTTAGCATCTTTTAATACAAATTATTATTCACTATATGAGCATTTTCGGCTGTGATTGGTCAACTACCTGCAGATAATTCTCGATATCTGCAGGTTATGACGTCATACCTACAGATAATAGTTTCTACAAATATGAACGCCGGTTTTGAAAACAAATCAAACAACAGCGATGTTTGCCACAGTTTCTAAAAACGATGTGAAAGCTTTTAAAGGAGAAGGATGCGGAAAACACTAAAAAAGCGGCGAAGCTGGCTTTGAACACATTTACAACATATTTAAATGAGACGAAATTGAATAAACCGTCTAACAAAAACAAATTAGCGAAGGTTTGAAAAATGTTTTATATTGATATGTTTTGATAATACTTCAGTGAATAATAAAACCATAATGGAATTCGTTTTTCGCATGATATCAAGAATTATTCAGACCTAGGAAAAGGTTATCCGCCTCAGCTTCGTTTCGGCAGATAGCATTGACCTCAGTCTGAATAATTCTTGATGTCATGTTCAACCTCATTCAGTGATTGCTTATTATCATTTTTATTTCTTTGTTTACATGTCTTTCTATGCTACAGAACTACTAAAAAGTTTACTGATTGATTTGTATATTTGTTATTGTCTCAGATCTTTGAGAAAATCATTGACATTTTTTGGAATCCGATGACCGAAGATCATATTTTTCCTGACTTTCCATTATACATGAGTATGAATGGCCACACCAACCAATCCGGTTTGATTTTAAGTTAAGCTACTAGACGTTACTTGTGCTAAAACGGCCGGTATTCTAAGAAGATTTTATATTCCTCTTGCGCATTGAAAATACTATTCTTACCATCTACTCTGTTCCGACTGGAAAGTTTGTAAACTGCGCACCCGAGATCAAATCTGGCTTTCGTTTTTACTAGTTTTTGTGTGCCTGAAAAGCGAATTTTGCAATATATTTTCGTAAAAAAACATACTTTTTGAAAATTTTGCGCTTTTTCCTAAGAACATGAATACCTTAGGAAAGAGAGAACATGAATGTCATAGGAAAGAGATAACATGAATATCTTATAGGAAAGAGAGAACATGAATATCTTAGGAAAGAGAGAACATGAATATCTTAGGCAAGAAAGAACATGAATGTCTTTGGAATGAGAGAACATTAATATATTAGGAAAGAGAACACGAATATCTTAGGAAAGAGATAACATGAATATCTTATAGGAAGGAGAACATGAATATCTTAGGAAAGAGAGAACATGAATATCTTATAGGAAAGAGAGAACATGAATATCTTAGGAAAGAGAGAACATATAAGAAAATCATGTAGTTTTAAAAAATAAACACACATCTTCATAGGAAGACCAATCTGGCTGGAAGGAGGTCAACTAGCAAATGAAACAATAAAAGAGGGTCAAAACTTCTCATGGTCATGCAATGCTTATAGTTATCCAGCCCCGATTTACTCTTGGACAAAAAATGGAATGAAACTATCTGAATCGTATATAAATCATTGTTCACGCTGTATAACCTAAATAGAGCATTTTAAAATATTTTCATTTAAGGCGTGGCCAAAATATACAAATGAAAACGAGCGTTTCGATATTTAGAAACAAACTAGAAATTCAAGATAGAAAATTATACTTTCATTCGATATCTAAGGCGGACGAAGGAGTTTATAAATGTTTGGTGGGAAACTTTCTTGGACTCCTATCTTCGTCAGCAAATCTAACGGTTGAAAAAGGAACAGGTGATGATAGATATGGTACGTTATGATACATTATGATATGTTCATTTAAACAATAGAATCGTCATAGGTACCTGTGCATGCAAAATGGGAAAGAGGTAGTACTCCCTCCTCTCTCCAGGAGAATCAGGATCAGCAGTTTCGCTGCTGCACTTGTGCGTACGTGAAAAAAGAAATATATTTTTCTTGGTCGACGGTTCCGGGAGCGTTTCAACGACAACGTTTGAAAATTTCAAAAAGTTCATGTCACTGGTAGTAGAGTCGTTTGATATTGGCCCAAACACAACTCACGTTGGCCTGTTACAGTACTCTAGTAAATCGCATACAGGTCTAGAGTTTTACTTCATTGAGTACCAGACCGCAGGAGAACTAACAGATGCCATCTCCAAAGTTGAATTTCACTACGGTGCATGGGCGTCAATCCTGCGATAATTGGGGGAGACCATATTCATATATTCAGTTATGCCAGGCTGATTTCTTTTGAAAATGAAATTGTTTTGAAAAGAAATTAGCCAGGCATAGCAGAATATATGAATATGGTCCCCCCAATTAAGACAGGATTGACGCCAATGCTACGGTGCTTACACGTTGGGTGGTTATGCCATGGATTTAGCGCAGGAGGTAATGAATTCAACGCCATCATGAAGGTCACCGTTAACGTTAGTGATAGTTTTGATGTATGAGCCCGTAGCCCCCCTCTCCCCGAGGGCGAGGATATTTACTTGATCACATTGACGAGCTGTTCTTCTCTTTGCATTACAGATTATGAACCACTACAACAGGGCAGATGCAAAAAACGCATGGGTGCTACTCATGGATGACGGCGTGTGGGATAAGGCCATAGCTCGTAACATTTCGCTTGAAGTACGCCAGTCGGGAAGCAAAATAATTGTACTCGACACCAAAGCAATCATGTACGATATCGCCGACATGGGTCTGATGTTTACCTCCGAAGATCTCGAAGATAACGCTCAGAAAGTCGTTGAAGAGATTTGTAAATAGTAGATTTTGTTTTTATAGGTATAATGAAATAAATGTATTGGATATTTTCTTTAAATTTAATTATTGCTTGCAATTGCAAAACGCATTTCAGGCCTTTGCTTCCTATGGCCGTCCCTGTTTCTACATCACTGGTGGAAATTATTAAACTTGTCTTAGCACAACGTAAATAGATTGTGTGAAATGATGGCTAAACCTTCTTTTTTGGTAAAGAATGATTTGGGGAAAAAATATCAAATTGAAGTACTTGCGAGCATAATTATCACCCGATGTCAAACCTATTAATGTTTTTCACGTCAGCCATTTTGGAGGTGTTATACGATAAAATATTTTATCAATACTTCTGTGGACTCCAGCAGAGTTGGCAAATGTTATTGTTTAGTAAATCCCTGGAGAATGGGTGCAAGTCAAAAATTGACAAAGTTTGGGGATAATGTAGAACAATGTCCATGTGCAGAACATCAAAGACGTTAACCAATTGTAGTCAGCAAGCTAATGTTTACATAATTAATCACATAAAAGTACAGTTCAAAAGTGCTATGAGAATGGAAAGAGCAATAACAAGTGCTATGGTTATGTGTGTGAGTAATCATGCAAGAAAGGTAAACATTGATTGGCGTTGTAGAGAGTACTTGGTATAGCTAATAGCTGATAGCTTCGGCTTAAACCGGTTAAAAGCAAGACGAAACATTTCCTGATATTTGTCAGAAGTTAGGGTTGACTAGAGACCACGTGGAAGGAGAAAGCAAGTCAAATTTGGAAGCGATTCTTACAAAACCTGTACGCCAAAAATGAAAGCTATAAATGCAGAAATTAAACAGGACTTAACAGAAAAATTTATAAAAACTACATATTGCACGTTATTGAACAGAAAGGAACAGATCATGTATTACAGAACGTCATCGTCACATCTTTTGCAGTGGTTGCTCATAACAAAAACTTACTTCAAATAATATTTAGAGAAGAATGTTAATAAAGCATTTGAGCGAGAAGACATTTGAAGGCTACGGTAAAATTTGCTGTCGAAAAGGAAGAAATTTTCAGTTATATTTTGGTATGACTAGTGGGATATATTTATGGCAATCCAAGACAATAAACAGCTAAACAATTAAACGGCAAAGGAAGGAAATTACGTGTAATATAAAATATTTGGTCGTGTATCAACTTAAAGAGAAGTAGCCTACTTATGCTGACATTTATGGGAAGATGCTCCTTCTTTTCAACGCTTTAACATTACTTTCAACACATCTTATGTAGACTAAATTATCCATCTGTCTTCAAAGCACTCACTGGTCGATTATGTAGTGTAAGGTTTCTCAGGTTGTATGGTAGGGTTAGAATCCTTTGAAGGTTATATGGTTGTATTTGGGCTTGGTGTGTTGAACATTGCACTTGCAATAAACGATTACCGTGTATGTCAGGACAAAGCAGACAGCAAAGTAAGGGGAAAAAATAGTACATAATGTGTGGAAATGGCATTTCTTTTGTTGGTTTTTCGAATATGGAATGCGACACTTAGTATATTTTCGGAAAAAAATCGCAAAGAAAAAATAGAAAAACCTGTTGCAAAAATTTTGCCCTAAAATTTGCCTAAGTCTTTTGATCAAATTGTTCTATGACTCACCAATGGGAGTCATTTTTTATAGCCAGGAAACAGATGGCAAACCGAACGCCCTTTCACAACCCCTCCTAACCTCAACCTAGCACTCAATGCTCAGCCTGCAACCCGTACTGACAACGACACCGGGACGAACCAAAGACCTCGTGTATTGGAGGTCAGACGCAGCCTGTTGAGCCAAAAGCTCAACAACGAATACTAACGATTTCCGGGCATATTTTCCGCTTCTTTTAGAGTTGAAGGGATAGAAAACAAGGTGGTACTGAACCTTAGAAGGTTGAACTATCACATCCACGACTTAACATTGGTTATGTACGCGTTTTACAACTTCAAAAATCGAAAAGAACGAAGGAGCCTTGAGCCCGAACAGCAGTAGTCACCAACCGCCATCTTTACCACTCGACCAAGCGAGGGAGATGTCCAGTCGATTAAAATATATTTAGTGGGTCAACACAACAACATTTGTTGCCTTTCATTACATAAGGCTTTAAGTTATATGATGTTTGGAAAATGCTTTTACGGCATCATTGAAAATATAGAACTATAAAAAATGGCCTTGCTACGATTTTCAAGTTGAACGATAACATTGAAGCATAATGTCTATTACCACAAAGAAAGAAGATGAATAAAGTATGCAAAATGTCATGCATTGCCATATGGTGAATCACGCGCATGTCCTTTGTCATTTTCTCTATTTATTGCCGTCGGGATTATTTAACTTTACGTTGAATTAACTAAGTTATTTGTTATATTATACACAGCAACCACTTATTGCAATGTCTTCAACTAAAGCATATAGTTTCTGCAAACCAGTTACTCGCTTTTTTACATTGTTATTAATATTTTAGCACTTACCTATATAAGTTTATGAAGCCCTACGAAGGTATAAATCAATAAACTACACACTACTTTCGCTTTGCAATGTGGTCATGTTCGAAAGTGACATTTCAAGGTGATCATGCAGCAAGAAACCTAAGCAGTTACGTTACGCTTCGTCAACTGAAAAGATTTTATGTAATACACTTCATTGTCAATGTAATACAATAGCGCTTTGAAACTACATTATTTTAGTTCTTGTGTAAAGTGTTTATTAGCACAACCTACATATATATATATATATATACAAAGTGTATAACAATGTGCCCTCCCGGCTATCACCATAGTAAAATGGTGACTCCTGCACATGGGACACAAGACGTAGGGTTACACATTGTATGGATTGTTTGTAGAGTCACCACAGTGCTCGAACCTATAATAGTGAGCTTATACTAATAGAAATATGTCCACTACATAATAATAAATATAGCTACGTTAAAAGGAAAATACTGGATCCGCAACGTATAGGTCCGCAAACGACCGTTAACCTTAACTTACGGCCAGCTATGTTTACAACATATTCATTTCAATTATGTGGTATATACAGGTCGATTTTAAAGGTTTTGTAATAGCACCCAAAGAGCCACAATATTTTTGCCTTTATGTCCAAAATAAATTGAATTGAGTCTCCATGCTGATCACTTGAATGAACAAACTCAACAAGATGAAAGCAAAAAAAGCCAAAGGTGTTTAGTCAACTTCAAAGGTCTCGTGTTTTGAAAAATACCTCAACCAAATCTATAATATTAAACAACGACAAGCCGTAGCTAAAATTCAAATTTCAACGCATGAACTACGAGTCGAAACTGATCGTTACAACAGTACAACATATAATGATAGGATATGTAATCATTGTAATCATACCTTTGAAATCGGGAATGAGAAACATCTCCTGATGTCCTGCACAAATACAAAATTGATGGATAACAGGAAAATTTTTATGGAAAGCCAATAAAGGATAAATGGATCTTTCCAAGCTTTCACTAAAGAGGCTCTGCTCATCTACTTAATGTCAATGCATGACAACTCAATCATCGAACTATCAGAGAAGTTCTGCTTTAATATGTTGACTTTATTCGATGATGTAAATAGCGTAGAAATTATTGCTGTCTTCGTTCTTGTTCTTGTAATTGTCCTCAAACTATTATAACATTTGTACTAGCCTCTCGAAGATTTAAAATAAATTTAATTTCATGTATTTTATTATAGCTTGAGATGTACTTAGTATGAATTTTTAAATTAACTCATGTCTATAAATCTCTATACCTTCGTTCTTACAAAGCGTAATGTGAAGTTTGAATCGTTTCCATCGGATAAATTAAATGAGCAACGTCACCTTGAAACGAGAGGGCATATTGATTTACCTTCAAAGGTCTAAATAAACTTGTATAGGTAAGTGCTAAAACTATAATAACAAAGCAAAAAAGTAAACATAGAAACAACAGTAAAAAAGTAAACATAGAAACAATTTCTATAGAAACAACATGCTTTTGTAGAAGACATTACATTAATAAGTGGTTGGTGAGTATAATGATTAAAAATATATTTGTCATCAAACGTAAAGTTAAATAATCCCGTCGACATTAAATCAAAAAAATTACAAAAGACATGCACGTGATTCACCACATGGCAATGCATGACATGTATACTTTATTCTTCTTCTTTCTTTATCATTATACTTATATTGCTTCGATTGCTATCGCTTGACTTGTAGCAAGACAATTTTCTTTATATAGTTCTATTTATTTAATGATGAGGTAAAAGCATTTGCCAAACATCTTATAACTTAAAGTCTTATGCATTGAAAGGCAACAAATGTTGTTCTGTTGTAGCACTTGATATGTTTCCACATGCTCCACATCTCTCTCGCTTGGTTGAGTGGGTAAGTTGACGGTTTGAGATCACTGCTGTTCTGGTTCAAGACTGCTTTGTTCTCTTTGTCTTTTTAGAGTTCACTAATACGTAAATATCTAAGGTAAAGTCATGGCTAATGTAATTGCACCTTCTTAGGTTCAAGTCTACTTTGTATATTTCTACTAAAAAGTTGAAAAAAAAGGGTACAAATATGCCAGAAAACTATTAGTATTCGCTGTTGAGCTTCTGACTCAACAGGCTCTGTCTGTTCTCCAATGCACGAGGTCCTTGGTTCGTACTGGTGTCGTCGTCAGTTCGGGTTGTAGATTGAGGATTGAGTGTACGGTTGATATTAGGAAGGGGTGTGAAAGGGCGTTTGGTTTGCTCTCTGTTTCCTGACTATTAATAAATTACTCCCATTGGTGAGTCAGAAAAATTTGATCAAAAGACTTAGTTATGCAACAGATCTGTATTCGTTTTTCTTATGCGATATTTTTCTGAAAATATACCAAGTGACGCATTCCACTGTCGAAAAACCAACAATAAAAATGACATTTGTATAATAGTGTGTTTTATAATCTATCCTTACATTGCTGACTTCTTTGCCATGCCACATACAGTAATCGTTGATTGCAAGTCCAATGCTCAATACACCAAGCTCAACAACAACCGACTGACCCTGGAAGGATTCAATTTCTCACCGTCATATTGGAAGGTCCCACTAGATACGAAAAAGTAATCATAATATTAATCATAATCATATTTCCATAAAATCTGCTATGTTTATACATGGCCTTAAGTTACAAAAATAACAGAAATACGTCGTCATTAAAGCTCTTTCGCATATTAAAGTTGGGTTTCACTACTCGAGTGGGACCTAGTAATTGGTCACACTCGGGTGATAACAATGTGGGCATTCGATTACTTTGGATTGGACGTTGTATTGCAGTGTGCTATTAAGGGTTTACGATTAAAGTATACATTTGTGTACTTTAATCAAATCCTATATTGGCCTTATAATGACAGAAATCAGTCAGCTTACTGTCAATTGAACATTGAAGCAGAAAAGTACATTTGTGTATAAAATGGATGGGGGTGTTTGGAATTCGGAAAATTTTGAATAGCTACGTATTAAATGGACGGACCTAGCAGCAAAGAAAGAGAGTTTTATGGTCATTAGCTTGGAATGCAGCCACGCTCCTGCTGTACCAACATCATCGAGAACGTAGAGAGAATTTAGAAAACTTCATTAGAATTTAGAACTTCACTATAGAACTTCACTAGAGAATTTAGAAAAAAAACTTCAATGCAATGCAATGCAATGCAATGAAATGCAATGCAACTCTAGCTATTCTTGGTTTGTAAGCTACGTCATAGTCGCCATGTTTAATGATTTTAACAAAGGATTTTCCTTATTTACAATGCAAATTTCATCCAACATGGCGAGGATTCCATTATTCTCTTACTCCAAGGGGAATAGTTGCAAGCCACCAATAAGATCTCATCACTTTTTTTTCACAGTGTTTCAGAGTGTGGCAGTATGCGAACGTCATTTATGATGAATTAAGAACAATTTTTAGAGGAGATGTCTTTCAACGTTCTTTGCCTATCCTTTGCGTCCACCTTTTTGTTAACTTTTTTAATAGACTCGGTCGACACTTGAAAAAGTCAACTTTTCATAAAATTCGACATTCAAAGTCTTCATTTCGTAAGATAAATTTAATGCAAACCGTTTTTCGAGGTCACCTGGAAAATAATAATTCAAATCTTTAGCTTTCATGTCAGCCATGCAGTGTCAAGACTTTTTTTTTTTATTAGGTTTTATTACTGGTATAATGTATTGTGTTCAAACACTGATAAAGTGACCAAGGCTATATTATTTACACATCCGAATAAGTCGACGTTTGCAAATGAGAGAGGGTGTTTTGGTCGTCTGTCATGTCCTTCTAATTGATTAAAAATTAATGTGAGATAAATTACTATGAGTATTTAGCATACATCAAGCCAGAAAAATGCCTCGGGAAAAGTTAACAGCGCAAACTTGACAGGTGCTTCTTGATGGAAAAACTGTTTTCATCCAGTTATTCAAGAAATGCATATTTTGCTTCCTTGTTCAATCAAAAGAGTTTAGTCAATATAACTCCAATACCGGCAATAAATGCTTCAATATCGTCATGCAGCGGCTCTATTTGTTTGTCTTGACAAAGGTCAGACATATGTTTTGCGCTCAAACACTTCGTGGTGAACGCAGCTCTTAGTTGTTTGTTGAGAAAATAAAATTTAAGCTTGTAAAAATTCCAATTCTGCAAACTTAGTGTTGTGGATAGTGATCATATTTAGCTCAATAGGGCGTGCTGCATTTTTTGATTAGCATCCGCATCATTCCACCACGATACAGCTTACTGGTTTTAAGACATAATTCCAGAATTGTTATATACTGGAGACTTAATGCATGCACTAACGATGTACTGAGCGATTAGAACATTGTCTGGATATGTTCATTTGTATTGATATGGAAAAAGATACTTGTTTGTCAATCGATAAAAATGTTTTAAAAGGGTTTGTAACATCATGATGCTGATTGCATGTCACCCAGAGATAGCGTTCATTTGAGTGAATTGTAAACGTTTACTCTAGCAACTCTTGTATAATTGTAACCACATGCATGCACGGTATTAGACATGCATCCACGGAGCCCGTGTTCGAACACATCCTGTTACAAATAACACAAACATAGATAATTTGGATAAGTCTGAGATGACCGGATCAAAATAGCTTGTTTCACAACGTATTAATAAAAGCAATCGGAACATGGACATTTGAATAGTATACTTTTAATCAATTGAAAAAATCTATAGTGAATGTTTTACTAATGAGCGACACACAAGTCATATACCACCCCACCGGGGGCGGTTGCACGACACCAGGACAGCGTTGTCCATTGGATAGTAATTTTTTCAAAATTGTGAAAAAAACGGATGTATTTTCTTTACGATAATGAAAACGTTTTAATTCAAGAACCAATATTGTATTTCGTTAATTGCCCACTTCAAATCGTAGATTATTCCTTTTTCAGAAATTGTAGAAGCGTTGAAAAATATAACGCGCTTCGTGCAAACGCCCCCTGAATTTTAATTATCACTTCTTTGAGTTCTCTCAAATGCCTTTTTTTATTTTATATCAATTTCTTAAATGGTAAAGGACTTTCTGTTCATTTCCTTTCCAATGTTCAACTATGAAGTGAAATTTATTCAATTCATTCAAGTTTATCAATTTGGTTCGTTGACCTGCATAGATTTTTTCACCAAAATTATTCGGCACCAATTAAATTCACTCTAAAATGGAGGGTTTTAATTCGTTGCTCAAAATGAATAATTAATGAGGAGAGAAAGTTCTACATGAAGTCATAGTTGAGATATCGCCACAGAGAGGAGCAATCCACTTGTCACAAGTTGTTTGACTGTTGTTTTTTTCCCCAAAATAAATCGTCGACGATCAAAGCTGGTTAACGTCGCCATAAAGAGCTTATACGTAAATGTGCAGAATGGAAGAATCGTCAGAAGTTTCCTCGCCCGAAATGCAAGCCTTCGAAAACGTATCTCCAAACGGCCTGCCAAATCACTTCGATCATTCGGTTGAAGAAAATGGCCTCGCGAATGATGACGAGCACTACCAAAGCGTTGTAGCTCTTGCACATGAGCTGGCGCATGCAGGGGACGAGCTTGTGAGAAGATTTTCGACTACGAATAACGCAAGAGACGAGACGCCATGGGATAGAGTGTGGCAGTATGCTGTTGTTTTAGCGATTCGTGTTCTCCTTGGCCAAGTCTAAGTCGTAAACATTTATCTCTCGTGTACAAAAAAAAGATGGCTATAAGACAGGGCACAGAGTTCGCCCACGCTATAGTAGATATGCATTCCAGGGTACTACTTTTTAAGCTATCAAAAGCAGAATTCGTGCTGTAGCTAATTCCCCAGAAAATTTGATTGTATGTGCGTTTACAATTGCTGCGTTAGAGCATAATGCGACACGAAAACATGTCGGGCGTTTTGCCAAAATTGGTGCAACTTTAAACCTATAAATCCCCCCCTTATAGGGTGTTTGTTGTTGACCGGTTGCGATTGCAACACTGCGTCATATATTTTTGGCGTTTTTTTGATAATGCAACCACTGCATGAAGAAACTAATAGTTTAGAGTAAGTTGACCAAGAAGCCAAAATCTTAGAGCAACATACGAGGATTGTGGCAATTCGACATTTCTGTTTTCTACCTGAATTTAAACAAGGTAATGGGCTGTGTGAGATAAGAATGATTTTTGCGCGCTTATAATAATGGGGAAAAGTTTCAAGTTGAGCAATAAATTTTTTCGTTATTTTCGTCGTGATGCTCTATTGTTTGTAGAAGACGACAAAATCGTAATTGCACACACGCAATAAAACTCATGCAAAACAGAGCGTCGCCACGCTTGGGACTCTTCAACTCGAATCGACCATTTGATAAATTTTTGAACGTGTATTATATAGGAAAAGCCAATGTTTAGAACCTGATATTTTTCTTGATGTAAAAGAATGAAGTTTAATAAAAGATTGTGTGTAGATTTGGCGTAAGGCATTCGTGACTACAATGGGTCATGCCGACTGCCTTCCATTGAAAATGCATGCAGCTGGAATCTTTTATCGCTGTGCCGGCCATGTATTTCCCTTCTGTTTTGCGCAATGAAAAAGGTGAAAAGTTTCATTCATTAAAGTTCAAAGCAATGAGATGGAGGGAAAATGTAATACTTTCTCCCAAACGCACGCACGTAAAGCAATATTTTTCAGGTTTGATAGTGCTTTAACTTGAATTTCACGTGTCCAGATACAAGAGAAATAGACAAAACATATTGAAAACGGTCCCGCAATGCTACATGGCGGAGTAAGATAGTTTATCACAAGATCGTAATGTTTTCACCAAGAATAATCAAACGTGTCGTTCATGATTTTGAAAGAACGCGAATTTACATGGCATTTTTAAATATACATAATGTAGCTAGAAAAATGACTCGGTCCTTTCGATGTCGCCAATATTAAAAAATTGACCGAAAAAGTAACATCTTTTTGCATTCCATTTCAATAAGTCGCCTGAAGTTCGTCTTTTGTGTTACTATACATTCGCTAATACAGCCGTATCTTCCAGATTATTTTCACTGCGTCACATCTCTAAGATGTGTTGCATGAAGCCCTATCACTACTTACGTAATGTTTTTGTCGCTTGTAGAGTAGTAAATAAGCTCCATATGAGACAAAGAGTTTTCAAACGTTCCGCACGAAACACACATCAGAAAAATTTCTCCGATTGCACAATCTTAAATACTCAAAGAGCGAACGATGCTTAAAAACCAAAACATCGAAGACCGCGTAACTTCTCAGCAATGGACAAAGTTTCGTAAAAGATAAGGTCTGCGAAATAGTAAAACAACATGTTCACGTTTACTGAACGTACGAAGACCAAAAGCTGCACGGGGGTTTGTAAGATACTCAAGAACAGTGATACCGCTTGTAAAAAATTTACTGTCATGAAATAAACAAAACAAAAATATTCCAGGACATGCTGCACGAAATCATAGAACCCGATGTATATAACTTCTCAATGGCGGAGTTGTATTGCGACGGCTATACAATTAGAGCAAAAACATTTGCTTTTTAAAGAGTATGACGTTGTGATGTAATGGCAGTCTCATGCAAAGGCTTTTGTGGTTGGTCTCGCCAACTTTAATCTAGAATGTTGCAAGTATTTATCTCATCTAGAATATAAACGCATCATTCGATCATGGACTACACGAAAATTTGAAGAGTTATGGTTGTAACGCGATTCCCTTTGTGTTTATTTCCTTTAAGATTTCGAAGGTTCTTTCAAACGTTAGCAATTGTTTTTTGAACTACATTGTTTCTCTGTCCGAGAAAATATCCACAGCACAACCTAGACGAAGTATAGAAAGGATGGAAAATTCTGCGAAGAGAAGGCAGAACTGGGCATGGAAATAATCATGAAAGAATTTCGTGGAATATGTATTATCCCGCTATATGCATGACAAAACACGCTCGCATATAAATGCTCCTTGTTGAGGTTCACCTCACACAGCTAACTTGTTTTAGAAAGTAAAAATAAGAGTCGCATAAACAATGTATTTGCTTAGAGAACGATTCATTCTTTTATGTACAAACACGAGTCAAATCCTACAAAGCCTTTATATGATAAACCTTTCTTCAAGCTACAATAAAGGATCGTACACAAATTTAGCTATATAACACTGTACAACTAAGGAGCTGGCTGCAAACTCTTTCTACTTGTATAACTATCTCTGCCATTTGTGGAAGAGAAAGCAAAATGTAGTCGATTATGGCTATGTTGTGTTAGCTATAAACACGACTGTGAACAACTTTGCTGGTATTTACGATTATGAGCGCCCTTCAAAAAAGTTGCAATGTCTGCGAGCACATTTTCAAATATTTTTTGTGCAAACTTACACACCGGCAGTTTTATCGCTGGAGAGACATCCATAAAAGAAAATGACGAAAGATCAAATCTTGACAGCCTGTTCTTCCCGCGACTTGTGAATAAAATGTGTCTGCAACTTTACACATGAGTCTGCAATAATTCACCGTTGCCATGAAAGAAATTGTGCTACATAGTTGAGTCTGTGGAATAAAAATACATTAGTCGATTTTCATCAAAATGTAGCTTCATACATTACATCCTCGATACAGCAATGGGGAAAGTCACTCACCATTACACGCACAAACGTTTCGAAATATATCAGCACCTGATTTGCACGGCTCAAAACTTAATACAAAAAATCAAAATGTAAACACCGCATGATTTATATTTTCGGTTAAATTGATATCGTACGCCCGTATATATCGATTAATTGCAACTGTATAACGGAGATATTTTATAAAAAAAAGCATGCATCTCGAACTTCCATATGATGGAGAATTAAAGTCTTAAAATTGTTAATTTAGTTATCCTCTATAAGATCCCATTGTGATCGCAGACGTGCAATGCATACACGTACATTGAATTTTTTTGTCATATTTTTAGTTTGATGCCGTCGAGTTGTTTAAATATGAATGCATTAATCTGCACGGAACACCGAAGGTAATCTCTCCTTAAAACTGAGATACAATTTGCCAGTTTCATCAGCGCAAAATATCCTCTTTTTACTATGCTGCCTATACATGCAATTCGTCCTTCTGATGAATGATAGCTTACAAGACAACTATTGCTATATTGCTATGTCATTAGGTATTTGTGTTCAATCCACTGAGAAACGTCATACAAAATGCTACATAATCCAAGGAATTTACTTACATTATACACGTGAATATAAAACTCTTATCCTTTTGTGAGCTAACTATGTACTTGCATCTTTAAGAACTAAATATCACAAGTGACAAGAAACTGACTCGTATACAGTCGTAAGGAATAGTCCATGTTTCATAAAATTTTAGCTCACTCTTAAACTTTAACATTGAGCTACGAGCAATCAGTATCATCGCACAAATTACACTCAAGGTCGTAGAAAATAGAGTTAGTAGTTGTATTTATATACATAATTGTTGGAAAATACTGTTTAGGATTATCGTGTATAAAATGAGTACGTACAATCCGATTTACTGAAGAAAATCAAACATTAACATTTGCCCAGAAACACAAACTTTTCCAATAAAGTCTACCGAGCATAACATGTATAGATTTTCTACAGCTTCGACGAAACGCCTCGATATTGGAAAGTTCTTTGGTATGATTTGACTGAAACGGTTTTCGATTATAGTTTAGCAATAGCAAATGGAATCGTAGAGAACTTGAGTTATTTTCTTCCACAAACGTAAGTAATCTCTGCTTCAAACAAAGTATATCCTTCAAGCTTGTTTCGCCGGCACGAGTGATTTAACAATGGCGGAGTAGGCTGTTCTTCTGCACTTTCAAATCAACAATAACAGCAAAACTCATACGCAGCAGTCTACGTTTCATGAAAACAGCAAACACACACGCACATTCATCAATTGGAAATACTAAGGGAAGACGCACCATGTTAGGAAAGAGATTCGCAGAAATTAGCAGAGACCAGTTCTTGAACATACATTAGTAGATTCGATAAGCATACATGCTGCTTGTTCGAATAAAAAAATTCAAAATTCGCAGCCTTCACCTCATTATGCAACAAAACAATAATATTTTGCAGGTGTTTTAAGATCAAAGCGTGTACGTCACTCCAGGCAATAGGAAGAAAATCTAAATATCATGAATTTCAAATTGTGCCTTATTTGCATGTTTAAAGCAAGACGGAGGATAAATGTAAAAGAATGTTTAAAACTATAGAAAAATTTTACATTTACTGCTTTTATCCAACGTGTTATCCAAAGGTACAGAATGCACGTAATGTGGTGTACGAATTACCGTGAGTGATAATAAAACTTGAAATCATGGGGCAGTGAATCTTTTAGTTGGAATCAAGCCTAAAGTTCGCTTGCTTAGTCTATCCTTCGAGAACGGAATTTTCTCCTATTTGTAGGTTGCTGTTTCGTTCATTTCGGACGTTGACATTATGGCTCCGTTTTTGCAGCCAAACAAACATGGCCGCGGAATTGTTTTAAGCAGATTATAATCGAGCTGCCAAATGTTACAAAGTTTTATAAGATATATGTGCAGGGAATATATGGTAAAAGGAATACATGCGTATTGAATGCCATGCAATGTTGGCAAAAACTATTTCAATCATTTATATCACATGAATTTAAAACCTTAAACTGTTCACAGGAACTTAAATATACCGGTATACGATGCAATTTTCCAACGAGTCCGAGACCACGTGAAACCGTCAAAATGCTAATTTATTTCAGAAAAAATTAGACCAGACGTTAGTTTATGGCTGACATATACACCAAAGCAACGAATTTATTTAGGCAAAATATAATTTGAGTTGTGAAACACCTACTAGTGCGAAAGAAACTCGCAAATAGGACCCAGTAATGTCCGAAAATGTCCACAGTTATATCGCGAAAGCAGAAACTACAGGCATATTATAAAAGCTCGAAACGAAAGACCCCGAGAACGCGCAAGCAACTACGCATGGCTTATACTCGTGATCAGTGGTAATAGGTTCCCCGTTTTCATTGAGATAACTACATGAATAACTACTTACCTTGTGGTTTTGTCGAGTCACTCTCCTCTTCGTATTCAAACAACAGTGCAATCCAACTAAGTAAGATTATATCCACAGCTTGGTATACAATTTTGTACGTAATCCACGTTTGGAAATTCCACGTTCAGTTAAAAACATAACATACCGACCCAACGCTCCAAAAATTCCATAAAGATTAAAGCGAACTTCTCTAAATCGTGTGCACAAGGTTTAGATTCATTGGTAAATAACTAACAGCATCACAGCTTCTTTGGAAAGTTTCGTTAGAAGGAAGCCGCCAGACTTAATTGTCTTGTAAGCATGAGGGACAACAGATGCCGTGGAAAGTTCGTGCAAATTATCGCAACGCCTACGCTTCGATAGGAAAATGAATTATCGAGAAACACATTTCCATGAGATTAATTAGCATGAAAACACCCGTGAATGCTATCGCAGAGGTAGAGGCAGAATGCCAAGTTTTTCCCATTCGATATTGATCGATGATTACACATCTTTGAGCGTAGCGAACTTGGGAAAAGATCTCCCCTTGGACATTGCTTCGCGCATGTCCCTTAAAAACTCAAACTCAAGAAAAGTTTCGTCTTGAAAAGCAAGCTTGCTCCTATGTGATTACGTACCTTTAAAATAATCCGTCCCCTCAAGCTTAAGAGTAATCGCATAAACAGTAAGATAATAAAATATTAAATAGTACACAAACGCGTAACCAACTGAGAAAGAAGTAAAATGATGGGTAAGTCACAAGTAAAAATGAAGGAATTACTACTTTCTATAATCATTGGTGACAATTTAGAATGAAAACGAGCATTCTCTAAACTGTAAAAGAGACAAGGCGCCAAGGCCAAAAATCAAAAAGTAAAATCAAGACGTTATAATACGCATACATGAAGTACTTCCTCTTGATGGTATTTGTACATTGTTCAAAGCGTAGTCATGCCATAAACTTTCTAAACAAATGCTTACAATGAGAACGAAAAGGAAAACAAAAAAACCATTGTATCTTCATATCTTAAGTTAAATTTTTAGTAATGGTAAACCAACGTGGTTTTCTGTTCGCAATTCTATATTTCCGCATTTAAACTAATCATCTCTCCTGTGACCGAAAAATAAAGGTAGGTGAAGGTTGAATGTATTGGAAGTTACAGACAAGCAAGTTTCTTTGTCACAAGTGTTGATTAAGAAGTCTCAATGACGATGTTTTTGCAACGTAAACACCCAAAGACGCATTTGAATATAGATGACGGTAGACTTTGCGAGAAAAATGACGGACACCGAAAACATGGACGCCAATTAAAATTTCTTCTAAAAACCATAGTCGCTGAGTTGAACCCTCACTATCTTCGGCACAACTTCGCCGTCAATATATTTGTACATAAGTTAAAAACTCAAGCGGTCCCCTCCGTTCTTCAAAACATTAATAAAACATCTTTTTCGTTTACTCGAGGATACGAATGCTTCACGAAATCAAGCGATTTTGAAAAAAATATGAAACAATGGTGCAGCTAACTCGATAACTGGGGGTTGTAAACATTCATATATGTATAATTTGCTGTCTAATGTTCCTTTTCTACGGATGATAACAAGCATATATAAATATGGGCCCTAAAATTATCGGGCTGGGTAGGAAATATGCTGGCTAGGCAACCTTGCAAGACCAAGCAGAGAAAGAGAGAGATATTTTTCTTGTTATGTATTCAATGCATTCAAATTATTGAAAACTAGCATTTTCAATTGTGCAATTGTTACAATATAGTCCAAAAATTATTGAAAATAGAAGTTTGAAGGGATGGCATAAACGCAACGTAAAAATTATTAAGAATTCTAATTGTACAGTTAAAATAATAGAGTCAATAACAAAAAATACAATACTAGTAACTACATTAAAAAGAAAAAATACCACAAAGTTAAATGTTGCGATTTGGAAATAGACCAAGTATAACTTGTCGCAAGTATGAGCTGGACTAGGACTTGGGCTGAAAAATAAAAAGTTTGTGTTAATAAGTGTGACAGAAAACATAATTTCCCCATTTTTATAGCAAACTTTGCGAACGTAATCAAACAATGATTGTAAAGTACTTTTATTATTGTAAAAGCAATGCTCTACTCGAAAAAGTGTTTTACATACGTGAGCAAATTTATGCCAATAGAGTGTTTTCATCGGTCGCCATAATGGGCTAAAATCCCATTATGTTACTTTCATGTTCTATTGAGCATCGGCCTTTAACCCAACCTCCTAGATAACTGACTCCACCGAAATTTTCTAGTAATGAGCGAGCGGTCTAGTAATGAGCGAGGAGGGCCACTATCTTGAAATGTGGTAAAATTGACGATATTTAAGACTAATATTTTCTTTTGCTGACTTGATATTGAGTCGCAAAGTTGATAGTCTAGGTTTGATTCTTAAAATGTTTGATAGGATGGGTTTTTTAAACTTTGTTTTAACTTATTTTTCATTTTCAGTTTTGCTTTTTGCCACTTTTCAAGATGGCGTCCTTGCCTCACCTTGAGACTGTAGTCATATATCTAGGGGATTCGGTCCTAAATCATTGATCTAATCATTTTAAGAAGCGATATAACGCGTTCTTTAAGAAGTAAAACGTCAATATACTCTGTCGTCATTGTCGACACGGTAGTTAGATATCTAGAAGATTGGGTTCTAAACCATTGCCATCGGGACTCTGATGTAATCCACCAACAAGGCCGCCTTGTTGACATCACATGCGAACACTCAATGGCCGCATTTTCTTTATTCAGCTTCACCCGAGGGTCTATTTTTTGCCACCTTTCAGGTTGGAGATTATTAAGAAATTGAGGGGAGCTAAGAGAGGCTTGGAGCTAAATAATTTTTCACCAGAAAATTTTTCTTAACGAAGCGAAACGATTTATTTTGAAAAATATATTCGCAAACCCTTGAAATTTACCTTCTTCGAAAGTGAAACAGCATCATACTCAGTCTAAAATAATATGAGAGATTTTTTAAATTTCATATCAATTAAAGAAGAAACGAAAGAAAAAGACAAATTGAATGAAACACATCATGCAAAATCATCGTATCTAAGAAAGCACTATAACAGAGCCGGTAGTCTCTTCTGTGGCACACAAATACGCAAAATAGAACCCAAGGTCCCTGACTAAGCACTTAGTACTTGGAAAAAGTGCTGTTTCGTGCTGGCACATAGTGCTGTTTCGTTACCCTCAGTCGTTCAGAACAGAGTCCCTAAAAGAGGTCACAAAGCCCTTAGTTGCTTTAAATGACATATACCTAGAAATTTAGGGTAGCAAAACTAAATCAAACATTGGTCTATTGTATCAGAAATTATACAAGGAGTCTTTATGTCGTGTACAAGAGGTCTTTTATATAAAAGCTACATCAATACAGACCAGCGGTGCGACACTGCTTTCTGTCATTTCGAAGTCTAATGCGTCATCAGGGGAGTCGTCTCCAATGTAGATTGGATTGCGGAGTGTATCTCCCTGCTCTGCTGATGGATGCTGTAAATGTTAAGAAATTTATCGTTACTGATACGCATATTTAATTTCATACAAACATAGTGAACCCAAGCAAACTGAACCCGAACCATTTTTTTCATGTATGAAGCACGATTGCGGCTCGGGATACTGATTTAGTAGGGAGATGTGGCATAAGACAGCTAGCACGTTTGGTCGTGCCGTGTAGATTTTAGATCAATAGCTTTATTCATTTCTTTTTAGAAATCTAATGTTTTTATACAGTGAGTGAGCAGTACTGTCTGATACAAAATCACTGCTATCAATAGGAGCTCCGATACATACAAACAAAAAACAGATATATGCATCCATACACAAAAGTTTAACAATTCATAAATCAATAAATACTAAAATAATTTGAGATGAATTAATTCAAGAAGTTAATAGCATTGTTTAAGTTTGTTACATATTATTGAACCAATAAAATAAAAACTTTTTTGCAATCACTATTCAAGCAGCTTTTTTGCGATTACTACAAATTTATTTAAAGAGAGTAGTATTGTCAATTTCAGCGACAAAAATCACTGCTATCAATAGGAGCTCTTATATACAGCTATAAACGGAAAATAGATGTATGCATCTATACGTAATAGCTAAAAGAGCTGAAAAATACATAAATCTGGAATAATTTAAGTTTATATTCAATTAGAAATTAAAAAGTTATCAGCATCGTTTAAGTTTTAGTAAAACACAAGACAATAGACACTCCGTATAAAGTAAACATAATCTAATCTATAAAGATTACTAAAATACTCTTTTGCAGTCGTAACTTTTGTTTAAGTTGGTTATGTATTATAGACAGACTAAAATAAAAACTTCTTTTTTGGTAATTAGCTACTACTCATTGCTTTTTTAATAGCATTGTTAACAGTTTACTATAGCAGAAGTTAGTATTACTGTTTAAGTTTATTTCATATTATAAAACTATTACATAAGAACGTTTTTTTTGCAATTACTGTTCAAACTCTAGGTAGGTAAAGATGATCACTCGGCCCGGTTGCACGTTGAGATGTGGCTACCTTTTATGATCAAAGAACTTTCTAAAAATGGCGCTAATATATTTACCAACTACAATGAAAATGTGTTCGGCGAAAATGTGATGTTATAAGTGCATTCGAAAGAGTTCTCACTTCAAAAAATTCATCGTACCGACGCTGTCTTTCGATTTACAAACTATCCGTGCAAACTGGATATAAAGCTTTCAAAAGGATTACCGTTCACTTAACTCAAACTATTACACACAGTAATTTAAAATCGGATGTATGAACGGAAATAGATAGTATTTGTCGTTTTCACTACCGTTTTCAAGCCTTCAAGTCACCCAAAAAAAACCCAATTGGATGAAAGGAGCAGGGTTGAATCCTAAACTGAATTATTTTCCCATTGACATTTAAGTAACTCGGGATGAACTGAAAGTCTGAAACATACTCAGATAAAGTATTTAGTCGATGAGTCGATAAAGATAAATAACAATGATGACATGTCACATCTGTCAAATTTTTTTCAAAAATTGTATGAAAAGCGAATCTGCGAAACAGATAGTTTTAATTTCTAACCCATAGCCTTTGGGGCACATATTCGTCGCCACCACTTGTGCAATCCCCATCTGCTCGGCCATTGTGATCACGGCGTGGATTTCGGAAATCCTATAAATTATTCAACACAACGGAAGATCAAACCTCCATAGACTTCAAAAAGATCACAACTAAGGATCATGCAATGATTATAAAAGATCCAAAGGAACGTTACATGATCTCACAAGGATCCAAAGGAACGTTACATGATCTCACAAAGAACAAAAAGATCCAAAGGAACGTTACATGATCTCACAAAGAACAAAAAGATCCAAAGGAACGTTACATGATCCCACAAAGAACAAGAAGATCCAAAGGAACGTTACATGATCCCACAAAAAACAAAATGATCCCAGGGAACGTTACATGATCCCACAAAGAACAAAAAGATCCAAATGAACGTTACAGGATCTCACAAAGAACAAAAAGATCCAAATGAACGTTGCATGATCCCACAAAGAACATAAAAGATCCCAGGAAACGTACAATGATACCAAGAATACGAAGATTACAAAGACTGCACAATGACCCAACAAGGAATTCGAAGATCCAAATGAATGCAAATGATCCCAGGAAAAATATAAAGGTCCCACGATTAGTACTAGGATTTCAAGGATCCCACGATTAGTACTAGGATTTCAAGGACAAATGATATTATTGTATTTTTTTAAGAAAGCAACAAAAAATGATATATTTATGCATCATTGACTATTCATAAGAAAATAAAGCTTTTGTGCCGGACCATGGGTAGGTACATTCGATCAGACAGTCTGCCCACCAAAAGAAAAGCAATTTCTTTGTTCAACGTCTTTAATGAAAACATGCCTTTGTGTCAGAGCTATTGACTTTCTTTTATGATGCCTCTTATGGTATATCAACAGTCAAATTAACAAAAACTTCAATCATAACGGACACCGTAAATAATGCTGTTACATCTCATTATTTTTTCTTTATTTATGCGGCAGTCAAAGCTCCGACAGTTTGGTTGGAGATTCTTGGTTATTAGTATCTACTCGTGTTACCAACAAAGCCTCTACAGAATGGTTAGAGATTCTGATAGTTATTATCTCCTCATGCTACCATTAAAGCTACTACAGTATGGTTAGAGATCATGGTAATTATTATGTATTTGTGTTACCATCAAAACTCTTACAATATAGATTAGGATCATATCTCCTACAGTATGAATTAACATAATATTATTATATAATAACGATAACATCAAATCCCACACGGTATGGACAAAATCATGGTAGTAATTATCTACTCATGTTACCACGTAAACTCCTATAGTACGATTAGAGATCATGGTAGTTATTATCTACTCATGTTACCACGTAAACTCCTATAGTACGATTAGAGATCATGGTAGTTATTATCTACTCATGTTACCACGTAAACTCCTATAGTACGATTAGAGATCATGGTAGTTATTATCTACTCATGTTACCACGTAAACTCCCACAGTATGATTAGAGATCATGGTAGTTATTATCTACTCATGTTACCACGTAAACTCCCACAGTGTGATTAGAGATCATGGTAGTTATTATCTACTCATGTTACCACGTAAACTCCTATAGTACGATTAGAGATCATGGTAGTTATTATCTACTCGTGTTACCACGTAAACTCCCACAGTATGATTAGAGATCATGGTAGTTATTATCTACTCATGTTACCACGTAAACTCCTATAGTACGATTAGAGATCATGGTAGTTATTATCTATTCATGTTACCACGTAAACTCCCACAGTATTATTAGAGATCATTGTAGTTTTTATCTACTCATATTACCACGTAAACTCCCACAGTATGATTAGAGATCATGATAGTTATTATCTACTCACGTTACTACGTAAGCTCCCACAGTATGATTAGAGATCATGGTAGTTATTATCTACTCATGTTACCACGTAAACTCCTACAGTATGATTAGAGATCATGGTATTTATTATCTACTCATGTTACCACGTAAACTCCTATAGTACGATTAGAGATCATGGTAGTTATTATCTACTCATGTTACCACGCAAACTCCCAAAGTATGATTAGAGATCATGGTTGTTATTATCTACTCATGTTACCACGCAACTCCTACAGTATCATTAGAGATCATAGTAGTTATTATCTACTCATGTCACCACGCAACTCCTACAGTATGATTAGAGATCATGGTAGTTATTATCTACTCATGTTACCACGCAACTCCTACAGTATGATTAGAGATCATGGTTGTTATTATCTACTCATGTTACCACGCAACTCCTACAGTATGATTAGAGATCATGGTAGTTATTATCTACTCATGTTACCACGCAACTCCTACAGTATGATTAGAGATCATGGTAGTTATTATCTACTCATGTTACCAAGTAAACTTCTACAGTATGATTAGAGATCATGGTAGTTATTATCTAATTATTATCATCAAATCTCCTATAAGCTCTGACAGTTATGGATAAAGATTAAAGTTATTATTTATTCATGTTGGCATGATACCTACAGTAGAATGGTTAACGATCATAGTGGTTATTATCTATTCATGTTGGCATAAAACCTTCTACAGGAGTATGGTTAACGATCATAGTCGTTATTATCTATTCATGTTGGCATAAAACCTTCTACATTAGTATGGTTAACAATCCTGGTGGTTATTATCAATTCTCCCAGTAGTATGGTTATTCTACTTGGTTATTCATATATGGTTATTATATGGTTATTCTAACAATTATCATCAGCAGTATGGTTAAAAAAATCATTCATGGCCTTACTAAAACTTGTCGGGCAATTGTATTTATACTAAGTAAGGTTAAATATTAAGGTCATTATTTCCACGTCAAGTTACCATCGAACGATGATTTAGAGCCCAATCCCTTAGATTTCTAACTATCGCTTCAAGGTGAGGCAAGTGCGCCATCTTGAAAGATGGCAAAAACTCAAACTCAAAGTCATCTCCCCTTTTGGAGATGACGTACTCTCTTTCTTGGCATTGTAAGTATCGATAGATTGTAAATTTTCATTTAGCAGACGTTGACACCTGAGGAGTAGTCTGCCGAAATGCACCGTGTCTTTTAATTTAGAACTATTGGGTTAGTGCTCTTTACTCAAAACAGTTATTTTAAGAACTATCAAGTTATTATATTATATTTACCATTCACTATGGTATTTTCTATCTTTAGAACTATTTTCAGATTTGTCACCACGACAAAGTCTCTATTTTAAAACTCAAAGTCAAAAATAAGCTCGAAAAAAGTTTAAAAAACAATCTTATCGGCCATTTTAAAAATCAAACCTAGACTATCAACTTTGCAAATGTATATCAACTCAGGAAAATAAAATGGCGGCTTGCCTCACTCGTAACTATAGCATTTCGGCGGAGTCAGATATCTAGTAGATTGGGCTATAGATCATCGTCATCGAAACTTTCAACAGAATAATAAAATTTTCTTTTCTGTGTTAATTCTTATGAATAAATCAATCCTCTGTAATTTCCATTGAACCAAAATATTTCTACACTAGTCCTCATCTGAAAACTATTTTCATGTATTCACAAGCACAGTTGTTAACAAGTAAGCACTAGAACGGAAACCAGAGCTGTATGGCTATTGGCACGACGCATGATAATAAAATGATCCCCCGAACAAAGGAAACAAACATACTACTTAGGAGTGACATTACCTTTTGATACTTGATGTTGTATGAGCGCCTTCGCTTCAACATGAAAATCGTGATTGCAATGATAAGAGCAACCACAACGACACCCAAGACAATGCCAATAATCATATATTTACTCTAAAGATAAAGAACACAGTTGTCGGTTAACAGATCCGCAAGACGATGAGTTTACGTTTCATTGCCATAACTTGGTCAAACATTTTAGAAACGTGTTCAAAAAACCAAAGTTATTCCTGGGTTGCGAAAATAGGTTTTGGAAACTTTTCCTATACGCGGTGTATGAAAAAAGCTGCTCATCCTTGAAATCAGCTGACGTTAAAAAGTTGCATGATTCAGGAATAATTGATTCTCGAGAAAGCGTAAACGCAATTGCAATGAATTTCATGCTTGAACTTTGCAATGTATGTACAGTAGCTGCGATTTGTAGGTCTTAGGGGATTAATTAGAACTAAATCATGTCGATTCTAAGCCTTGTGTGACTTCAAAGACGTGCAGTTTTTCTGATGCACTATGTGGTGTGCAATAGCGAAGTCAGCCCGATGTTTGATTCCTTTTTCTGCAAAATTATCATCAATGTCTTTGGATAAATCGATTCATTGTTCAAGCGACTGAACACAAAAAAATGCATCGCAGAAGTAAAAAACGGACTGGCATTGCTACTTGAAGTAGAAAGGTGCAACGAATAGAAACGATAAGAGTTGTGAACAATGAGTTTTCTGTTTACTGTTCACAAAACAAGTTAAACAGTGAATAACTTTCGATGGCATCATAAAACAGGACATTCGCAACAAAAATATGGGTGTGACATTTTTTTTTGTGATATCAAATATAGCAATGCATGGAGAATAAAGTTGGGCAGGTAGACTTCAGAATAGCCCAAATATTCTCCAAGAGATACCTTGACAAAATTTAAGGAGTTACTGAGCACTTGGGTTCTCATCACAAAAATCGGTGTTGGAAATGCACGAATATACGCTGCTTTTTAACCAACTTAGCAACATATTAGCGGTTGGAAGATATTACTTTTTCAAACATGAAATGGTAAGAGGAATTTTTTTAAAGAAATAAAGCTATGAGAAGTTTGTTATCTCTTGTTCGTTTCGTACAGGCATCTATATTAGATATCTTGGTTTACGTGAAACGAGTTTTCAAAAAACCACTCAACAAAAATACATGAGCTAGAAAGAGACTCACTGTTTTGACGTCTTTTGAAGCTTTTGGGGGACTTCTCGTGCTGGGCGTGGTTGGCTACACAAGTGTACAAGAAAATTTTAGTTTTTCGCCCGTTTAGTTGAAATAAATAAAGAATATTGGTACTTGTACTTCATTTATAGGTACATTGTTCATTTATCCTTGCCAATGACATGCAACAAGGATGGACAGACACAAAATGCATAAAATATACATTCTCTTATGGTGGATAACACGCTTAGGCTTTAGCCAATACAAGCATTCCGTCAACAGACGTCACGTTTTGACGTCACAAACACTTGAAAACAAACGATAACACAATAATTCACGGGAAAGTATCCGCGAATGTCAGAAGCATCAGAAGGCAACAATTAAGTACATTTCCACATTCTTGAATCGCCAACCTTATACATAACTGTGCAACAAAAAATCGGTCAGTATTTAAATAGTTTGCTTAAAAAAATTGGCATGGTCATGCGATTTAGCTATTAGCTTTCCCTTGCTAGCATATGATTTAAAAATCCGGGAAAATGCTAGAAAATGATATAGAAATCAGGGCAGCAACAGACGATAAAGAAGCTTTTACAGTTTGCTGCTTTTAAGATAGTAGAATGGCCATTTTACCTTGGGTACTGGAACTTCTTGATTGTGTGGATGTACTGTACGATGCTGAAAACATAAAAGAAAGTCTATACACCAAACGATACGGAATGGGAACAACAATACAATTTCGCTAAAAACTTTTTTTAGCATATAAGATGGCCATTTGCTTCCTTTAGGCAACGTACCACTAGCACGTGATCAATGACGTAAATCATGCCATTGCGAGCGGGAATTTCGTACTTCACTTTCGCAAAGTTTTGGATCTTCATTGTCTTTCCCTGTCAATAAAAAAACAAAAATACGTTGAACTCGACACTTAAACGTTTTGATAAACGGTATTGCATGATGCCGAGACTAAATGGGACTGTTCGCATATTCGCGCTGAGATTCAGTAAAGCGCTTTACGATGATGGAAAATTGGAGAGATCCGTGTAATCATCTGGTATAATTACCACTGTTTACTGCATCAACTCGTTATTTCTAACACATCCTAACTGTCGAACACTATTCTGCTTTTTCAACGCTCTTCTAACGTGACCCTTGTACAGACCAAGCCCGTGAGGCAATATCTCTCAGTGAAGACCGAAAAAACGAGGTTAATAAAGGTTTATTATAAGGCATTATTTCACCTGATAAATAAATCGTTTGAAATTGTATCGTCTGGATAATTGAACTGTTTTCCATTTTCCGAGTGTTTTCCCTTCGACTAACATTCCTAAATGTCTTTTTTTGCGTTTTTCAGATTGCTTTACGAAGTTTGTTTACATGTAATTGCAAAATCACGCGTATTGGACCGTGGTCCATAACGGGAAAATAATAGACCGACAAAATGTTTCTGAACCAATCAAAGAGCGCCATTTTGCCGGACGTGACGTTGGCCACAAAATAATTGGTATTATTGCCAAACAGCCAGGCTTTTAAAGGTTTACTCAATACGCATCGAGAAAAAAAAATCATGGTTCAATTTCAAAATTCTGCACCTCCAATAAGTGTTATAGGCAGTTTTCCTTACAAATATTTATGCTCCTTGCAATCGAGCAAAGATCAGAATAACACGTTGTGCCCCAAAGCTAAAGGGCTAGTAAACCTTTGAGTTGGCGCCTTGGGTACCAACAACCAATTAAGGCAAGTAAAATCATAGAATGAAAAGAATTTATGTTAATTTCATGCTCTGTTAAGCATCGGCACTTTGATGTACTTCCCCAACATGGCCGCTTCGATGTACTCTCCCAACATGGCATTACATAACGTTTATACGAATCTCGGTTACGTGCGGGATCACATCATCAGACCGTTAACACATTTTATCACCATCAAAAAAGCGCCGATGTGGGATCTCAAAAAAGTTTAATAGGGGAAAGTCAAGTCGTCCTATCACTTACGTCCTTAGAATAAGAAAGAGTATAATGAGTCCCATTCAGAGTTTGGACATCTTTTGTCTGACCAGGGGGGAGGCAGATATATCCTTTCGCAATGTGGTTCTTTACAAGATCTAAGTTCATTTTCTAGAAGAACAAAAATGTAAAGCGCCAATGGTAAAAATATACACTTAATCCAGTTTACAGACCCTTTAATTTCAACATCAGATCAATTACAACGAAGATTATAGACAGGAGCATTTATTTATGTCATTATAACAGAAAAGAATTTTCTACTTTGAATATATGCGATGACTCTACAGCAAACCGTTTTAATTCTAACCTTAACATGGCCATAATTAATGGGAGCGAAAACTGTGTACTCCTGTTTACCAGACAAAAGTAGCTTGAAGTGATATGCTCCACCATGGGGCAACTGCTTGAAAGCCTGTGATATAAAAGTTAAAATGATACAAATATGTTTAAATTCTCCCGAAGCGCATACGAAACAAAACTTCTGTTGCTCAATCTCTGTACGAACTTTTACTTTAGTTCATTGACTGAATAATTTAATAGAATAATTCAAAAGATATCGTGAAACAGTTACAACCTTTCTGTTCAATATCAATGTTTTAATATAAAAAACTTTCGTGGAATTGGAAAACTATCAAGAGCTTTCTCGGTAAATACAAATTATGGTTTAGGAAGAAACATGCAAACGTCAATGTTGAAAAGCAAATGCTGCACAGTTTAAGGGGCTCTTCGTTTAAGAATGAAAAAATTAATTTTACATAATTTTACTTCAAACAGGATTCTTCAAAATGATTTTAATGTCTTCTATTTTTGTTATTCGACTTATTCGGTTTTTGCAAAAATAACATGTCTTAACAATATTAAAGAATGTGTGTCAACCAAGATGCATTGCGCGCCTTTGTTTATGTTTACATCGTTAGTTTATTAAGCTTGCAGTACACAGAATTCAATTTTGTCACTACGTCGTCTAATTTATCTGAAAAGTTAGAAAAAAACATTGATTGAAAACTTCATTTTACATTAATTACTATAGCCTATCTAAGTTGCATGAACTTCAATATCAAAATTCGCAATATCCTCAACACACAAAATGGCCGTCAAGCTGTTAGTAGCGCGGAATGCATCGTGGTTGACAAACATTCTTAAACAATAAATCAGAATTGTTTGGGGTTGCCGCTAAGAAAATATTTTATTCATACGAAAACCAATGACATAAATGAATAGAAAGACGTTCAGTGGCGACCCCCCCCCCAGTTAATACATCCCCGTTCATGATTTTGATGAAATATTACCTTAGAAAAATCGCTGAGTTCTTCGACATAGTCTATGATCTACAAGGATGTTGAATGAAAAATTACGAATCCGTATTTTACACATACAGGTGAAATGCTATATGAGTGAAATATTTTGGACAAGATTTTCAAATGGGTTAAACTGTTCTGAATTTAAGTGAAAACACCATTAGCACATGCCTAAAGACTTCTGTATAAGCTTGCTCAACAGAGTGCTGGACATTTGCAAGAATTGAACTGCATTGGCGTCAATCCTACGTTAATTTTTATTTTGTGGGGGCATATTCAAGTATTTTGCTATACCTGGTAAATTTGTTTTCAAAACAATATCACTTTCAAAAGAAATCAGCGTGACATAACAGAATATATAAATAAGTGGTTACACTTAATTAACCTTGAACTAACGTCCGTGTTCAACTGTACAAAACATACAAACAAATGAAACATTGAAGACAACTGAGAAAACGGGAGGAAATATTGTAACTTACACTCATCAAACTTCCAGAGCAGTAATACCCATCGCCTATAAAATCTTTTGGACAGCGGCATTTGGCTCGACCACCTGAGACGAAAATTGACATTGATATGAAATGGAACCCTCTTGCTTCACGCAAATATCATTAAAATGATGTCACTAAGACTTGTGTTAAAAATAATGCATCGCGAAAAGCCCTCTTGCAATGTTATGATTTCGTGACATTCAATCGAAGTACACGTTTCACGAAATTGATTTGTACGTACTTCACGTTACTACAACCGAAACGGTGCAACAGTGTAAAGTTGTTGTACAGAGTCCACTCATTTCGTGTTAGACCAAGTTCGCAAATTTTTAAGTAGCGACAAATGTGAAGTCAACAAGGACAAGGTTTGAACCACAGTCCAAGTCGAGAGTTCAACAATAACTTTTGGCAAGGAAACTAACTGGGGGTTGGGGCGCGGGTGAATATTCATATATTAAGCTGCGCCCGACTGATTTCTTTTCAAATAGCAATCCATATGAAAAAAACAGTTTTGTCAGAGCTGAAAATATGAATATTCACCACCCCTTCCCCAATTACCTTTCTAGCTTTGCTCTGACTTTTTGTTGTGTTGCAAGACAAAATTATGTGGAAATGCGACACTATTCTTGAATAAATCATTGCCTGGGAATGAACTAATAATTCAATTATTACGAATCTGCAAAGATTTTCCATGCCCTCGAGTTTTTGAATTCGGAAACAAAAATGTCATGCAGTGTCGAAGCCAGCTCGTTGTTCATCCTACAATGCAAACATTTTAGTGTTCATTCACTAGAAAAACAATCAACGGAATGAATTATCTAAAGAAATGAAGAGCAAATGTCGCTGAAGAATTGCTTGTAGGAGTGGAAGATCGAATTGAATTCACCGCTGATATTTACGGCAAAGAAGCCAGCAAAAACAGGCTTAAGAACATTTATCTGATGACAGTTCTCTCGGACGATATACTCGTATATTCGTATCACATATTTTAATAAATCAGGTAACATAGTATATGACAATCACCTTCGTCGGTGCAAAAAGCTCGCGGATCACAATTTCCGTTGTTTACTAAACATGGATGATCGGGTGGTAACGCTAAACAGTCAATACCGTTGCCAACGAAGCCAGATCGACACTCACATCGTGTAAGATTCTACAAACAATAAATCAGTCAAGCCTAGCAGAGTACATGGACAAATCAAAACGATAAAATCAGCTATCACAAAATCAGTGCAACCTAACGTTGTCTTACCGGTCCGACATATCGACAAACTGCATTGTCATTACACCCCCCATTATTCTTCAAACATCTATCGATTTCTTGGCAATAGTATCCGTCCCCTTCGTAACCGTTTGTACATTGACACATCTGTGGACGTGTTATGTCACACGAAGCAAATATCGAACATGGATACTTTCGGTCTGAGCACACCTCTGCTTTGGCTTCAACTGCAAAAAAAGATGCGCCTGAGAACTGAAACTTGATGCAAGACACAAGGCTGGAGTACGAAAGACAAGAATCAGACAAAATGGCATGTTGTGGTACGTAGCCCTATTTAAGTTCCATCTCCTGCAAACCCAAATATACCATTCATCAATCCCACGTTGTATACAATGAGTGAACAAAAAAGATACTTCCCTTATTGAAATTGTATAGTTACTAGAAGACGTCAATAGATTACTGAATGGCACAGATTAACTGTTTACGATACATTTGATTTTGTTTGTTCCAACAGGAAAATGACCACAAACACACGAGTGTGGTTATTTCAAACTATCGCGTTGTACAATGGCACAAGCTCTTACAAATACTTTGAAATAGATGCAATGAATAACGAACGAAGCTACTTGAATTAATATCTACAGTTGTTGCTTTTCTTACAGAAGCATGGCCACATGAGTATTCCTGCTATTTGCTAAAACTCAATTTTCCTTTAATTGCTCGAATTAACGTTATAGTTGACAATCTATAACGGGGGGCAGCTACTTTTTTGACCACCATATGCATGGGGAGAGGGGGCAGCTACCTTTTTGACCACCATATGCATGGGAAAGGGGCAGCTACTTTTGACCACCATATGCATGGGGAGCAGGGCAGCTACTTTTGACCACCATATGCATGGGGAGAGGGGAAGCTACTTTTGACCACCATATGCATGGGGAGCGGGGGCAGCTACTTTTGACCACCATATGCATGGGGAGAGGGGCAGCTACTTTTTTGACCACCATATGCATGGGGAGCGGGGGGCAGCTACTTTTTTGACCACCATATGCATGGGGAGCGGGGGGCAGCTACTGTTTTGACCACCATATGCATATATAAACGCTGAGCCAAGCAAACAGACCTCATTTCAAATGAAAGTGACAGTTACATTTATCCTATCATTTTCAAATGACCCAGAGTTACTTACTACATTTTGATACATTTGAGCCACATTTTTCACAGTTTCGTCCGAAATGAGACTCGTGACAGAAACAAGTTCCATTTCCGCTCAATCCATCATTACATTCACCAATTCCTGAGCATGGTGTTAGTCCGCCAGGGCACGCTAGAAGCAGAAAAAATAGAAATCAAAAACAAATTTCATTACATCGTGCAGTCGTAGGGGAGTGCATGTCATGATTTTTTTGAGGGGGTGGGGGCTATCAACCACTAAATTCTCCAAGTTGGTTGAAAGTAGGGGATCAAGAAAAAATACAAAATGGAGACAAAATTATGGGTGGTAGTGCATAGTCTCTCAAACAACTCCTCCCAGCTGTTAGGTGTCTGAACAAAAAGTGTCAAAATAACAACAGGTGGACTTGCAAGGTCATACAGCAAAAATCATTCATTTGCCACTCGCAAGATCAAAAACCTTCAATTTTTAAATTCGGAAATTTGATTTCATCTATGGCCAAACGGAGCCACCAATAACCGTTAGCAACGGCAAACGCAATGTTTAGAAGGAAAACAGGGTTGACAACCATAACTAACCATAGGCAGAACACAACTACGGATAGGTGTGCGAGATTGATCAATCTGTGCGAGACAGATGATTAAGATCAGCAGAAATAAATAAAGATTATTACGCACAAAATAGATTTATTTATTAGAAAAACACGCGCAGGCGTAGGCAGCTTTTAATTTAACAAACGACTCCTTTCAAATGGTCAGTTTTATCTTAACACTAATATTCCTGCCATGTAACACATGATATTCGGAGTTCAATGCTGTCCACACGACAAGTAGTTGTTTAACAAAACAGAGATGCGGTCAAGGTAATGAGTTTAAAATTCTTGTAAAACATTGATGAGGCAAATAGAACTGTTTGAAAACCTGTTACAAGTAAAAGTTAGAAACAAGACGCATGCATTTTGGCCAACGTGTCTTCGGATGCTACATTGTGTCAGTGTAATCCTTCCTGGGGATAATGCCACGTATTTTCTTTATACTTTACACAATAAACACGGGTAAAATGCTACCTTGACAGTCGGCGCCATAAAAATGTTTACAACATTCTCGGGTCGTATTCCGTCTAGTGCACAGTGACGAACAACCAAGGATGCTTTTTTCATTGAAACACGAGGAGTTCGTAACACCCTGAAAATTTGGAAAATGTCAAACTTAAGCGGAGAAACACAAAGGAAGATGCGTACAAAATGATAAAAACATCTTACCAACAAAGTCGAACCGGGTGGACAGGATCCAAAATCAAAGCAAGCAGTACACCTTCCCTGCAGAAAACAACATTTTTCAAATTAAAATTTATCATGTTGTTCACAAAAATCCAAGAGAGGCAAATATCCCGTTAAAAGTCGAACAGAGTCATGCAGATATCCCATCAAAAAATTCAAGAGAAGCCGGCAGACAACCCATGAAAACCAATTTCGAACCTTGAATTTTTCGTCAACGATTTTGTCACATCTTCCCGCGATTCCTGCGGGTAGCAACATTTGAGATATTCCAAAAGCAACACCTTCCAAGAAGGTTATATCGCGTTCCACAATTCGACTTCGTCCGTTCACGTAGAAATCACCCTTCAACAAGGAAATATATAATATTGTCTCAGTGAGATGATTGCAATAGAAAGTACTTTAAACAGCCGCTTGTTAACCTAGTGAATGCATAAAAAACAACTTAAGAAATATCATCTGCTTTTGTCAGTCAGGGACATCACTATAGAACGTCAATTGTGGAGGGGTTATTTTTAGAAACAGTACACACATAGAGCGTAGACGATCCATAAAAACATGGACATCTACACGTCTATCTTTTCCAATGAAACACCTTGTTTTTTCTTAGTTTATGACGTCATATTAAATACTGCTACAATTGACGAAAACTGTAACATGCTTCCTGACATTGAGGACAAACGTATGTTGCTATAGGTAAGTGTGGCGTAATGTTAGGGAGATGAAACGAATATAAAATCTTAAAATTGAAATAAATCGGATCACTTTTGAGTTTTGACGAAGACATAACAATAAAAGTTTCAACACAACCATCAAACGTTATCTTCACTAAACGTATAAACGTAAAACATTATCAACGGCCAAATAAGAAAAACCAGGTTGTTTCATAAAAAATTTTCTAACCTTGCCTCCCATGCACGACACAAAAACAGATGATCTCGCGCGCGTTTTCCTCCACAAACCGCCAGCATAACCAAGAACCTCGGTTGCTGTCACCTAAACATAACAATTACGGACAATAAATTTCAACTTCACCATGAAAGCAACGAATAAATGGTCAAATAAACTCTGTGTAGAAACGTCGAGTGACTAACGCCTGTATTGCAAAAGTTAACAAACACCCATGCTCAATGAGCGCAACACAGAAATTGTTCTCATTCCAACCAATGGCAAACTAATTAACTGGAGTTAAAATACCGTTATCGAATCGTTTTGAGGTGATTTTAAAATCCCAATCAGTGAGTAAGTGTGTGTGAATATATAGAAGTAAATGTCATTTGACTTGCGTTGCTATGATGAAATATGGACCATGTTTTGTCGATTAATATTCTAACCAAACTTTTAAACCTATATAGCAAAAATACTTCGATCTAATAAGGAGAATTTTCGTACCAATCTAATTAGCGAATCATTACCATTTTTAGTTGAAGATGATTCAAAATACACTACACAGTATTGCAAGAAAACTCGTGAACCTAACACTTAATTCCCGGCTATTGTAGCAAGCAAATAAGCAATTGTGCTTACTTCTGTGAAGGCATTATTTAAAACCGAAACTTCTTTAGCAAAGAAAAGAAACTTGAATATGTTCATTCCCACATTTAGTTGGTCAAGAATCATTGTTTAAAGCAATATTTGTAGAACTGATACGATTGAATTATGTATTACGTTTGTTCCATCGATGATATGATACGAGATGATCTTCCGAGCGTATTCCATGTTATTAAATAACTGCGACCGAATATCTTCGGGCAGGCTCGTGATGGCCTCGTTTGTCGGCCAAAACATTGTGTGAGGTCGCTTGTATGGTAACCTATCTAAAATGATTGTTTTCTGCAAAAGAAGATGCATGTAGTAATAGGTTAAACAAAAATTTCTAATGACCAGAGAACAGAAGAATATTTTTCGTGGAAAAATTTCACTAGCCGTAAAGATTGTGTTAAACAATGTCACAAACGATACGTTCAACAACATCAACAAATGATATGAATTTATCATGCAAAATTCTTACAGTTTCAACAATACACGCACATATAAATGCATTCAAAAGTAAACAGAGCATTACATTTAGAAGATTGACAAACATAGAGTAGTTTCTTTTCCTATTAGGGTGCATTGCTGCTTCCATGAAAGTCATCTAGAAAATAAACGTAAATTTAGGCAAATAAATCAAAGAGCAAAACATTGAACTCCCGAGGACGCACTAACGAGAGAAACTACAGAACAGTCAAGTTTAATCAGCAAAATTTGGAAGAATAATAGTTACTATATGATACAAATAGATTACTCCATGGTTGGTGAGTGCGTACGATTTTTATGCACGAGTGGAGAAGGATTGAAAACAAACGAGTGAGCGTAGCATACGAGTATTTAATTTTAGATTATAGTGAAATTTGTCGCTGAAGTGATAGACCCAATTCAAACGCTTCAAAACAATCACCTAATTTGCATGAAAAAACACAATAACACAAATAAATTTTAAGAGAATATCTTCGAGTCATGTTTCGACGATAAAAATTACTAAAGAAATCAAATGCTCTGCAGTTTTTTATCATTTTCCTAACATTTATATTGAATTCTCTTACGGACAGTGTCACAACAAATAGCAAAGCCATTGATATATGAAATCAAAAAAGATTGTTTATGTCTTCTTTAATTTTAATGTTATTCACCATTCGTGATAAAACTTGATATGCATTTTGTCCATAGTGAAAAAAGTGACATATCCAATCAGAATGCAGATACGACGTTTTTCCCTAGTGAAGAAAATGATTTGTCCAATCAGGTGCTCGGAAATTTTAAGCATGTGATTTTTATTTCACCGTTTTGTTGCGCATAAATTTCAATACTCGTATGACAAAGTGCGTAAGTTAAGCAAATGGATGTAGCATCTAATTCAATCAACAGTGTTTCGAAAGTGAGTAATTATAAAAAAGCGCCATCCAACGTATGGCAAATTTTAGGTAAAATAACGAAAAACAATAATTCCACAACTACATTGGAAGCCTGGATGACATTGTTCAAATTAGTAAGTTAGAAAAGTTATGAAATGCAAAAGCTTTAAACATCTTTTTCAAGATAACTTCTCCTAAAAAAAATATGCTGCTTGTCACCGATTGGTTAGGCAATTGATCCCAGGCCCCTTTCTATATCAGTGCAAATATCAATAGAATAACCCTTTTACTGAAGGATCAATTAATAAATTAAAAATACATCATTACTATGTGATACTCATGTGCTCAATCATGACACTCACGTGATGATGGGAGTGGTTTTTCCTTTGAACGGGAGCACGAAGAAGTTCATCAACGATCAATATGGCACTGTTTGCTATAACTGTCACATTTTGGATGCGAATTGTGTTATTGATAACCATTGGCGCAGTGATGACAAGATTTGAGCCGTCGAGTGTGGTGAAAATTTGATTGGTAGAATTCAAATCTTCGACGGAGAGTACAACACAACTGATGATGTATTGATTAAGATCAATGTCGGATTCATCCACAATATGACGCTAAACATTGATAATCGAACATTCTTATCTTGTTCCCATAGTGCAATTAATGTTTCAAACGTGACTGATGTCTAAGGTGGATATTTGCTCGTTGTAAAGTCAAATATTATAGACATTGGTTTATACCATGTGTGTTTCTTTTGCATTGCATGCCATTCGTACTTATACTAAGATGTTTCCTAAACACATATTGTGATGCTTTGTTTTTAATTTACATGATCTTTCGAATGTTTTTCACTGCCATCAACAATGTTTATCACAGAATATACACTTCGTCAAAGAAACTATGTCAAACTTAAGCCCCCCCCCCTCCCACAAATTGTGGCCAAGCCAAATCTCTCTTTCCCCAGGGGTAAATGTCCTAACTGTTTATTCAGCTCGAAAGCTCGGTCGAGCTATGAAAATTTCATATCATTAGCATCGCTTTTTTCTTTAGAAATTTATTGTTTTTAAAACGAGTGAGGGCTGCCTACACTAATGGCAGTGTTGGTGGAAAAATAAAATGTTTAACGAGCCTTTTCGTTTGACGCGAAGTATCATTTCTTAAAAAACGTCAGCTTAATATGTAATAAGCCAAGACAAAGATTTTTCAATTTTAGCCAATAACAAGACCGGTACAGCAGTCGTGTCACTCTGAGCAATATATGAATGAGCTAAAAGTTACATGTAAGCGGGAAGGCACAGCACAATGAATATACAGTAGAGCCACTCCATTGCAGTGGCAGCAGTTTTTGTGCACAGCGGCATCCAGCCAATTGCTTTTTTCATCGATAGGAATGATGAAATGGCTAACGGCAGTCAGTAATCTAATCAATTACACAGCAGCCTGTGGCGCACGAAGTGGACCTTCTGTATATTCCCAGCGATGTAACCAAGGCATACCAACCTTTCGTCGTCGGGATGAAAACGCTTTGTTATGAGGAACAACTAACGTGTAATGATTCTCAGGACCGAGAGCGTTTGTGATCGACGAACTCTTTAAAACATATAAACAAACAAAATGCATTACCGAAATATGATAACATTACCGAGAAAAACCGAATTTCCGTGAAGTACACACGCAACGAATCAAACTATCCCATTCACTTTATGCCATGCTTCGCACTTGTATGTCTTTTCTTCCTTTGACCCTTACTTCTATGTCTCTTAGAGATGGCGTTGTCAGCTTGTAAGTTTTGTCGTGTAATGTAAACTACACATCATCAGTACTTGTATTTAGAAATATTCTAGAAAGATTTTGCATATAGTGGACACTGACGTATTTAACTCAAAAGGAAGAACTTGCTGGCTGGCTACGCAACAGTTTCGCACTTCTTTGCCTTCTATATTAACTTACTTCTAACCTCTATATTATACTCACTTTCAACCTCTAATTCCCATCACCTTCACTCCTATTCCACTCATTTTCTACACCTGTTACTCATACGCCCATCATTCCAATCCTTCTCTTGCTTCTCGCTCTAGTCCTCTCACTCTCATGTCTCTCATGCCTATGTCTCACGTTCCTATTTCTTTCACTCCTATGTTCTTATGTCTCTCATTCCTTATGTCTCTCATTCCTATGTCTCAGTCCGATGTGTCTCAGTCCGATGTTTCTCACTCCCATGTCTCTCATTCATATGCCTCCTACTCCTATGTTTCACATTCCTATGTCTCTCATTCCAATGCCTCTTACTCCTATGTCTCTCAATCCTATGCCTCTCATTCTCATGCCTGCTTCGCACTTTTGTCTGCTCACTCCTATGCCCTTTACTCCCATGACTGTTACTTCTATGACTATCTCATACTTCTATCCCACTCAATACTTTACCTCGTACTCTTATGCTTCCTCAACTTATGTCTTTCGCTCTGCACTCCATGCAACAAATTCTTCGCTTTCTATGATGACCTTCCACAAATAAGAAATTTATTGTTGCTTACCATTAAACGCGAGTGAAATTCGCTTAAGTCTGGATCATTTTGTATAACCTATACAAGCACAAAATATCCTGATTTATTTTAAATAATAAAAAAAAAAAATAAAAAAAATGCCACATGTACACAGAATTTGCAAACGAATAGACGAGTTCTCTGTGTAAAGAAAATTCGACTAATTTTGTAAAAGTACCTTTACAATACACGGTGCTGCAAACTGATGTCAGAATTGTTATATACAAGCACTAGATAGTGGGACAACCAAAGAAGACAATATGTAATAAGATGAAAAATACCTCGATAGCATTTCCTGTGCATGTGTAGCCATCACCAATAAAGCCTGGCAGGCATTTGCAAGTTGTGTTAAGGGAAACGAAATCGAAGGAACACTTCGCATTGAAACTACAACCGCCATTATCCTATTATAAAAATGAATATTAAACAGGCAATACACCTACGAACGTACACATACACGTAAGATGAGAGAGTTGCACAATTAGACACTTTCCTAAACACTATAAACTCCGACATAGAAGTTCGGGAGCAACTCGCACAATTGAGTATACGTTGCTCAAAGAAATAATTTGTAAAAGAATGACAAAAACCTTCCACGATTTAATTAATGATTTAACGAATGATACGCCGATTTTTGAACAATGTCAGAGCGAGGTTTTAGTAAGTGAAACTGTTTGTCTCGAATGGTCGAGAAATCAGTGAATCATACCATTTTCATGAACTCTTTTAGTTCTTCATGCATACCGTGCCTATATTGTTCGTCTCACGTTTCACTTTTTCAATCTTTGCAACGTGCAAAACGAAGAATTGCAACGTGCAAAACGAAGCATTGCCACGTGCAAAATGCCGTGTGGCAGAACACAACCACTTATGCCACATACCGTTTTGGTCAGCGTTAGATCACATCGAACTAATGTACCATTACGTCAATATTTGTATAATGTCGCAAGTAAGTGAAGAAACAGACGTCCTTCTTCACGTGGGTATATTGTGCATGTGGCATGTATGATAGCGCCAACCCGTCGTCCTTATTGAGATTTTTTAAAATTGACATAAATTACCACCAACTCGGCACCAGCTTATGTGTTCAAAATTATGATACGACACTCCTTTAAACACACTTAAAGAGCAACGTCAAGTGCAGTTCTCTCTCATCAAAATCACGGTAAATGAAAGATCAGATACGTTTGAATTTTCTGTATTAAGCAGGATACGACGCAATTAGACGAACACTTACATTTGCACAACGATCAATAGGCATACATTTGGTATTCTTTAAGCCGCTTCCAGTATATCCGTAGGGACATTTACATGCAGCCTAGAAAACATAAAAAATAATCTCGTCGCTCCAAGTGCACGCGATTACATAAAGTACAGGACAGAGGATTTTAAATAGCGTTTAAAACGAATGTTGGCTGGTGAAGTAGTTCAAAATCAATTGCAAATCCAGTTAACTCTACATGCAGGGGGCAGACAAAAAAAGTAGAACCCCATATGAAACTATAGAGCAAACTACGAAAAAAACAAGACATCTTGAGATTGTCTAGAATAAAGCTGTTTGGATAAACTCATCGGATAGACAAGCACTTTTCCATGATTTTAAGCATTGATTTAAAATTGACTGTGTCAGTTAAGATAGAAAGTTTAAGGTACAGGAACTTATCAATTATGTCTTCTCGAAACGCTTACGTAAAACATGACAAACAGTCTCTACATGCAACAGATGGAAAATATTGAAGAACACTTGAATGCAAAAAATCATGGGGCAAACCAATGTAGTAAAGGACACTTACCCGACCGGGACGAAGATAGACACACGTGGCATTTTCACTACATGGTGTTCTTGACTTATTCGAGCATAAGTTAACGCCTATAGGAAATAAGAAGAAAAGTCAAGATATTCAAATAAGCAGGCAAACCTTTTCACCTCGTAATCACACTGCATATACTTAGAGACCTTACAATGAGAGTACAAACCTTGACACACATAACCATCTCCTTGGTAATTAGTTTTACAGCTGCATTTTGTCCAGGGACTTTTATCGATGTGCTTACACTTGGCATTGGGTGAACAATCACTAAGGTTGTCTTTGCACGTAATATTACCTTAAAAATCATGATTACGCGGGTTTCTCAAAATGAAATCAGAAAAAAAAGTACGTCATATATTTTTCTCTCTATGTTTTGTGGTAAGTGCGTGCATTTTCAAGGCAACGTCCCATGATAAGTCTTACAGCACGGGTACTTGCGTCAGTAATGTCGCGTATTTAAATAAAATAAGTATAGTTAACTGGCAGTCGATTTTTCAAAAAGTAATACAGTGAGAGCAGCAGAAATATAAACATTAAATGCTTACGTTGGCATACTCCATTAGTCATGTTGAAACCACTGTCACATTTACAAGTTGAATTATCTTTTCCGCAACTACAACACAAACAACCGCGTGAACAACGAAAACGTAACGAAATTCAAACATGTCTTTCATTATCTGTGGTCTCATCATTCGTCGTTTACCTGGAGTGCTCGGGACATTGTTCATGACCACACGGAAGGTACTTTTCTACAGATAAAAGCAAAAGTAAGTTGCTGTTGAAAAGGAAACAAGTGACTACATACAAGAAAAATTCCTCTGAAATTCCTATCCAAGAGAAATTGTTATGTATAATTGTATGAGAGTCACAGGGAGTTTCATCAAATTTCGAAACATCAAATTTCTAAGCACCACGCCAAAAAAAATTTCCTGCCGAGATATACTGTCTGAAACTCTAAATGAACGAGTCTCAGAGCATAAAACACAGCATTCATTGGATTTATGGTAACTTGCCGACTGCCATGTGAAGAATGAAGTCAATTGTGCTTTCTATTCGGATTCATTCATGTAGCACTTATAATAATTTACCCAGGGGAAACTTTCTTGCTTTGTGGGGTTTTTAGACCAATTCTACGTTATTTGCCTTTGCGTGAGTTTATTGACAATTCCCTGTTCAACGTCAACTTCCCAACTTTGCTCGGATTGAGATTTGTCAGCTGAAGAGGCGAGATTTCAAACTTTCTTGAGCTTAACGTACTGATGTGGGAATTTATCAGATGACAGGCTGTGTGTACACCACACTTGCCTGTTACAAGAAAATGCATGCAATACTTACTGTCACAATTCGGTCCCCAGTAGCCCTTTTTACACATTTCACACGCAACACCATCAAAATTGCCAGTACAATTACAATGCCCGCTGCCAGTTTGTTTGTCGTCACAATGCCCACGATCGTTGCATACTTTACCATGAACATTGGGACAAGCTGTGAAGGTTTATTAAAGTTGTGTTCAAAATAAACAGAGCCGTTCGAAGTTATGTACAGCGATGTATCTTATAGTATTTAATTTGGTGAAATAAGCGATCAATATACAAACCAGAACATGCAAAACCATAAAACCCTGGACAACATTGTGGAATCTACACAAAAACAATACAAAAAAAAAAATTTAAAAAATTATCACGAGTCGGTTGTAATATGTGCTTAGTTCTTCAGGATTTCTTAACCGACAAAGACTGAATGTATTCATTGTTATGATCGAGAACGAACGCAGCATGAAGTATTGAATGTCTTGTGAAATAAACTATATTCATTCGACTACAATCAATCTCGTATGATACACACAAAATTAAGACGTATTTTTTCCCGAGGTTGAAACATTAAAATATCAAATCAACATTAATAATACATTTTTGCCATTGAAAAACAAAAAAATTTGACGTTGACTGCAATTCTCGTTTGAATACGTCAGAAATTTCGGTCGATACGTAAGTTCAGGGCCTATTACATAAAGCATTTTCAACCCTGGGGTTGAACTCAGCCATGTTAAAACGACTGAAATTTCAGGCCTGCCTGCTCTATTAATCCCAATCAAATACAAAGCGCTGTTACAGGACAAGTTTTGTGTCGGAAATACCGCACACAGACAAGACCTAGCCATAATTTGTTTGTAAGTTATTGTATGCAATATGTTATAATATTAATTTAGTATTTTGAGTGGCATGCATTTATTTAATACAATTTATTAGCATATTGAATTCTGTAAATACAATAAGTAAACGGCCTCTTGAAAAACAGGATCCTACGAGCCCTGAAGAGTTACCGTTTTTAAATATTTTTAAATAATAATTTAAATAATAATACTTTAAGGGCGTTCTGTTGAAAATAAACAATGTCAGCGAATGGGATTGTGGCGATACTTTATCGAATTTTTTGATAAAATGAAACTTTTTGGTCGAGTGAAAATTGTTTGAAGAGACAAGACAGTCTATCAGTTGCAGGAGCAAATAATTTGAAAAGAAATTCGATCATACTCATCCCCTCTAGCCCAGAAGCTCTAACAAAGCGGAGAAGTCGCAATGTTATTAATATGAACTACAAATGCAAATTCTTAGTTCATATTGATAACATTGCGACTACTCCACTTTGTCAATGGAGTAGTCGCAATGTTCTCAAATGTCAAACCATCACATGATTTCTTGGGGAACGGAATACTCTTTTGATAGGCTTACCCGAAAAAGTTTAACGCATAACGTTTGACAACCAACCCTTCTGCGACCAAACGCTTGAAAGTAACAAAGAGTGGTTCTCTAAATACGAAGGAAACAAAGAGTTGTTGCACGGCTCGATATGAAGCAAGCAGAAAAAGTAAGCACATCAAAATGCGACAAATGCTACATAACTCAACCATTCAAGACGTAAGGCAAGAAAGTTTGTTTGTTTTCAGATGAAAAAACCCCATGGCTAATTATTGGTGATACTTTATGCAAATTATGGACATCTCGTCCCTAATGGTAGATTGGTGCAAAAAAACGCAAAACGTAGTAGCATTTTACTTAGGGTGCAGGGGGTGCCTACTCCTACTAGCCTTGGGGAGGGGGAGCGTGCAGATGGGGAGCCCATTTCCTGACTAAATGTTAATATTCACAGCACTCAAGAAAAGCAATGGTGATTTGGGTTTGATAGAGTACATTTTCAAAAAATATCCCTGCTTCCCAGCTTCAAATAATCCGGGATCCTTTCCTAAATTACATGCGTAAAATCAACGTTTTAAAACCATAGTTTTCTTAAAGTGAAAATTTCATAAGAAATGTCATAAGAAAAAATAAATTTTTTAATTTTTATCAGATTACACCCCATCGCTTGGAACGCAGCCATTTATTGCTTACCTAATTGTTTAAAGTGGGCTTGCCTAAAAGCAACGAGCAAGATAACAATCCTTTTTTTACCTCGAAAAAAAATCCATTTTGGCAGTTTATCCGACTGAAAGTACAAGGCTGACATTTCATCTGAAATAAATACAGTTGCATCAAAGCACATAAGAGTACTCTCTGCCACGAAGAAAAAACGATGCTCACAATCAAAATAAGAAGTTCAAACTAATCGAATGGAAGCACAGTAAAAAAACAAACCCTTTGGCGAAGAATAATACGTTTGAAGCAAGTATTTTCCACAGCACGGAGAACCTTTGTGATGCTATAAACCACGTAAGTTTGCTTCGTCTTGTATAATGAAGCCTTAATATCGTTTATGTAGACCTTTAAAGAAAGAGTTCAATTCTTTATGACAGTTTGAGCACAAAAATCTTTCATCTGAATGGGAAAATATCATCCACTGAAGTAATTAAAGTGAGAAATGGAGCAGATAATGTACGCAATGGAACTGATAAAGTACGAAATGGAACAGATAAAGTAAGGAATGGGGCATATAAAGTAAGGAATAGGACAAATAAAGTACGGAATGGGGCAGATAAAGTAAGGAATGGAACAGATAAAGTAAGGAATGGAGCAGATGAAGTAAGGAATGGAACAGACAAAGTAAGGAATGAAACAGATAAAGTAAGGAATGGAAAGAAAAAGTAATGAATGAAACAGGAAAATTGAGGAATGGAGCAAGCAAATTATGAAATGGAGCATGCAAAGTATAAGAAATGCACCATTTATAAAGTACGGAATACGTCATTTAAAGAACGGAGTGGAAAAGATAAACATACGCATGAAATAAAGTACGCAAAAGAATAAGCTAAAACGAAATGACAAAAAAACCAACAACAACACAAACTAACCGTTTTGTTCTTCTTTTGTAAAAATACTTTATAGTATGTTCCTGCCAGAGTAGAAAATTGCTGACCTTTTTTCAAAACGGAAAATTCTCGAATATAATTATCTGTCGCATGGAACAAAATGTCTTCCTTTTTCTGAAACATACAGTAAATTTTACGTAAGAATTTTTCTCTTTCTGGCTGATAAATTACGATCATGCAGTGAATTTTTATCAACTATAGTTGTAGCCTCCCGTTTCATGGTTAATCAACAATTATCTTTTTGTTTTCTATAATTTATTTACGAGCATAAATATGCTCGTAACATCGACATACAAAAAAAGATGAATTTTTCGCCGAGTCAAATTATTAATATTCTTCACTTATGCGTTTGGTGGGCACAAAACCAGCGTGACCAACAGAACAAGTAGCTGCATCCTTTTTTCATAAGAACCGGCAAAAGATAGCCCAGGCACAATGTTCTTAGTTTTTCCCGATTCCAGACGCAAAATAATTACATAGTCTGTTTCTTATCATAAAGTCTTTTATGCGAGATACAATATAAAGGTTTGTGTCTCAAAAAGAAAAAAATCCCAATACACAGAATAATGCATACATATCGAATTAGTTTACTGCAGAAATTAAACAGTATTTTGATGAAATTCATATTAAGTTAAAGCAATGACAGGCTATCTTCCATTCCAATGGGAGACGATGGTTTGGTCGATGCGTGAAACTGACTTGTGTTTTATCTAATGGTTTACTTTATGCAGCAAACTAATCCTATATGCACATATGAATCTGTATATTGCTTATTTCAGACACCCTGTACATTACCATAATAAATCTATATATGACAACATGCAAGATAGGGTTTACCATTAATTACATGATTCATTATAGGTAAATTAGCTTTATTTAAGTGCAAAAATTCGAGTAACTGAATATTTGGTTCAGAAACACAGTTATCAGAGATGTCAAAAAAAGGCTATACCAATATTATAGCATTTGTAAACTTGCAAATGCATAAAGTCCCGTTAGATCAACTACAGTCATCAGAATTGTCCTGTACATTTTACGTCAGCCTCAGTTTGCTCTTATTTAGTTCTATTTTTTGTTCTCATTACCTTGTTTCTTATCAAATATAAAAAAGAATGTATTTTGCACTAGACACGTCAGGGGTTGTAATAATAAATGTATGCAGTTAGGAACACAGTCAATACTATACCAATTCATCCCAATGTGTCCAGTGAAGTACATTGAGTGTTTGGTCGGTGGGAACAAATACGGTGCAAAATGAGCAGTTTTTAAAGTTGCCCGTAAGCTTATGTTCCTGTATAAAATGAAAATAAACAATTCAGCATTTTGCGAGAGCCAGGATGGCAGTGCAAGGGGCACCCTATTTTTCCGTCACTGTATTTATGTTTTTGCATATTTATTCTCAAAAAAGTGCTTTAAACTTCCTTCGAGCAATAAGCGATGAGACTTAACATATATTTTGAACAAGGGTTTGAACAAAAAAGATAGGATGAAAATAAGGAAATTTCTTGTCCAAAAATTATGAAAATCAATAAATGCCATGAAATACAAAAATATAAAATCAGCCTTAAAAAATAATATTTTGTCAAAATTATTCCTTACTTCATGACATGGAAGACGTGATTGAAAAGATTTGAAAAGATACTATACCTCAATTTTTTTACAAAACTGAGAGAAACTTTTTTTTTCTTGTACGCAAAGAAATTCATACAAATCAGATTCTTTGGTGACATTCCTCCAAGCCACATCTGGCACCAACACCTACGAACAACGGCGAGTACACAAATATGGCAAAAAATGAGATATTTTATTTAATTCTCAACTATAACATATAATACTGGGGCCGGTTTTACGAAGCCTGCATAGCCTTATCCATTGGGTAGCAAAACTCTTCAAACTTGCAAAAAAGGTGTTTATATTTTTCTTACAAAAAAAAATTTCGTGATCTTCGAAACAATATTTCACTTCAATAATTGTTCAGTTCGAATCTTATATTCTTTGCTTTTTAATAGGTTTTATAAAAGCTTAAAAAAACTTGCTATCTAATGGATAACGTTATCAAGGCGTTGTGCAACCAGCCCCTGCATAGCAATACCACAATACATGCAAACATGAGTGAATAAAGACTGTTATTGCTCAAGTCCATAAGAAGCCTTGGACATGTACAGTAAAAAAAGACAAAAACCTTATTTTTCCTTAAACTTATCTGAATTGCTTACTTTCTACGAAATGAACAAATCAATGAACAAATGAATCAACGAATGAATGAATGAATGAACGAATGAATTTTGATAAAAAACAAGTACAAAAGCAAAGCATTCACGCTGTACACAAATATGATGAATATGATGCAAATTTGGTTTTTTGGCAACCCATGCAAATTGTTTCGCCAAATATAATTTTGAAAAACCCGTTAAGCATAATACAAAGTGTGAAGTCCACAAATTTTGAAACTGGGTCATGCCATCTAATGGAAACACAGTTATCGTGTCTTCCAAATCACTTACTTTATCAACAATGTGAATGATACCATTGGTTGCTTTGATATCTGGCTTTATAATCTTTGCACTGCCTCCAATGAGTGGCTAGAAAACACCAATAAACATCGCGTGTTGGATGGAGTAAACATAAGAGCCAAAAGCTTAGAGCTAGTATACTTATTAACGAAGCAGTGCAATTGCGCACGCATATTCAAAGTGAAACAAGCAGCTGGACTGTATTTTTCAAGTTAACAGTGGATAACATGTCGTCCAGCTCTCCCGGCATTTATCGCGATAAACGAGAAAATTCCAAAAGAGAAAAGAAATACGATCAAATACCTATCAAATTGATTACATACAAAGATGTCTGACGCATGGAAGAATAAATGTGATTTCAGGCATCGTGTTATTAGCCCTTTACAATCTGTTGGTATTAAAATGCAGCCACGGTGATCAGGGCCGTACCTAGAACGCTAATTGGGGAGAAGGGGGTACTTATTCATATATTCAGTTGTGCCCGACTGATTTCTTCAGAAAGACAAATCACTTTCAGCAAGTTACGTTCTAGCTACGGCCTTGACGGAGATAATTAAAATGGACGGTTCCACAAAATGCATCATCAAGTAGACTTTACAGCGAAGACAAGACAGACAGCAAAGAAAATATGAGAAAGCTTGATTGTTCGTAAAATGGCGACACATAATTGTAACATGGCAAAATCATCAGATAATAAATGTTGCCAGCTGGATAGATGTTAAAGAATGAGTCTCACGGTAATGCTTTGCGCGCTTAGCCAACCATAGACAGCCATTTTCGGGGCACCCAAAAATGGCAGCTGTTCATGGTGTACCAATATGTCTACTTCTCCCATACCAACTCTTGTCCATCAACGTCAAAGCGTCAAAGGCAAAAAGACCATATTACAAATTTGAAAGAAAGACCATATTTCACATTTGATTAACAGAATATAATTCCCTAAACTCTGTATCAGATATCGAAAGTTCAATGCAAAAGTAAACACAAGCATTAGGTACAGCGGGACTCATTCTTTAAAGTTAGTTTTTTCAAATATTCCATTTCCCTTGTTCGATATGTCATTTCCAACTACTAACCTCAGCAGATTCCGTATGACTGATCGTAATGTTAAAATCTAGAAACCAGCTCTGCAAATGAGTCAGTGAACGGTTCTTCAAGTCCGAATATGTATATTGACCGGGAGCAGCGTTTACACTAAATGAAATAAAATGACTATAATTAGCATTTCAAAACGATATCATGCTCGTGCTCAATATATTTCAAATGTCTCTCATTATAATTTGTTTCCCTTTATCCAATTAGTAAAACTAAACTATAAGACTCTGTTGTAATCTATTGTACAGTATATTCAGAAAAGACATTTTCAAAGGCAACGAGAGTAAGAAGTACCAACTGCGCAATCGTAGAGAAGACCGATTGGTTAGAGTGTATCCAATTAAGATGCTACAAGAAAACTATCGGACGCTGTAACAGTCTATTGTACAATTTAAAGGAGACATTTCAAGAATGACAGTAAGTCGTACCACAGTTTATACAAAAGCCGCACGGAATTTGCTAACGTCATTCGGGCAGTCGAGCTTTCGCTCAACGAATGTGAAATCGTTTCAAATGAAACGCATCATTACCCTCCAAAAACGAAGAAATTCCAGAATGAATCCAACAGACGTTGGGCTGTTTCATTGGCATTCTTGATGGCATCATCCGACGGCAGGAAAAACGTTAGAGATTCGTTACGGATCATGTACCGCAGGAGATTATATTTCTTTAAAATCAAAGAAACTTGTGTAACAATTTCAGAAAACGTCGACTTCATTTAACAGGGACAAATCTAACTAGTATGACATGCGCCAAATAGATCGTACCCCGAAGCGGGAACGTTGGAAGATCGATAATTAAGAGAGGGAAGGGGTATTCAATTATACACGATCTGCCACATTAAGTTCCTTCAAAATCTATTATTACATAAAGGAACATGCCTCCCTCTTCTTAATAAAATATCAACCAAACTATAATCAAAGCCAGGCGCCGAATCACGCATGTGACATGAATTCACAGCATGGTTTTCAGCTTCGAGAAAGAATTTGTATGCGAACCCATATCCCTTTGCTCCCTCTATATCCACCCATGATCTCGTATCGACTTACCGGCCTTACAACCAAAAAATTTGCTATTTAATGCTTCGACAATAATTTAAGGCCAGTGAGTTTATCTTGCATGTGAAAGTGCACTTACCGTTATATATTTTGACATAATCCGTAGTTTAGCCTCTCTTTTGACTTTCTACAGTAAAATAGGTAAACAGCATAACTCGAGAAAGTACATACACAACAGTCTCAGCATAAGGGGTAGCTTCCCTGAAGTGTAATTTTCATTCGGGCGTACATCTAATTCTAACGTATATTTAAAGGCTATTAAAAAACGAAGATCTCAACAAACAAATTGCGTAAAAACGTATGTTTCCCATCTTTTTTTGACCATGTTCTTGGCTTAATAGAAACACGACCCTCAAAGGTTTCGTCGAGCATAAGTTAACAGATCGCTCAAATAGTTAATAAAATACAAATGCTTACTAAGGAAAGCGTGGGACGACACGTAATTCCATCGCCATGATATTCCGGATGGCAAATGCAATTTCTTTCTCCAGGTCCGGTCTTCACACACGTCGCCTACAACGACGTTGATACAAACAATTGCTACATCGTGTTGTAAACACATGGAAACAGCGTAGACAATAAACAGAAAGGCCACTCCACTGTTTTTTGTGCGTCTTATTACGCATAAAGTTACCATAGTAACAAACATTAAGATGCACGATATCACGAATTGGAACACTGAGATGGCTGCAACTGCATCAGTAATGCTACCAAATGTACGGCAACAAGTTGCACAGCGAAGTGAACTTACTGTTTATTCTTTAAAATGCGCCATAGTTAATAATTTTGTAAAGATTACAAAATAAGCTGAAAATACAGCCGCCATGGAAGCTTTCGTGTTGCATCTCGGGTGATTTAGTTGCCTTGAAGCAGGTTAGTACATGTATCCAAGATTGTGGGAAGAAGTAATTACATGATCTTCCGAAACTTTTTAAAGAAATTAATTCGCGAAACACCCAGTCATTGGTAATATGATAAAATAATCCCGAGGTATTGCGCATTTATGAAAAAAATTGATTTTATGTCCTCAAAATTATCATATCAAACAGAGGTATAAGAAATGCCGTCACCAGTTCCCTCAAACTTAGACACAGGCGATTTTAGACTAGTACCACGAACTTAGCTACAAGCTGGATCTTAATCAGTTTCCACAAACTTCGATACAAGTGGCTTCCAGTTCCCTTAAACGTAGACACGGGCAATTTCTTAACTAGTTTGCTGTAAAGGAAACTTTCCTAATCAGTTCTCAAATTTTAAAAACAGTTCTTTCGAGTTCCATCTACATACGATTGTTAATTCGAACGTAAAAGATGGCATCAGTGATGACTTTTTTTAAAGAGTTTCTAGCCCTGGAAAATAAAATTGCCATCAAAAAAGGCACAATTGTTCGTACCGAGAAATGCGTGACCATTTACTGGGTTTTATTTCATACAAAAACAGGCAAAACCTTACCAACGGTGAACATTTTCCATTGAGTCTTAAACACGGATTATTTTCCTGACACTTCGTACCATCACCATCATAGCCTCTGTTGCATGTACATTTTACCTGTGAAGACGAAAATGACGTGTGAGCGACGATGGAATCATTTTCTTCTCGATTTGAGTTCGTGAATTTAAATGCAAAAAGTCAATTCAGTCAAAAATATGTCAAAAAAAAGTTTAAAAACCAATCCTATCAAATATTTCAAAAGCCAAACCTATAGGCCATCACTTATGAAACTCAATATCTACGTAGAAGAACAATTTAGCGGTGCATATCGTCATGTTTGCCACCTTTGATGATGACGGCTAGCGTCATTCGAAACTTAAGAATAACCTAGGGTTCTAAATCATTGGCCAATCACAGGGTCGGCGGAGCAACATATGAGCTGCGGGGTCTTCAATTCTACTATAATGTCTTCAGTATAATATCTCTTTTGTTTTGCAATTGCAAAAAGTGAGGGATTTCAGCCTCCAAGCCCCCCAGTTCCGGCGTCCCTGCATCATTTACTCATGCTATGCTAATACTTTGCTGTTCACTGACTACAAAACAATATATTTCTAAAGAAATCAATCGCTACGTGGCCCTCAAATTTAGATAGCACAAAATTCGGACCGACTACGTTACTCCGTTTGATTATAGAACATAGAGTTTACCAAAATAGGCAAATGATCCAACCTGTGCTGGGCCGGTGAACGTACATTTGGCGTTGCCATGACAATGACCCCTCGATGGCATTATGCAGTAATTGATTGGTACGCAATAAAAGCCGTCACCAGTCCACCCGACATTACAGGTACACGTGTTTTGGCCAGGTCTCGTTTTCCTACAGATTGCCTAAAGGCGACGAATATTTCATAGTCAATGCCAACATTACTTCAAGCAAATGAAAGAATACAACAATTACGCTACAGTTAATGCTCGCGGAATAAGCTAAAATTATTTTCTCTTACATTTTGATGACACCCGCCTCTATCCTTTCTCAGACATGGATTTATTTCGTAACAACTTGAGCTGCCGACTTTCCGGTATCCAGGCAAGCATACACAGCTATCGAAGAGTAGAAATGGACATTTATTAATCAACAATTATCGGATGAGGTTGAGCATGATATCAAGAACTATTCAGACCGAGGTCAATGTTATCTGGGGAAGCGAAGCTGAAAACATTGAGCGAGGTCTGAATAATTTCTGTTATCATACGAAAGCCGAATTCAATAATTGTTTAATTATTCACCATAATTAGCTGAAATATTATTAAAACTTATCAATGTAAAGAATTTTCAAAACCTCCGCTAATTTGTCCTTGTCAGACGGACTACTCAAGTTCTTGTTTAAAAATCTTGTAAATATGCTCGAAGCTAGCTTTTATTCAAAAGCTTTTGCATATCATTTTTAGAAACTGTGACAAACCTCGCTATGTTTTGTGATTTTTCAAAACCGGTTTTTAATGGCGTAAACAATTGTAGAAACTATTACTTGTAGATAGGGCGTCATAATAAAAAATATCAGGAATTATTCACAGGTATCGACCAATCAAAACGGAAATACTTTAATAATTGGCTCTCGATTTGAAATTCAATTTCCTCCACCTCGAGATATCTTCGCATAATATAATTTGTTATTCATTATATAAATAACGATACTATAGTGTAATTAATTATGTATGAGACTGTTGCAAGGCTATGGCATTAGGTGAGACCATTGAACTAAAATACACGGAACGCTACCTGTAATAGAAAAGTCTGATAAATTCTTGAAGCCAAATTTTACACCCAGACACGCGTGTGTAGTCTCTTAATTTTCACAATCTGGAAACATTACACACTCGTGTCTGTGTGTAATCTCGCGTGTCTGGGTATAAGATTTGGCTTTAATTATTTGCTTCAGGTAGCGCTCCATGTATTTTAGTTCAATGAGTGAGATACAACTTTAAAAATGTAGGTTATGCTGTATAGTAAAGGATTTTGTGATAACGAGTATGATGTTAAATAGGTTAAACTTTTTGACAACAGCAGTGACAACAGAAAATGTAAAAAATAACTCTTAAAATCTTACGTCGGCTTAGAATTCTGAAGGTAGCATCGTCCATGCGCATGACACAAAGAAAACTTAAGACGGCGACTAGATGCACGATAGCAAGGTTTAAGGACAAGCCCACAGTCCTTTCCGCTGTACCTTCTTTTACAAGTACCGGGAACACAAAAACCGTTGCCCTTAGGGCCGTTGTCGCAGGTGCCATGAACACAAGAGCAATCTACAAATAAATAAAAAGATTGAAAATTTTCGAAGATCAAAAATTTTCGAGAATGATGACAAAAATTTTCATTTTTGATGAATTCTAATCGCCCTTTCACAAAAAATCTAATCGAAGGCATAAGACAAACGTTTGATTGAAACGTCCCGATATTTGTGTATCGTTTTTTATGCATAAATCATTGTATTTATAAGTTTAGAAATGACACAATGATGAGCCAAACGAGAGTACTAAAATATGGCAAAGACGAAGCAGATGCACGAGGCGAGTTCTGTTTAAAATAAAAAAGACTCCCAAAATCAATCGTGCTAGATTATGATTAGGAAAACGTTCGGGGTTATGGTCGGGCCTGCAGTTACGTGGCAGGGTATTCTTTCATTACTCCACAAATGCACATTTGCCTGTTAAAGTACGCTTCACTTTTTTTACATAAGCTGTTTCAAACATTTGATGAAACATTAAAAACCAATTTTGATGAAACAACTTGATTTCATGACTTTGTTCCACTACTTGGCTCTAGTCTTGTCTCAATAAATTAAGAAATACTTGGTTTGTGGCAAGTAAATCAAATACTGCTTTGAAGAGAGAATTTGCAATAATAAATGGCAATGATATCGGTAGTTATAAAAACTGTTTTCAACCAAAACTAAATGACACTAGTAACGTTCGTTTTCATTTCAGTAGTTCTTCTGCCTGAAAAAGAGCAAATAGCTACCATAGTGAATAGTCAAAATAATAAAGTAAGAGCTCTTAAAAGAACTGTTTGAAACCAGAACGCTAACCCAACAATTCTAAGAGAATACTAAAAGAACTTTTTTTACAGCTGAAAGACACCAAGTGAATATCGTTACCGTATTATTTTGACCATTTACCATGGTATTTGCTCTTTTTAAAACAATCTTTAAATTTTTCACGAATACAAAGTCTCTATTCTTCTGCTTTGATTTTTCACCTAATAAGGCACATAACGAGAATTCGGCCGAATTGCATCGCGCCATTTAATCATCTCAATTTTGCTTTTCAGCAGTTCTTTTTAGAAATAGCGAGGTTATGGATATTTATACTTAAGCAAATACCCTCTTCTGGGCAATTGACAAGCACAAATTCGGCTCTTACAATAATTCTTATGTAGCTGTGAGTCAAATATACTACCAGGGGCTGGAATGTCAAGAAGAACAACCAATGACCATCACCATAGGGAACCGGGGCAGGATTAAAACCAAAAACAAACTTAATAGAGCTAGCGTACAACTTTTTTACATGCAGAAGTTGGTTTCATAAACTGTTGTGTGTGTAATTTTTGTACGTTTTCAAAATTATATTTATTGTGTTGAAGCCTATAATACCAGGGGTCTGGAACGAGTTTTCGTTGTTTTTTACAAGGAAAGCACACCATTTTCGTACTTATCTGTTTTAAAATATTGAGTCAAACTTGTCAACCTACAACATTTCCTGACTTCGTACAGAATTCACTTACTTCTTTTACACTCCAATCCAAACGTTCTGTTGTCTTTGCAAAGCTCGCAAGCAGTTCCTGCAAAGCGAAGATTGCACTTACAGATACCAGTCTCACTGGAGCACTAAAAACATAATTTGAGCAAAATAACCAAGTTAAAAAAACTTCATTAACACCCACGACAATCATTAGCATGTACAACTATACTAGTTGAAAAACAAACGTCGCGATTGTTTTCAAAGAGAGTGTTCCGCATTTATACTGCTATACTTTATCATCCTACGTAAGGAATATATTGTGAATTAAAAGTAGTAAAACATTACAAAGTAATTTGTAACGGTAAAGAGTTACAATTTGGTAGTGCAACTTATCCTTGTAACTAGTTATATACATTACAATTAAATGAGCGTAAAACTAATAGCTAGCGGAACAAAAAAAGTAGCTTCTACGGCCCAGAAAACAAGCAATTCAATTCCAAACATTTCTGTTCTATGTTTTTATGTATTGTAAACAAAATGAACGCCGCAAAACGGAGCACAATACATTAATGATATTCGCACAGAGTTTGGTTCTTTTGTACGCTCTGTGCACATAAAATCTCCAAGCATGCAGTATACTAACTATAGCGAACGCAGTTTGCATTCGAATGGTAAAGCAGGGGCGTAGCGAACGTGGGGATCAAGGGGGTTCCAGACCCCTATTGTTCTGTCGGAAAAATTTGTTCATCTATCGGTAAATTTTCTCTAAATTTCAATACATTTTATATAACTACTCCCAAACCAAGACCATACCACGCCCACCTTGAAGGTAAATTTGACGCTTTGCCCACCCCCCCCCCCAAAAAAACAAACATAGACTTCACTACACCTCTGGTTAAATCTATTGATCACTTACCTTTCCGTTTCCAAAACATGGATTGCCGATAGGACCCGGACAGGGAAGACAGTCACTCCCATAAAAACCTTCACAGCACTTCCTTCTCTATAATCCGTAAAATTAACACGTCTTACGCAACTTCAACAACGTACCATTTACATAAATCGAGAAAATTGGCATTTCCCCATGGATATACACATACCTTAGGTTTACATACAGCTCTACAACCAGAATTTTTTGCATCACTGAACCCAGTATTTCTGTAGTAAGAACACGTCCGAGTTTCTCCCTGTTGTAAGAATATTAGGTATCAGTAACAACTTAAACTCTTTCCTAAGATACATGAGGATATCTAAAATATCTTAAATAAAAGATCTAAAATATTTTACTAAGAAGCTATCAATATGGAGGGTCACGACATGGAAAATTTAAAATCATGGATCAGGGATGCCAATATGAACAGTCTAGTGCATTCAAAATTAATACGTAAGTGTCAGGAAAACTATACTTTTACACATTCTTTTGTTCCGCCATCTTTTTTTTATCAAAAGCAAAAACTATAGTTGCTCGTGAAATGTTGACGAAGCATGCGAGGAAAATGATTCGTTCTCAACATTCCTGTCTTACATAAAGCTATGGTGAAATGTCAATACTTCCTAGATTCCGTTCACCCGCCTGCGGGGAACATTTTTGAAACTAATCAGTGTAGCTCGTGTTGATCCATCTTCCAAAACTATAGCTGGTTTCATGCACTGTTCGGGGACTGGGTACTGTCGTGGAAAAAAATTTTTACTGTGAACTAAATTTCATGTTTAAAACAATGAACGACTTCAAAAAGTAAGAACACTTAAAATAATTCAGCTAGGTTGTGAAAATCCTCAGACGATCGAAACGAATGTCTGTAAAAGTTTTTGGTGAACAACAACAACGCATTCATGAATTTTAGCAGTGTATAAATATAAGCTATAAAACGAAACAAAGTCCGAAGATAATTTTCATCTTTAACTCAGTATTTCAGATAAAAGAAAGGACAAAATAGACTATAGTGTTATTTCGAATTTATTACAAACATCTGTCAAAAATATCCGTGAAAATAAGATATAGTGATATTTCGAATTTAATAAAAAAATCTGTCTGACGATGAATTTGTAATTTGAAATATCGTTATATCTTATTTTGTCCTTTCTTTTATCTCCTTTCATATTTTATGAAATCATCGGCTGGCAATGGCTTTATATTGTAAAAACTAACTGATTAAAATAACAAAAAAATTTTGGTTACTTGAATGCACCCGAGAAAACTAAATTTTTATGATTGTTTTAAACATTTTATTTTGGTTATTCATAATTGGTTAAATCAACCACACATAATGGTTACTTAATAATGGTCAATTTATAAACAACCATTGCTCATAAATTAGCTTACCGTGGGAACATATTCGTTGGGACATCGTGGATAAAGCGCTGTCAAACCACAATCCCGACATGGACCCTATACAACAATACACAAGAATTTTGTCAAATTTTGAATCAGGGGGGAGGGGATGGAAACGAAGATCGATTAATAACTTCCGTCGCTCTTGTGGTCGTGAATTTATAATTTACTTTGGAAAGACGAAAAAGCTCTTTCACTTACAACCACAGAACACGAAATATACAGAAATGCCAGTCCATTGACAATTTTATATCTTATTATGCATATGATTACCGAAGTGACATCCGGTCGTTTGCCTTTTTTGACCATCAAACATGATGAAATGGCTAACCGCAGCCAGTAATATATATAAAATACAGCACAGAATTGCATAGCAAAGTTGTCCGACTGAATAGGTTGGTTGGTTGTTACGTCACGGCCGCCATGTTGGTTGAATTCGACAAAGAATTTTTCTCGTCGACGTTTTAAATTTCAACCAACATGGCAGAGGTCGCCGTCATTTTACAAACCACCTACAATCGTTACGCTGTGAGCTAACTACATGTTTATTCCTGCAATAGAAACTTTTCTCTGTTCACTCACTGAAAAAACGAAAGACTTCTAAAGAAATGAACAAGATAATGTCGAGTCTGATGTCGATTTCATTTTAGAAGCAAGATTTGACGTTCTTACGATTTTGTTCGAGCTTTGTCTCCAATGAATAGAAACAGAAATTAAAAACAAATTTACCATGAAGCATACATTCTTCCTATTGAAGTTGGAAATTTCCCGTTTTTTTTGTTGTACAGGATTTATTTTGGGAGTATCCCCCGAGATCGGATCGGTATTTCATGGATCATTTTTGTAGTTTAATGTCGACAATTCATTAAAAGAGCTTCCTAAATTGAGTCTCTTCTCTTCGTAACAAACAAATAACTTTTTGTAGCAGAGAAAATTTGTAATAATTGAAACCACTAAGAAAGAATACATTATTCATACCGAAGATCGGAAGAAAAGAGAAAGTGCTCTTAACGTAAATGAAATAACATAGTATACAGAATATTATTCTTTCAGAAAGACCCCTTTCAATAGGAAAAAGTTTCTCCCGTCTTTTTAATGCTCACTCACATGCAGTTACAAAATTTTATGCGTGAGCGCTAGGTACGAAATATTGTTGTAATTATCATGGTCTCCACATTGAATAAAATCACCTTCTCGCATTTCCTCGCTGGAATGATCGGAAAAGCGAAAAAAAATTAAGACAGTATCACTTCTCTCAACATTTAAAATTCAGTCCTTGTTTTATGCTATATAGCTATACTTACTAATTTAGTCCTATTATCACAAAACTTTTGAATGATCGGAAGAACAAACAGTGGCAGTAATACGTTATCGGCGAGATGAAGATAGCCATCTGACGCTATGTTGTTGCTGTTTATGAGCCTTGAAACGTTGCCCAGAATCACCGATCCCTTTAAAATCAAAAACCTTGCAGGTGAATAAACACAAGTCAAACCCACCCAATGTTGATGCATTTTGATCAAAAGCAATAACGATATCTATCCAGGGACCAGATGTCTAATTGGAGATTTCCATTAAAGCCTAGTATCAAGTACCATATTTCCTTTGTTTAGCCCCCTGTGAGGGTATTAGTTTAGAACTTTCAAGTGAGGGATTATATAGCTTTTCACGCAAATTTACTAACGCTTACTAATTCACGTAACTCCATTCAAGTGAGAGCACAAATGGATTTTTTAAAAAACTGTAACACGTGACTATAATTTTGTCATAAATTTTGACACAAAGCAAGCGACTATTCAAGTGGGGGACGATGAGAAGGGGGGGAGGGAAGAGGTAAAATGAAGCCGGGGGCAAAATAGAGGAAATACGGTGTTAATTTACACCGTGAAGTATCTCTGATGAAATGCTACGCAGCTAACGAAAACTTTAACACAGGCGGACTGACGTTCTCATAAACGTTTTCTCCAAAAAGAAATATTTGGGATGACCCTTCCACTTTGGAAAATTTTCTTTAGTGGATGGAAGTGTGTTGAATCACATGCATAGCAAACTAGCTAAAAGCCTAAAAGCATGATCGCTTCAGTTTCTTTTCCCACCACATTAAATCGTCAACCGTGGATATTCCCAAACACGGGATAAATACGCAGCTGCCAAACGGATGACATCACAAATTAATCCATAATTAGCAATATGAAGCCATGCAAGATACCGTTTATAGATTGATAAATATTGACACACTAGATAATCATTTCTGAGTAGCTAAAATACCTTTTCATTAACCGTCACAGAAACCGTCTCTGGTGCAAGCGAAGTCAGAGAAGACAGTCGAGAAATATCGATAACACCAAACTAACACAAATAGAAACACGTTTTAGATAAATATATGTATAAAAGTCAAGCCAAATTAAAAGTTGACCGTGCTCTACCTTTGAAGGGAAGACATGATTTTTTATAATAGCCTCGAGTTTCACACGGCCCTGTTTGAAAGAAAAATTCCTTTAGAAGTGAGTGATACAAAGATTCACCTAAGGGGTGACATCAGTGTTTATGACACGCTATTTTGCAACGCAGTTTTCCGATTGCTTAAAAAAAACATTTAAAAGCATTTTCATCAGTCAAATGTGTAAGTTCGCCTCTTTCTACAGATGTTTGTTCACTTTACTAATATCCTCACTATGACATCAGTATCACATTGCTGAATGACATTTTAGAATTCTGGACAAGACATCAACGTTTTATTCACAAGCAAAATAAATAAATAGATTGGTTGATGATTACGGAAATATACTTTCGTATTGGATAAGAATTTCACAGAAACTGTCGACGAAAACTGACTTTTCCGAAAGCTAAAAAAATATTATGTGGTCTCATAGTGATGTTATTTGCATAAAGTAAAAGGTTTGATACGGGTTTTAACAAAATATTCACTTTAATCAATTTACGTTGTACATATGCCATTGCACTGTACATTGTAAATGGTTTGTCTCGAAAAGAATACAATTCTGTTGAAATTGTCGTTTTTGTCAGTGGCGTATCGAAGTCGTTGATCGAGGGGGACAGAAATTTATCTAGCCATATTTCAATCCGTAGAAAACAATGGATTTCAAAGGAACCTAATACGGCAGACAACGCACATGTGAATTGCCTTCATCTCTAAAAAAACTATCGAGTTTGCTACGCCACTGTATGGTTCCAGTACAGATAAAAAGAAACATTGGTGCCGAATCGCAAAGTGTTTTGGTACATAGTGTTTTAAATCGCAGACTTTTATCGACTAACTGTCCACTCGCAGTGTACAGACTCGTGAATGAATCGCATTCAATAAAAATAAATGATCGAAAAGCCTACTGTGGGTGATTGTAGGTATGACATGGTTTCGTTGTCCAAACGTTCGAACGCTTCGTTCACCGGGGCAATCACTGTCGAACCATTCGAAGAGGTTTGAAAGACAGACGTCATACGTGCTATCTGAAAACAAAACAACAAAAAACAATCAATTGGGGAAAAGGCTTTGACACATTGGATAAGTCAGGTGACGTGGTACAAGTAACGCCTGTATTGTAAATATTCGCTTACAATCACACTCACTAAGCGAGGCTCGAAACATTCTTCTTCCTTCTCTTCGTAACAAATAAATAACTTTTTGTAGCAGAGAAAATTTGTAATAATTGAAATCATTAAGAAAGAATACACGTTTGTAAATGTAGATCGTCCAGGTTGGTATAGTCCTGAGAAGGACTGTTTTTGTTGTTGTTAATGGTTCAAACCATTTACTTTAAGAAAGCATACATTATTCATACCGAAGATTGGAAAAAAAGAGAAAGTGCTCTTAGCGTAAATGAAATAAAATAGCATACAGAATATTATTCTTTCACAGAGACCCCTTTCAATAGGAAAATTATCACGTGCTCTGCTATGTACATTTTTGTTTGACCTTGTTTAGGCACTGGTAAAGTATTTTATTTTTTTATTTCCAGTTCAAATTATTCGGCCGAGTGAAAGACATCAACAATATGTTGTCGGTCGTTTTAAGTAAATCTCGGCCGTTACCTCGACAAGCTCTTTGAATGTTTGAGCTTCTGGTAGATCGCTGATCATCTGCCAAAGGGTTTTCTTAAAAAATAGTAATATGATATATTATCAGTAAAAAAAGCAAATACCCATGAGTTAAAAGAAATTGCAATTAGCTTTTTCATTTGCTTCATGTCGTGTCTATATACTAGCAAAATACATAATTTCACTTTCGACAAAGCAAATTTGTGTCGGTCGCCTTCAACGTATTGAAGTAAACGTAAACAGCACCAATCAGTTTTAAAATTCTCCCTAGGATTGGTTTATATTGGTTTTTTAACTTTCTTTCGACTTATTTTTGATTGGGAGTTTTGCTTTTCGATAACTTTCAATATAGCGTCGTTGTCTCACCTTGAGAGTGGACCTACTGTATATTCTAGTACTACACTGTGCATATACGCATCACCATTATAATGCAAAAATTAACAGGGAACATTTTGGGCTTAATTCTCGTTGTAGGTTTTCAATATGTATATAAGATCAGTGACCTACAAACATGGTCACATTTTTTTCACGAAAATGAAACATTGAAAACTTTGAATTAACAATTTAACATTTTCACGACAATTATGGTGACAACTTGGCTTAAATTTATTTTAGGAGATTTGTGAAACACTCAAAAATAGAAACCGGTGGACAAGCACTATTCAGGCAGCACGCAAACATTTTCTGAAATCAGTTGCATTGGAAATCAGTTGCAGGTCGATAGACGAAAAAACTTCGGTGACGAAGGAAATAATGCTCTTCTGCAGCTTTGTTCAATAAATATGTTATCTGTAAACAATTTAGTCGAGGATAAAAAATCCTGACGCTTTATTTTATTTTTTCACCTGCGCACAACACTGGTCATTTTATCTGATAGAAGTTATAGAACATACCGACGTTCGTGAAGTTTTGGTCAAGTCTGGTTTCCATGCGACACCATCGATCACGTGGATGACACCATTTGAAGCAAAAATATCCGGCGACAATATATTGGGCTTTTCTGAGCGATTATTCAGCTGATAAGACAAACGCCTCTGCAAAAGAATCATATCACTTGCCACCCATTAAATAGCAAAAGTTAAAGAAAACAATTTGTAAAAATCTAATTGCGTCATCGCAACGGTTTAAAGTTTACTGCATTGAATGTCATGGACGAATGTATCTTTAAAGTGAACAGTTTGAACACGAGAGTGTCGTTGCATGTTTGTAGATGTGGATCGTCCAGGTTAGTGCAGTCCTGAGAAGGATTGATGGTGTTTGTGTTGATTGACGTTTCAATAATTTTCGCGGTGAAATTCTTCTTCAGAGTCATCTCACTACACCTACTCTAAGGTGACAGACCTTCACAGGACTGCACTTACCTAAACGATTTGCATCTACCCAAATGGAATGTATCTATCTAATTCTTTAGATGCAAAATACGAATTGAGAAAACTGAATGGCGAACTTACATCCTTGGCCACCGACACCATGGCCTGAAATCCCTTTAAAGTGGTCAGTTGGCCATTTTGTTGTAGCAAGCTCGATGGTAAAAACGCAGCAGCAGAGTGTGCCATGACTAAATCATGCACCATCTGTGAGTCCCCAATTATGGCGTAAAGCTAAACGTTTGAACAGAAGAAAGTGTGTTTAGTCGCCTGCGTATAAATTTAACGCAGCAAGTGACCCGATAGTCTACTCGCAGATACACCGAGCATAATATCTTATAAAATGTGCTTAACAATATAAGCGAACTGGTTGAAGAATCAAGAATTGCTGTGGGTTTACACGAGCTCAAGCAGAGCTATGCAGATGCTTGTATCACCTCACATGTTTAATTTCTGACGGTTTAGAAGAGTTCCAGCATAGCTACGCAGATGCTTGTATCTGTCCACATATTTTGATTCCGATGGAAACAAAATTAATAAGTTTGATAATGAAATAGAATGATAATGTTGACACATGTCATAGATACTTTAGTATAAAATAAAAGTCGAGAAATTGATTACATTTTGTTTTGATCGAGAACATGCAACTTAAGTAACGTCGTTTACTTTTTGTTGAAGACTCTTTGATTAGTGCATAACATCGAACCAGAAAGCACAAATAAAAGTGTGTGTGGGTGAGGTGCACAACAGAGTACTAATTTGCCTGTTGTATGCATTAAATACAAACGAAAAATCAAAGTTTCAACATTGTAAAACGTCTTAAAACTGATACAAGGAGGTGGTCATACTTTGGTTTTTATACATGCATGTAGATAGAAAACGTAATATGAGAGCTTGACAGAAAATAAATGATGCCGTCACTGTCATGTAGGAAAATGAAAATTGTTCGTCTTATCATCTTTTTCTATCTCAGCAGGTATTGTTTATAACAAAATACGCTAACGAAGAAAAATTGCATAAGGTTCTTGAGCGATTCTTTAGAAGCCCACTTCGCTGCAACGTAGATACGTATGTTCTGTAGCTAAAATAAGCCCAGAGTAATGCACTGACGGGTAATTCTCTTTATAATATAACAAAAGCAAAACGTGTGCTCTGATTGGTCGATGCCCGTGTTTGGAATGGGCCATCCAAACACGGAAATTGAAATGGCTGTCGTCGGTATGCTGTCGTGAGAATTTTCAACATACCTGAAAATTACGGTTTTCTTAATCTTGCGGATTAACTTTCTTAATCCCTTCAATCTCGCGTGTTTGGATCGGGAAATCCAAACACGGAAACTGTTTCGCAATTGTTCACTTATGCTCGTACACAAATGAGAAAACAAGGAGGTATTCTTCAACTTAGCTTACATCCCGACTAGTAAATGCCTTGTTCAGTCCATCGTCTGTTGGAAGGAAAACGGTGAAGGGCCCTCGTTTGGCGAAGGCCAGCGTCAAGTCTGCATGATGTTTGATGATGGTCTGGATATTTCTTAATTTGTTCTTGTAAGGGCCTGTCGCATGTAAATCTATAACTTTCTGAAATATAATAAAATATCACGTTAATCTTTATAATAAATAAAATATCACGTTAATCTTTATCTTAAACAAGCCAATTTTAAGATACTGTCATCAGTGGCGTAGCTGGTCTTCAGTAACCGATCATTCTTCAATGACGATGCAAAGCAGTCTTAGGTAGCCGATTTCCTGGCTTAGAAAATGATGCAGTGCTAGCTAGCTTCGACTACTGAAGGGGCCAATATTCATACATGCATTCTATGATCCGCATAGTATTGAAATTAGTTTCTCCTTTTAATACGTATTTAATGAAAAACCTATTTATTTCAAATCAGCGCAAGCACAGTATAGAAACATAGAGTAGTCTCACTCCACTGTACAACTAGGTGCTGTATATTTAATTAGATTACTTGCGGCGGCTTGCCATCTCAGCGCTCCTATTGGCTAAAAAAGCAATTGACCGGCTGCCACTATGGTAATCGCATACGTAATAAGATATGCGCTACACAAAAAAATTCTATAGAGTGGGACTTCTGTTTGTTTCTATACTGTGGCGCAAGTGCTACATAGAGATACGTCACAATGCGTGCTGGACACAAATCGATCGTTTTCTTCAAATGTGTATTTATGTTTTTTTCGTCGATTCAATAATCATTGACGACCTTCTGCTTTGTATCAATTTAGAAAATACAAAAAACAAGCACTATTTTGAGTCCTTTTTGATCCATGCTTTCAGCAAATGACCACAAATAAAGCACTGGTGACTTCACACGGAAAACCAGTCTCCACTTGCAGAACTAAGAAAAATCCCAGCGTGTAATACAGGGCACCGCAGGAAATTGATAAGTGGAAGGTCCTTATTTTAACATTTGTGTGTTATAAATTTATAAATTAAAATTACAAGAGACTTCAACAGAAATTGATGTGGAACATATGAATAGTATCCCCTCAATTATCAATCTTCCGCGGTCCTTGCAATCGTCATTTTTCGGGGGAGGCGTGGTGTGACTCCATAAACAAACCATGCCGGTGCTACTGCCTGCCAAACAAGATACGTACCTCTAAAATCGATCCATAACAAACTGTTCCGTTCCCAACATAACCATTTTTACAACGGCACCTTCAAATTTTCAAAAGCCATGTTATACAACACAATTTCCTCAAGTTTCACTATAAGCAAAACTCATTTTATTTCTGTATCTGTTCGTGTTTCATCCAAACGAGTTTCCCCAGCTACCTTACTATGTCAACATTAATAATATTACTGATATTGACTCCTTATCATCAAAAATAGTTTCATAATTGTCCTCAATCAACGAAACACACAGGAATGAAGCACTACGGATAATATAGCAAAAAAATTCCAAAAAACATCTTGAGATTACAAAATATGAATCAAAACATTCTGTCTGAGGATGACTTTGAAATAAAGTCGAAAATTAACAGTTCGCTTCCCATCTTGTTTTGATTCACATTTTGTAATCTCAAGATGTCTTGTTTTTTACTATATTTTTTTAAATTGTCGGCTGGTCATGGTTTTTGGTCTAAACTACGGATAATATTACCAATAAGATGAAAATATTTAGAATTAAATACGTCGTTAAAATGTATTCTCAAGATGTTTAGCTTTGAATACAAAAGATATGCGGTTTTGATTTAGAAATTAATTTTTCTTCAGTCACATATTACAGCAAGAATTCACAATCCTTTCAGTAAGCCTAAAAAATCAACCTTGTAGACAGCTGTTTGAAAGGCCACTTTCTATACACTTCTTCTTGAAGCATTTACACGGGGGTGGGGATGACTCGGATATAATCATGAAGGTGGGTGGTTAATTTTCCCGACAAAGGGCGTGGTATTTAACAAGTAAAATCGCTTTTTTAAAAGATTTTCCTACGAAGTTCGTAAGTAATGTTTCACTTTCTTGCACGACAAGTTGCAAAGTTTTTCCCAAAAACAAAGAACTCCTAATTTGGGGGATTGAGCCCCCCACCTCCAAGACTTACAGACCTGAGCGTTTATAGTTTTAGAATGATGAATTATTCGGCATAAATTCAACTAAACATGGTCGTTCTTACTCTTTGACACCAGGAGCTGACATAAAACATTCCGCACCAAAAGTTCGACAGTCGTTCAAGTCACATTCATTGATGATATCACAACCAGCTTGCACAATGTAATTTCCATATCCCGGCAAACAGGAACAGTTTGACTGACAAAAGAAAAAGAAAAAAGTAATTAGTGACGTCGCCTTCTTTTTCTTTTCACACTTGAATCATTCGTAGGTACACAAACCAGTGTCGTACCCAGCTTACAGATTTAGTCGTGCTATGTAAATGTCGATTCATCAAGATTATTCACTTTTTCTCGCAGAAGTAGCGAAGTTTTGAGGGGATACGGAGTTGGAGGAGTTAAAGTAAATGGTTTGAACCAGGGAGTATCGTTACATGTTTGTAGATGTACATCGTCCAGGTTAGTAGAGTCCTGAGGACTGTTGGTATTGATGTAGACGGACGTTTCGACAACCTTAGCGGTTGTCATCTTCAGAGTCAAGTGAGGAGTAAACGTCAGGTTAGCCGTATTTGTTATCTGTTTCTTACGTCATCGTATTGTGTGTACAGAAAATGTGTGGGTGAGTGGGTTTTAATTGTGTATTGATGTCGTGGATTAGTCTAAAGTAATGTGTTAAATGCTTGTTTGTTTGTGTTGGTAATGAGTCGTTTGTAAGATGCCGTTAAGTGTTGTGATCTGTTGAGTGGGTTTTTTTCTAAGTTGGTACACTAACTTTCCAATGTAAGCCATTGTCTTTAGTCAGTGCTGTAAGTAATACATTTTGTCGAGTCCCAATCAATGTTGTGTTTTGTCAGTCGGTGATGTTCGGCAATGTGATTGGTTTTGTCCTGTTTCTTTCTAGCTCGTTTGTGTTCATTAAGTCTTATGTTTAAGTTCCTGCCAGTTTCCCCGATATAGGAGGCGTGGCAATCGGAGCAGTTTGTTTTGTAAACTGCACCTTGTCGTTCGTTGGGTTGTTCTTTCATACGTATATTCCCAAAAATTACCAGACAAATATCCCTATCTAACTAAAATGGAGTCGTATTTCAATTGATGCCATCGATTGCTGCGCTTTTCTTTTAAAACAGCTCTTATATACATACTGCACTCAATGATAAGATCGTTTGAATTGGCTTACACGTCCTTATGTAAAGCCCAAAACACACAACTTTACACCTTGAATTGTTTGTTATCACTACATAAATCTCAGTTCTTTACAAATGTAGAAATGACTGTACTTTGAAGGTGTGTCCTAGAAGCTACATTATATGTTTTGCCCTAATCTCAAAGTAAGCAAATTCTTAGCCTTCAAGTAAAATCAGTTTTCACTTAGAAACTCTTCCGAATCTTCTTCATTTCATTCGCGAGTCGGAGGAAATGGCCTCTGATTTAGAAATTTGCAGTTTCTATGTAGTCAATGGGTACAACCGTTGTATACAGAGGGAATAAAAAGTCGGGATTATCACGTACGCTAAACACGCGTTTTAATTGTCAAACTAGCCGTTTTACAAATTGTGTATGCAATCAACGTAATATTTGGCTTACTCAAGAGCCAAGACAAATAAATGTCTTTTTTATTACTTATCTCAATTTTTAGTGGAATTTTTGCAAATGCATAATATTCTGATAGTATTTAACTTTACTTTAAATTTACTTTAAGCTTTGTAACGCGCAATTTGAATTAGTAGTGCTATTCAATTTTGTAACATATTTGATAATAATAATAACAGTAATGATGATCGTTATGTTGCGGTCTTTGGCAAACAAAACACGCTGTTTCCCTCGGTCTCAACCAATAGGTGATAATTATAAGTCTCACAAGATACTTACCTTTCCAGGTGCCAAATAATTACATTGTGTATTTTTCGAACAATTTCCCATGCTGATTTGACAAGGATCAATAGCTACACGTAAAAAAATACACACAAAAATCATTTGATGTCAAATAGCTTTTCCACGTACGTGAGGCAACAACTTTACAATCACAAGCTGGGGAATATTTCGTTTCCAGTAGACACTTTAATTAGACAAAAACGTAGCAAACTCCAAAGGAGATCTGAAAGCTATCAACGTTAACAAGATGACAAATTTCTGGTAAAATCTCCACTTTATTCCAATGTCATTGTCCGACCAACTATTTAAAAGCGTGCTCGACAGATCTCTATGTTGTCAGGACAATAAGTTTCGATTATAAAGTCGATATTTTACCAGGATTTTGTCTTTATGCTATATCAATAACTTTAATCTTAAGTCTGTCTTGTTTCATAACAGTACGAAATAAAATGCATTTTAATTTGACCAAATCAAAAAATAAGGGAGAAATTACTACAATTATATAATCGTACAACGATCATTGTTTATTTTGTGCAATAAAAAGAGTTACGTTTACTTGGTATGTAAAAATAACACAAGTTTATGCTTTCGTTTTATAACTTCCGTACGGGAATTTGCATGATTCAACTTACCCGTGCATACAACACCGTCTCCAGTAAATCCCAGTGCGCATTTGCACTTGTAGCGACCTGGGCCTGTTTTACTGCATACTGCATTAAGGGGGCAACTGACGTTCGGTTGGGCGCAAGGATCAATTTCTGAAATATTAAATATATCACGTTTGCGACAGATTGGTTCAATCAAAACGTTAATTTGCCACCGAAATGTGCATTATTGACAAACAAATATGAAACAATTTATTAAATTTATGACTAACAAAACTACAGCTAATTTGTGGAGCAAAGCCACCTCCATCACGACAGTTTAATAAGAGCATCCTTGGCTTCATTAAAGTTTCGTAGATTTATTGTTTGGTATTGGATAAACATTGTGAAACATTGCAAAATTGAAACTGTGCACGAGTAGAAAAATATCTGCCAATTGTGCACGGGCTGTAAAATATTTGCCAATTGTGCATGCTTTATAAAATATCTGCCAATTGTGCATGCTATATAAAATAACTGCCAATGGTGATCACTTTGTAAAATATCTACTAATTGAGCATGCTTTGAAAAATAACTACCAATTGAGCATGTTTTGTAAAATAACTACCAATTGAGCATGTTTTTTAAAATAACTACCAATTGTGCATCGCAAATTGCAAATAATTGCCAATTGTGTATGCTTTGTAAAATATTTGCCAATAGTGAATGCTTTACAAAATGATTGCGAATTGTGTATGCTTTATGAACTATCTGCCAATTGTGCATGCTTTGTAAACTATATGCCAATTGTGCATGCTTTATAAAATATCTGACACTTTTGCATGCTTTATAAAATAACTACCAATTGTGCATGCTTTGTAAACTATATGCCAATTGTGCATGCTTTATAAAATATCTGCCAATTGTGCATGCTATATAAAATAACTGCCAATGGTGATCACTTTGTAAAATATCTACTAATTGAGCATGCTTTGAAAAATAACTACCAATTGAGCATGTTTTGTAAAATAACTACCAATTGAGCATGTTTTTTAAAATAACTACCAATTGTGCATCGCAAATTGCAAATAATTGCCAATTGTGTATGCTTTGTAAAATATTTGCCAATAGTGAATGCTTTACAAAATGATTGCGAATTGTGTATGCTTTATGAACTATCTGCCAATTGTGCATGCTTTGTAAACTATATGCCAATTGTGCATGCTTTATAAAATATCTGACACTTTTGCATGCTTTATAAAATAACTACCAATTGTGCATGCTTTGTAAACTATATGCCAATTGTGCATGCTTTATAAAATATCTGACACTTTTGCATGCTTTATAAAAGAACTACCAATTGTGCATGCTTTGTAAAATAACTACCAATTGTGCATGCTTTATAAAATATCTGACAATTGTGCATGCTTTGTAAAATATCTGCCAATTGAGCATGCTTTATAAAATATCTGACAATTGTGCATGCTTTGTAAAATATCTGCCAATTGAGCATGCTTTATAAAATATTTGACAAAATTGTGCATGCTTTGTAAAATAATTGCCAATTGAGCATGCTTTATAAAATAATTACCAATTGAGAATGCTTTATAAAATATCTGACAATTGTGCATGCTTTGTAAAATATCTGCCAATTGAGCATGCTTTATAAAATATCTGACAATTGTGCATGCTTTATAAAATATCTGACAATTGTGCATGCTTTGTAAAATATTTGCCAATTGAGCATGCTTTATAAAATAATTACCAATTGAGCATGCTTTATAAAATATCTGACAATTGTGCATGCTTTGTAAAATATCTGCCAATTGAGCATGCTTTATAAAATATCTGACAATTGTGCATGCTTTGTAAAATATCTGCCAATTGAGCATGCTTTATAAAATAGCTGACAAAATTGTGCATGCTTTGTAAACTATATGCCAATTGTGCATGCTTTATAAAATATCTGACACTTTTGCATGCTTTATAAAATAACTACCAATTGTGCATGCTTTGTAAACAATATGCCAATTGTGCATGCTTTATAAAATATCTGACACTTTTGCATGCTTTATAAAATAACTACAATTGTGCATGCTTTGTAAAATAACTACCAATTGTGCATGCTTTATAAAATATCTGACAATTGTGCATGCTTTAAAATATCTGCCAATTGAGCATGCTTTATAAAATATCTGACAATTGTGCATGCTTTGTAAAATATCTGCCAATTGAGCATGCTTTATAAAATATCTGACAAAATTGTGCATGCTTTGTAAAATAATTGCCAATTGAGCATGCTTTATAAAATAATTACCAATTGAGCATGCTTTATAAAATATCTGACAATTGTGCATGCTTTGTAAAATATCTGCCAATTGAGCATGCTTTATAAAATATCTGACAATTGTGCATGCTTTGTAAAATATCTGCCAATTGAGCATGCTTTAAAAATAATTACCAATTGAGCATGCTTCGTAAAATAACTGCCAATTGAGCATGCTTTGTAAAATATATGCTAATTATTCTTGCGTGAAAAGATTGCAGACGTTTCTGAGCATAAAGAAAACTCACATTTAGCCAACTTTGCAAGCATTTCACTCCGCGCAAAGCATAACACAACAAAACCCACAAATTTTGGAGGTTCTTTCTTCCCCGAAATAGCTTTACGTTATGAATAGCCGATTATTTGAAGCAGTTCTTTACCTTCGCACTGTAGACCATCGCCAGTATAGCCAGGATTACATTTGCAATCCTTGGATTCCCCATTGACAAAACAATGCGAGTAGTTATGACAACTTTTGTTGCACTTGGGTTCGACTTTAAACGACAGAAAAAACATTGTTTACCAATGAGCTCTTTGCAAACAACTTACGTGATTTGGAAAAACAAAGATTTTTACGCTCAACTTAAAATCAACAATGCCAGTTATCATAGAATGGCAAAACGTCATATGAAAGACGTTCTCGGGTGAAATTCAACTGCTATCGTTGTACGTAAGAAGACAAGAGACAATCAAAAAAATATAAACTTTGCAAAAAAGTACTTTAATGATCCCTTGTAGACACCATTGTGAATGGAAAAGTAATTAAAGAACAGTTAAGTACCGTATTATTAAAGCTTAAATTAAAAACGTGGTATATTTTTCACGAGGAGCTAGGTCTGCTACAAAAACTGATGAGCACAACATTATTTATAGTGCTTTAGAACAATTCTTTTTAAGGGCTGTCGCATTTACAATGGTATTTGTCTACAACGTTTCTTCAAAGAGCACGAAAATCACACGATGAAAAATAAAATTAACCTATACTTCTAACGATGACCAAATGGATGAAAGACATGGATGCATAAGAATGCATCAAAGTCTAAGACATTAATTTGAAGGGGTTTTTCAAGACGTCGGTCGCATGTCTACCAAGCGAACGAGTGACATAAAACAAGTCAATGTGATAAATTCGACAATGTGTTTGAATTATGGGTCTTTTTCGTGTTCATAAAAACAGTATTAAAATTCTTTAAAAAACACAATTTCGAACGTGAGCTTTTCAAAAGCAACACAAACGAATGAAACTGTTTGCTGAAACCAAAACGTAAAAAACACGCCATGGATTGAGATAATACGTTTTTATCAAATAGACTTACATTGATCGCAATTCACTCCATGATAACCAAGGTCGCAAGTTAATGGAATACAAGTACCATTGCCTAAAACTCCACTGTCGCAACGACCGTGTTTGCATGTACACTCTACATATAAAGAGAAATGTACTTGAAGTGAACTCCGTTTCAATAATTCTGCCAGATAGATAAAATACTCAGCTCATTCCGTCAGATCCAAGTAAGTGAAGAGGTCACAACTTACAAGGACATTGAAGTCAATAACATGAAAATTCGTTGACTGATTTTAAAAACCAGGAATAAAGGTTGAACGATCAAGATTGGCATAAACAATATCTAAAATGCTACTGCTTCAGGATATTTTCTTCAGAAAGTCGGCTTAAACCGAGTGAACATTGGAAATAACAACTCTTTCGGTAACTACCAGGCATTTTGAAATATTGCGGCAACAAAACATGGATTACCGAGGGGTTTTACATACCGCTAAATTAAAGGTATTTTTAATTTGGTTACTCTCTAGAGAATTGATAATACTTGAGCTTACTTAACTAGTATTGGTAAAAAATGAATTTGTTAGGGTGACTACAACTGTAACTACATGTATGCATAAATAATGTAGATATAGGATGTATTTAAATTAGTTAGGTTATGGACAAATCGTATCGCTTCTTTCTAGCCATAATTCTTGCTATAGCCAGCTTGATATACGTAAACAGTTATGTGAGAACCACTTCAGGTCATCACACAATGCAGTTTATTTAGCTGGGGCTACACGCAGGGGCCAATTTATGTCGGTCGGCACTGTATAGAGGATCTGGTAACGAAGATCGCAATTCCAACCAGTCATTAGTACAACATATCAATGATAGCAATATCCACACAGGGTGACCATATTCAGTACCTTCCTCCTTTTTGTAAAATTTCGACAATTATTAAAAAAAATAGCAAAACACATTTCGAGCAAGATTGGTAAATTTTTACAAACTTCAAGAATTCGTGAGTTTTTCGCACTTAGAGAAAATTCGCTAACTTTTTATCGCGAAATTCGTCGAAAATGTATACGTAACCAATAAGTAAGTTGCAATCAAAATTACGAGGGTAATACGTAAAATTAGTTATATGCACCATGTGCTTTTAGGTTTCAAAAAAACAAAGTACGCGTTTCGTGAAATGTTTGGGGAGGAGGACAGTAAAAAAAATCAAAATCTAGTAAAATTTTAGCTAACTAAAACTAGGGTTAAAGTTTGATCAAAACCGCTGAATCGATCTGGTCAAACTGTTAATTCTACAACTAGCAATGCATGTCATCACTCCGGGAATGGATTAATGAAAAGGGTACGCAGGTATGCACGCTGTCAAAAAACTCCAAATCATAATAAAGTGAGAGAATTTTAAACTTAACAAAAAATGTATAACAACAAGTAGCCACCCAAAAATCCAATCCAAACTAGAGTCAGTGGCGTAACTAGAACGTTAATTGGGAGTGCATATTCATATATTCCTTTGTGCCCTACTTATTTCTCTTGAGAGTAATTTGAATTTTAAAAGAAATCAGTAGGGCACAACTGAATATATGAATATACACCCAATTAACGTTCTAGTTACGCCTCTGACTAGAGTACCTCCTTACAAAACCATCTTGAACTCATCCGGGGACTACACACCGCAATTGCGTTACGACAATCGACGAGTGCAACCGAAACTTCAAAGCACAGTTAATTTATTTCGTAATTTATTTTCTTAGGACTTTCAAAGATAAAAAATCAATGACGACGTATAAAAATAAAATACCTTTAGCACATTTCTCGCCATATCTACTTGTATTAGAACAAAGTTCGCATGCATATCCTTCAAAACCGGGCTAAAAAACAGATTGAAAATGAAGAAGGTTAAATAAACAATTCAAAAATCGAACATTATAAATGAAAAGTGTACAATCTCCATTGTGTGCATGAATATTTCTGAACGTAGCCTCTGGGCACACATATACTTTGCCAAAAGAAATATTCTCAAAATATTCCTGGCATGGTAGGTGAATGGCAGGTCAATTGTGAAAATATGAAGTGCTTACAAAGCGCAAAAGCACAGACTGAAGCGCTACACCTTAAGCACGTGATCAGTGGCGTTGACAGCCCGCAAATTTCGTCGGGCTATAAAAATTTTCATGCTCAGCATTATTTGTTAGAAATTTGTTGTTATAACAAATAGGAAAAACCAAAAAATTTGAATAGAATAAAAAGTTGCGATCTGGCTACGTCACTGATCACAACACTGTAAAACAGTTCTTACTGCACTATTCCGAACTGAGGGGTGGGCCCCCCTCCGAGTTGTAGAAAAGACCCATTTTGAAATTTTTCTAAATATGTTGAGAAATGATGAAGGGGTGACAAAAATCAAATTTCAAACAGCTGTAAAAATAGTTACTTCCAGCAAACAGGTACATAGCAAAGTAAATATAAGAAACTGCAACCTTATTATATATATTTATAAGATTGACTTGAATTCACTTGAAGACACATCTAACAGTAAGCTACTTTTTTAAAAACTTGTGACTTTTTAGTTTATGTACAAATTCTGCCTGTGAGAAATAGCATTTTAGAGAACACATTTTTAAGAGGGGTGTGCCCCTAAACCCTGATTGAAGTCATAACCCAATGCCGCTTGCATTGTCCCCCCCCCAGTTTGAACAACCTGGCAACACCACTGATTCTATTGCTACTTTGAATTAACTATTAAAAGTATTTTGACATTTTACTGCCAAGAAATAGTGAGAAACGTACATTACAAGTACATGTTCCATTTCCATAATCCAGATCTGCACATTGACCGTTTCCGAAGCAAGCAGGTTTTCCAGACTCCAAACCAGGACATTCTACAAATTATAAATACAATGATGCGAGTTACACATTGCTCCATTTTACTTACATTATGATGAAACACTATTATTATCTTTGAGCTTGAAAGCATATATAAGCATCTATAAGCAACCAACATGAAATTTTTGTGGAGTTTGAATCAAGTTATATAAAGTTCAATATTTAGGATGCTGAATTCTTTCACTAAGTCAGGCAAAGTAGCAATTGCATATAATAGAATATAAAATTAAATCTTTATTCAGGATGTTGTCAGTGTTTTTCTGTTTGAGGAAAAGACAACAAAAAACAAACATTCATGACTATTTTTTGACAGTACAAATTCTGATTTAAATGCGATTTAAATAAAGTTTTCCATTTGCTACTTTTTATGTGTAATGAAATATTTTCTAGCCTATTATATAGTGAGTTACAACAATGTTACGTTTAACCCATGATAATGATTTTCTATAAGACCTGTATCAAGCGGCCACCCTACTTTAGCTGTCAGATGGTAAATCCCAGAGGGTAAATAAAGGTTAAGTTGACAGTATAATATTTATATGAAGTCTTTCTCAGGTTGTCCTGGATTGTTTTATAAGCAGGCTTTTAAAAATTCACACTTGATAGAAATAGTGAGCATCTGATGTAATTGGGTATAATTTGATAATCAGAAATTTAGTGAGCAATGATTTGCAGGTTTTGTCAGCTTCATTTTTCCTTTGTAGATTGTGGCCAGTTGTCTCAAGTCGTTGCTTGTGACCTTTTGCTAGTAAGTGAAGTCATGGTTCTGTTTGAGCTTTTAGTATGCTGCTAGCAAGTCTGTGTCTGTTTGGTGTGAAAGCCATGCCATGCCATCTCCACTTCTCATATATTATCTAGTCTATTCTACACCTACGGTAAAATGTAACAGCTAACCACCAAAAGGAAGTCCTAGCTATTTGAAGACTCTACAGCTTTTGATTCTTGCTTAAAACATGCATCTTAATATCCACCCCATCCTTTGGAATAAATCACAGTTATCAATTGAACTAATAAACCTCTTCGCTGTCTGCCATTTGATCAACATAATATCCTGAACGATCTAGTGATTTACATGACGCAGCAGCAATTCAAACTCAGTACGTGGCACTCAAAATTCAATTCAAAGTCAATGAGTCGGCACTCAGTACTCAAAAATATTGAAACTAGTGAAATTAAGTAAAAAATACACGCGATCTTTACACGCCGACTGCAGTTGATCGGTCAACGGTTTATTTCATTTACTGTTCAACTGTTATTTTGAGTTAAGGCAAACCAAATGAACGTGTAGAGGTGGGTATTACTATGTGGCAGGAAGCTTTTGCAATCTTTCGCAGGTATTTTGATCTGGCTTTGTCTATAGAAGCCATCATGCAAGCGAGCATTAAAATCAAAGACTCTCTATTGCTATGTACATACATCATCGTCAACGATAAAATACGAAAGCATTCATTGAATAGAAAGCATTTAATGAATGTGGCGAACCTTTACAATCGTATCCCCAATGGTCTTTACAACAAACTCTTTTCGTGGTCGTAGTCTTGCATAAATGTACACAACCGTATAGTTTTGATGACAAAATACACTTTAATATGCCATGACTTGTGAGCTGGGTCGTGCCAGACGGACAACGGATCAACGCGGCATTGATAGGACAAATGATACAGTGTTTAGTTGGCGTAATTGTAGAGATTGACTTGTTACAGAAGCGATTTGAGCTCGCACCGAACGAGTTCTTTACACAACAGACGATAATAGTAAAAAGACAGGTATTGAAAATAAGCGAATCGATTCTTGGTCGCCGCATCGTCTACGCCGATTATATTCGTGAAGTGTGCGTCGTTGTTTTCATATCATGCTCGCGTTGCATAAGGCATAAATATACATTATTAATGAGTTTATGTTAAAAAAAATGGGTCAAAGGCGAACACATACAAGATATTTTTTCATGCATGAATGGAACAAATAGACAGTTTAATCGACAGTTAAATTTTAAGGTAACACATATATTTAATGCAAATACATACAACACAATAAATTTCGTCAGAGGCCAATTTCGCTGAACTTTTTTGACATGTATCTGACATAAGTATTCCGTAATAGCCGAACAGTTAGTCTGAATAAGGCGTTGGTAAATATAGACTTTGGACTAGCAGCTGTTATACGAGTGGACTGAAAGAGTTAAAATTGGCTAAAGAACATCGTTTAGACCCCCATTCAGCTCTTCAACAAATAATGACTCAGAATTAACAGCAGAAAAAGTAAATCGGTTTTAGCGTTGGGCGTTTTGCCATGCAGCCAATAAGCCAAACACAAGAAATAATCGAGTTCTCGTAATACGAGCAGTTCTATCTACTGATATGTATATTAGACTGGATAACGCAGCTCTTGCAAAAATTAAAGCCGGAAGATCGATCATTTGCTACTGGCTTCATGGGGGGTATCGGTCGCACTTTACCATACTTTTGTGTAACAAAATCACAGTTTTCGCGTTTTTATTCCTTTTGATTAAGGCAAAATTTTTATGACATGTAGAGGAAAACCGGTACAGATATTAAACCCTGAAGCTCTGGTTTATTGGCTTTGTAACGACTGAAAAATAAAATGGCAAGTTGTATTGAAATTAGAAAGTTGAAGGTGACGCGGACAGTTTCAGCCGTGCGAGGCATTTTTAGAAGATGAATCCTTAAATTACAAATTTACAACAAAGTAAGAACAAAGGTATTCATATCTTCAACATGTTCATCGATATTGAAGTTGTTCACATATGAACTGGTTGAAAACTTTGCTTCGCTTAATAACAACAGAGGTACTTTAATTCGCATATTTTGATGATGTACATCTCGTAGAGTTTAATGATACCGTTTTCAACTTACTATTGTTCATCGAAATGTCTTTCTGATTATTTTTCTATGTCGATTTTTTTTTTCTTCACTGTTATAGTAAAGACGTAATTTGAAATTATTATGATATTAGCGATGTGAATAACAAAGTGTTGTTAAATAAGTAAATTTGTAGCAATCTTCCATAAACATCATTGCAGATGAAATTTTGGTAGCAGTAGTAGGATTCTGTATTATTTCTACATTTTTTAAGAAGCAGCAGCATCATATAATCTCCAGTTTGTTTCAAAACAATGCAGGTCGACCTTGTACCTTCTCAATTTTCTGCCATTATAAAGCCAAGAAGACAAACTTTTTAGGATTGAATATCTTTGCCGGTTGTTCTGTCCCTTTCACAAAAATTTTGCTCGAATCAAAAGTTTGTAGAACAAATAAAAACGCAAAAACTGTGACTTTGTAATACAAAAGTATAGTAAAGTAGGACCGATACCCTTCTCGAAGGTCATAATCAGATGAGCCAACTTCCGGCTCAATTATGTTTCTTTATTTTATACATGGTGCGTTATCCAGTGTAATATACATATCAGTGGTTCTATCAGCCAAACGCGGCAAACTGCAATGCAAAAATGAAAAATTCAAGATAAAATTGAAGTCACGCCGTAAAAGCAAACTTCTTTCCGGCCAAATGTGTAAAAGTTTGAGCTCATTCTATCGAAGGATGAATTAACTTCCACAGAGTGACATGATCATATAGGAGGACAAAATCTTATCATCACCTTGGGTGACGTTGTTCATACATCCTATGAGAATAATGGTTGTGCGACATGGCGCGTTTGCAACTTGAACAGGCATGTATTTGTAAGAAAATATAAACATTGACTCCAACTCTTCAAGCCACCACCAGTGATGGGGCCAGATTTACAAGTTTGGTCTTGCTGGTGTTCACTCACTCCAAAAATAATAGATTTCTAAAGGGAAGATCATCCAAACGGTTTGAAATCCACACAATGCAATCAACTTGCGAACTGGCTACGCTATGCCCTTGCCACTACGCTGTGTCATCAAGTGCAGCCCCGTACAGACGAAGAAATAGTATTTGGCCTGGAAAGCTGCATCGAAACTGTCGCAGCAGACTCAGAATGCAAAAGCTGTTTGACCAGAATGAAAATTGTTCAAGGCTTTGGTCTAATCATCGCGATTTATCTCTAATTGGTTCGAAAGCAGAACAACGAACTGTTGCATCTGCTTACTGTATCCATAAAATAAATTAATGCGTACTTAATTTATGAAACAAACAGTGGTCGAACTATCGAACCAAACTTTTATGGGGATTGTGTTGAAATATCAAATAATGCTGTGTAAAAGCAAGAAAATATAAGCTTATCCACGTTTAAATAAAATGTCAGAGTCTTTCTCGTATTATTTAAGTTCTTTGATTGATGTTTTCGCAATGTTGCATAATTTTAAAAATCCTGACGGTGTTATTAAACGCACTAGACAGTTTGACACCTCCTGGATCCGCCCCTTGTCAAGTATAAAAGAATTGTGTGTACATTGCTGAAGTAACAAATCATCGCTTAAGTCCATTAAAAATATAAAGTTAAACAAAAATGCATTAAGTGAGTGACAAAATGCAAACCGAACCTGTTCATTGGAAAAGCAACTTATTAATAAGCAAAGCAATAAAACAAATAATAGCTTGGTCGGTCTTAACTTTTATATTACTTGTCGACTATCAACAGATTCAGCAAGTCAGCAACATCTCCTCCTCATTTTCAGTACAATTTTCCTACATCGAACTTCAGTGTAGACTGAACATAATCTACTTATGCTATAACCGCTCGTATATGGTCAGTGTCAGAACACAAGATGTTTGTACAACACGTGCTTGCGTTGGTGTTGCCAGCCAGCACGTTTTGGCGCGTTCAGAAATCTATTGTTTTTCAAATCTATTGTTTTGAAATCTATTGTATACGCCAGTCGTCCGCCCACCCCAACCATCAAAATTATTAAAAAACATCTTGCTCTCAAAGAGAAGGGAAACATTTGCATATTTTTATTTTCAGACGACAAATGCATTAATGATTGATCATTCGCAGTGAATATAATCTTTTGAATAAAATCATTGAAGCAATTTAAAAGCTTAAGCTGCAGCTATATATTTTGGAAATGCATCAAATAGATAGATAAATATCATAAGGTACATGGCGTTGTTACAGCAAGCACGAGTACAGCAACAAGTTATGAATGTTCCTTGTAATGATGTAGAAGCCAATGTACCAAAAGTTCGAGAGAAAAATAAATCATCATCTTCACCAAGGTGTATTTTGCAATTATTGTACCATTTCGTTAGGCTTCTTATAAGAAGTTTTCCTCTATGTTGTTGTAATTCAAGGCTATTTCGACGGCTTCTAATGAAATTCTTCTCTCCCGCTATTTTTGTCTTACGTGTCCTTTGTACCATAAAGTGGAAGCGGATGTTGCAAAAACTAAAGAAACGATCAAAGGGCATCGTTAACGAGTTTATCTTTAGGTGTAAAAGCATCGTACGATTTACAATCGATTCTGGAAAGAGATACTTCGTTAATTTGAAATATAGGAAATTTAGTAGAAGGAAGTACTATGATTCCAATGCGATATCTATTGATTGTTCTGAAATTATTGTAAGAAACGACGAATAGCAAAATAGCACATTTTTATAGAAGTCGGTATTCGATCGAACACACAACGACCTGAATCCTCCGAATGGCTGTCTGGGCATGGGAAGCGCATTTTTCAGCGAACTGGGGCACAGCAATTTACTTTCATTTTTCAGCTACCCTAACCGAACACACATCTTTCCAAATATAGCACGCAACTGACGCAACCATCAAACAAAAATGGCGGGAAGAACAATCACTTCGCTGATCATGCAATAACAAGACTGAGGACATATATAAAATGGATTTTGACGCTGTTGCAAACAGTGTTGCACTGCATGTATAACCTGTGTTGCATGTTATCTTACAAACTATGTTATTTTTCAACCAAAGGTGGACTGTTTGCCCAGTGATGAAGTTCGTGTTCGTGTTTTTGTCCGTTTTGTGTAAAATATACTTTCTTTTTATATTGTCAATTGTTTCAGAGTTCCATATCTTATGATCTCCTGTTTTTTAATCGAAATATATGTACTATAACAACATTTATCATAGAGAGATAACGTTTCGTTTTCATCCAAAGACAGTATCAAAGCAAGTGTGCCAGGTGAGTGAAGTGAATATGAAAAATATGTAGGATGAGTTGGGTGATGAAACACGGGGGGAGAGACATAGCTGCTCCGCACGTTTAAGTAAGGTTTGTATTTGGAAATTAGAAGATTTGTGCTTGGAAATCGGATCTAATTACAAGTATTTCGCCCAAGAAAGAATAAGAAGAAAGTATTTGGAAGCTGCATATCTACAAAGATGCTGTGTGACCAGTACTATTGAAGTGAGAGAAAATACCGAATGCCTCCCGACTGCAATTTCTTCGACATGTGAGGGCTGATAGACCCAGGCGTTCAGGCACTTATATTTATCCTTTGTGAGGAGGGGGCAGGATACATTTTCCCAACGAGAAAACTAAATAGGGCGTTGCCCAACAATAAATAGTGGTGTAAGCATACAAACAAGATATGGCACAATAAAAGATGTTAACCAGACAATTGTGTTGAGGGGAAAACATTTTTGCCTGAAGAGTAAGTCGTATACTGGCAGTGGAAATTGCCCGACAAAGCTAAAGTATTGTAACATTGGGGGTGTCGCACACCCTCCCCAAATCCACCTACTTGTCCTTTGCAAAGCCTGTATTACTTCAAAAATTCCATGCATTAGCGCAAAATATAACAAATTCTCTGAAAATCTATAAGAATCAAGAGAACTGCACAATCCATAGAAATCTCTAAAATTCCCAACTATCGATATGCATGTGTTGTTATTATGGATAAAATTGTATATGGAAGTCGTAAAAATCAGGTGCAAAAAGCAAAAATAAAGTGGTTATTTCATCAGGATCAGACCGCGATTGTCCCATGACCATTTGCAGGCCGTCTCCATGCGTGCAAGAGTTTACGTTACGTACCCTGATGCGATAGTAATCACAAATCATTAATATTAATAAAATGTCCCACTGACCTCCTGTGTTGATTGTACTCCTATCTGATTTTTTCAGTCTTGAGTGAGGAAACTTACAAACGCATGCTAAACACGCCAAAGAACTCCTCATTCCCACTTTGTTTGATCGCTTCAAAAACTCTGCTTAGCGAAGAAGCGAGGTTTGATTGTGCGAAATCTTATCATTTGGCATAAAAAAAATGTTTCGGCAACACAGGCAGATGTCTTTGCCATGGAATACACATAAAAAATTCATGATACATCGAAGACTGCCCACACGCCGTAAAGAAATTTCAAATGAAAAACTCCAATTCAAATTCGACATTTTAGCATTTTCCTATTAAGGTGGTTAAAATTGGGATTCTTTCGAACTCGTTCGCTCATTCAAAGGCTGTGCGGAAAGACCCGTTTGGCAGTGCGAAGATTGTGTGTTTAAAATTGCTGCTTGCTGTAAAATCAACATCCTACTGGGTCTAATATCTGTATAATAAAATTACAATATTTAAAGACTATATAGGAAAAGTGTTCGCAGTGGAAAGAAAATACAGCAATAGAGAAGGTTTTCTGATCTCACTTTCCAAAAATAGTTATACATAAGTTTGGAACAAAATTTGTAACATCAGAAAATATATGATTTATTATTCAGGGCCCGGAGCTAATGAAAATTATTGTGTTGCTTTTGCCGAAGGAAAAACTCCATATTTTTACAGCGTGGGCACGTAGCTATCGCACACTGCTAAAGATAAAAATGACCGAGTCAGACGGAATTTAAAAGGAGAACTCGAGACAATTGACGGACACGAAAAGACGAAAAACAAGAGTGCGTTCTTTATGGTATTTGAAGATAGAAAAAGAAAATATTTTGATCAAGTGCACTTCAGACATCTGAGATATTCATGAAGGTATTGTAACAAAAAACGGCAATATAGTAAACAGGGCGATTACCTGGGAATTCTCATTTTTGGTTTATATAATATATAAAAAATCAATACAAATATTCAAGTTGAGGAAATCGAGGAAAAATTATACGTGCAAAAAAAGAAAAACTTCTTAGCAAAGAATCGATGAGATCTATGAATGAAGAACCGCTCAACAATAAATTGAAGTGAACGAAACCCGGCACTTATCGCTAATAGCAACACACAGACATAAGTGTTTCAAGTTGATAGAGTGTTTGCAACTTCAAATTCCCCAACGATGGCAAATAATCACAACAGAACACTCCGAGAACTTTTCAAGGGCGAACCCAGACCGACGTTGCTTTCAAAACATCCAAAACAGCAAAGGAGTTGCTTAAAGATGGTAATGCAACATTTTTTAAACGATTACGAAAATAATCTGGAATTCTTGACTGGTAAAATTGCAACGTTGTGTTACTGCGGAGCGTTTTTGAGTTTGGGACTGTCCGAAGCCGTGATTGGACCAACCTTACTAGAGTTGGGGTGTCAAACAAACCGCGGTATGAACAGGATGGCGTGGGTCCTTTTCATTCAAGCGTTTTCTGCTTGGTTTGGCTCACTTTCCGGGGGGATATTGGCGGAAAGGTAATAGAGTAGCCTCAAGAAGGTAAAACTGTGTTATAAGTTATAAAATGGCAATTATACTAGCTGAAGTTCAAGAAACAAAAGATTACATGTTTGTAGATGTAGATCGTCCAAGTTTGTAAAGTCCTGAGAAGGACTGTTGATGTTGATATTGACTGATGTTTCGACAAACTGAATACTATCAGTTTTTAGATCAGGTTTTAAGCAAATAGAATACCAACTAAATAGTTCTAATCAAACGAACTAACTTAAAAAACCGATGTATTTCGGGAGACAACTCTTTAGGTATCAACATCTGCTAAATAAGAACTTAACATCATACCATATTTATAATGACAAGAAGGAGTGAAAATCATCTCCCATTTGTGCATATGAGTCACTCAACATTCGCAGGGCTTTCGTTTCAGATACAACTGCAATCGAATTTTGATGGCAAACGTGTCGGTGATTGGTATCTGTCTGTCGTTTATTCCTCTATGGCTCAACTACTACGGTCTATTGGTTACAATTGGTGTACTCGGAGTCAACATGGGAATGATCGATACAGTAGCAAATGTCAATCTTATCAAAATTCATGGAAGAGAAGTAGGTTTGCTTTTGACCTCTTGAACCATCGTTCAAGATGTTATCACTACAACCGAGCGCAAATACAACATTATTGTCTGCTATTGATGGTACATTACCATTAGGTTTTGCATAGTTAAACGTATGATCTTGTATCTGATCTGTATCGAGAGGTGAATGCTTCTCGAACATCAGATATAACATACGATTATAGTAATAGCAGCGTTCTAACGATGACTACACTGATATAAATGTCTAACTTGCATAACTGAATTCGTTAACTGATCATTTTTCAATTATAGGTTGCTCCACGACTTCAGGTAAAACTATAACCTAAATAATATGAACATTTCATCATAATTAAGTGAATGATTTGAACTATTCGGTAGTCATCTTCAGAGTGAAGGTTGTCGAAACGTCAGTCAACACTTACTGGGGCGTGCTGGAACCTCGAAAAAAACAAAAAATGGGCAGCATTTAATGGATCTGATTGCAGGATTAAAACAAAAACAAGCTAAATATTCTGGTATTCAACTCTTGTACTAAAGTTGCTTTAATAAACCGTGGTGTATGTATTTGATAATTTTTTTTAACTAAATAAGGCCAGGAGCCTACTACAAGGTCTCGTTGTCTCGTCTCTAACCAGCACGCCCCTGACATAAACACCAACAGTTTGAAGAACCTTTGAGAGAAGACAAACTTTTCAAGAAAGCTGAATAATTCCACCGTCTTGTTCGTTAAAACAGCACATTTAATAGACCCTATTGATAAAAAAATTCCGAAAATACGCTCTCGCAAATCTTAATATAAACCTTTAACTTAAGTGCCTTCCACACAAACAGGCTCTCCATTTCTGTTATGGCATTGGAGCTTTGCTTAGTCCAATCATTGTTCGCCCTTTCTTGCGAGACAAGTGCGAAGTAACGATTGCCATGCGCAATTCGTCAAGAAGTACAATGAAGAACGGGACAGTGAATAGTCCAATGATCCGCCAAGATATCATTGATGAACCAATAAAAGTGCTCTACGGTTATTGGATAATTGCCTCTATTCAGGTGAGTGAAATTCAGAAAATAAATTTCTGTGTGGTTAGTTATTGGGAGGAATTTTGCATTTTTGGGAGCAAAAGACTGTTAACCGCAAAGCAATGGCTGCAGGGCTTTCATACACATGGAAGATAAATCAAAAATAAAAAATTTATCATCTTGAATATTCTACAAACAACCACTATCTCTTCTCAGGTTCCCATAATTCTTAGCCTCCTTTATGTCGTCGTGAAGCAAAACCGCCTGCAGGATGAATTTCCTGTCGCAAATGAAGGTCGAATGATTTCCTTGAGTGACGAAGACTCATTGTCAAACAAAGATACCACGAAAAGTAAGTTGGCAGCAATGAAAAAGCTATCAACGTGGTTTTGTCAATTACAAATGATCTTTTATGTCTTGCATTTAGATTTAAGTCAAATTTTTAAGCCCGTTAGTTTACTTCCGGCAAGTAAGCCCCGAATTTCAATTTCCATACGTGTGATAGTCGTTACTTTTCTATCTTCAAGTCTTCTTTTCTTATGCGAAGGCCTCAAGGTAAGACGTACATTCTTTGTATGAGATCGAGAGGAATAATTTTTCAAGAAATTTATTACTTTCAACAATTCGTTCAGTCAGTACTGTTCGTTGAGTCTCGAGTCAACGAAATTTCTTTCCCTATTTTGAACGGTGAAGGAGTTCATTTGTCATTAAGAAAAAGTTTGATGTCCCTGTTTCCAAATGACAGTATTGCAGTAGATCATATTCCTCTCTTGGATCATGAAAAAATACTGTAGAAGGTAGAAATATTGCAGAGTTTCACAAACCATCATATTATATATTGTCTATCAAATTTAAAATGTTATTGAACCACTTCACGTCAATTTCAATCTCTTAGTTTCATCGAGTAATTTCAAAATATGCTGAAGTGTACTCGAATCAAAACCACAAAAGTTGTTGAAAGTTGTCACACTGTGCAAAGCAAGCTAAGTTAATTTGCATAGCTTATTAAAAGCCACAGCAAAACGAGTTAAATGATTGTAATTTGAGCAGACTTGTTTCATAATGAAATGAAATATTTCTTAATTTCCAAGTAGAAGATGTTCAATCATTTATAAACACGTAGGAACAAACATTCGTGTTTTCCCCGACTTGTGATTTTCATGATTTGTGTCTCCGTTACGCATGCGTAAGATTTTTGTGGTAATGACAACCATACTTCCAACAAAAATTTAACGAATTGAAATGATTCTCAAAAAACTCGTAAATCATACAAAAATTTGGTATTGCACGAAAGTACAATGACTAGGACATGCACAACTTTCTTGACACTGGAGCTGGTTTATAGAGCAGATTTTGCTTGTACATAGGGCAGCTACGCTGGATACCTGTACACATTTGCAGTCAAAAGCGAAGTACATCTGACAAGTCAACAAGGTGCTTTATTAAGCACTCTATTTTGGGTTAGTTTCATTCTTAGTATTTATCAAAGACCTCAACTGAATTTCGATACATCACTCCATAACTACAAGTATAAATTTATATCTTCATAACAAAGTTATGTATTTGTTTCTACGTTGACAAAACTTGATTGCAACACAGAGCTAGTAAGGGTTAGCGCATATGAAGCGTGTTATACCCGATGTCATAACGGCCATTTTGGAATATCAATTGAAAAATATTTGATGAAGTTTGCTTTGTTAGAAGTTTATTTGAATACCAACATGGTCACTTCCTCTATTGTTGTATTGATTCCTTGGAAAATGAATGAAAACATTCCATATGGCTTGTTGCAAGAGGTTATGATAAATGAACAGAGTTTTTCATGAATATTGTAATTCGTTGTGACCTGTACTCACATAATCATCAATCATTGATTTTTTACTTGAACTCTTCTACCATCTTTCCGTCGATTTCATTCAATTTCAGGGGCATTTTGCTGCAGGTCGTTTCATATCCATTCCAGCAGCAGTGTTCATCAAACCTGATAAAATGGTGTGCATCAGTTTGGTAAGATCTGAAGCAAAAATTATTCATCATAGCCATAAATGAATAAAAATATATAAATATTTCAATTGTACCTATCAAGAACTCGAGATCTAGTGCGCATCTCTACTTCATAGGCTGGATGTTTATTATCGATGTCATTCGTGCTCTACTTACACGAAAAGGCCTTGGCTGTTTACATTGGAGTTAGCTTATTTGCTTTATTTGCGAGCAGCGTGTTTCCCTCAACTTTAGCTCTAGTCGAAACGTACATATGGGTTACAGGTATGCAGTATATAAGGAAAAGGATTTCTTATGACTAAAACGTTAACTGTTACTAGAGATAAGGGTTCGCCATTTTTGTTAAAGGTCCAGTAACCAGCTTGATGGTGATAGGTTCAGCAACGGGTGAGATGATCATTCCAATGATTGTCGGGAAGGTTAGTGCAGATTTAACAGACTTACTCAGAATCGAAGTAATTACCTGAAAATACGTATAAGTCAGTTACTATAAATCGATAAGTATTGATTTATTTGCATCAGCACTCATATATCCAACATGATGACGTTCGTATTATACATCCATTGATAGTTTCTAAATGATAAAACGTACATAGTTTCAGCAATTGACTTTGGTTATAAATCTACGTACACATGAAGCTCTGCCTGGTAAAAAATGAGCGTATTTCTATTTCAGCTGTTTGTGAAAGCTGGACCAATCTACTTCTTAGTCGTGGGATTAATCACATGCGTTTTGGCTATTATAATATACATTGTTCTTCGGTGGTCGTCTACGGTCACCCGTGATATTTCAGGTAATAAAGTATCATTACATGTTTGTAGATGTAGATCGTCCAGGTTAGAGTTAAGACTCCAGAGAAGGACTGTTGGTGTTGATCTTGACTTACTGGTAAAATACATCTATTTGCAAAGTTGTGACCCTGCACTAAAGAGGAGAGGCACTGAATCATTGGAATCCATCCTTCAATGTTTTTTTTGATGAAATTCATTTGATCAGTCCAAATTTAATTACATTATTATACGTGTAATTAATTTGGTCAGTCCGTTTTAATAGGGATTGTCACATGAAATTCATTTACTTAATACAACTTTGCATGCATTGTTGTATGAAATTAATTTAGTAAATCAATTTTATTTCCAGTGATGTCACTCATGCGAAACATATTCAATACTCTGTGTCAGAACAAAAATTACAAACGGGAACCTAGTGAAAAAAAATACGAATACACAAAACTTCTTTCTACGTCGACGGAAAGCTCGAGTGCTTCGACTTCAATGGAGTCCGCCGAGCACGGAACTGGGGAGAGCACAGGTACATTAGTGGCAACATCAAACAGCCTGACATCTATAGCGTCTATCCAAGACTGAGTACATAGGATAATGAGCTTTCAAAGACGACTACCTTCCTAAGGAGGAGTACAAAAGCGTGTACACGAGAATACAACTACTTCAACTTGATTGATGGGATGCAAAACCCAAAAGACGGAGTTGTGTCCTGTCCATCGCTGGACACTTTTCGCAGAGTTTTTTTTTGGCCACAATATAACAACACAAATAACGTGCAAAACTTTGCTCTAGAAAAGATTGTATTCATTAATAATCTTTAATGGTTTCCACTCCTTTGCATTTATTGCGTAAAGTGGTTATGAATTGAAATTTTACTACGCAGTTTTCTCATTGTATTGTAGAACACTTAAAGTTACTGAATGACTTCATGAATAGATTGTATTATTTTATATCTTTCTTGCGAATTTAAATTATTAATTATGCAAAAACATCATTGTGACATCACATTGCATGATAACATTTCAAAGACCATTGATTTTTCGCATCGTCGGAACATTTAGTTCGCATATAAAACATTTAAATAGATAAATGAGTAGATGAATATGTGCATAGATGCCGAAGTTAGATATTTCACAAGACATTGTAGATAAAAATTACTATTTTACAAATCTTAATTATGTCTTGTGATATCAGCAACGTTTTTGCATAGTTAATAAAGTTAATTATTCTGGAGAAAGATGTGAAGCAAAATAATTCCACTGAAGAAGTCGCTAAGTCATTTTAAATGGTCTTTGCAACGCAATCATAAATCTGTGTCTCAAAATTTATTTTCATTAAGACTTTAAGACTCGCAATTCTCCTCCTCGAAAACTGCTGCAAACATGTCTGTTTATGGCCCTTTGTTACGGTCCAATGCGGCCCTTCAACAAAAATCAAGAAGTACATCATTTCAGATTTGGAAAACGACAAGAATCAGTATCTCATCAATAATATAGCAATCTGTGGGCACAACAGAATAAATCAATTTTCACCCGCCCCCTTCCCATTAATGTTCTAAGCTAAGACCCTGTCGGCGTCATCTCGTCTTGCCAAACAGTCAGACTTTTCAAACTGCCATGCGCAAGATACTAAAAATAGTTTATCCATCTATGATCTGGCAGCAATACATAAAAATTAACAATTTGTACTTCTTTCGACTTATAATTGATCGTAAGCATAAACACGTGTTGAAACTCACACGACTTGCATTGTGAACTGTTGTTGTGTTGATATCTTTCCCAGGTTTTTTTTAGAGGTAAATATGATCCAACCACATATAGTTTACAACGAATATCAAGTTGTTCTTTGACTGCTGAAAACACAAGTTTCCAACTGTGTTCATTTTAGAAATGATTACCAAGTGTTCTTGAAAAGTGTTTATTTCAGATTCGGAGGTCTGAACACGATTCTAGAAGTCTAGCTAAGACTTGTTGTTTATTTCGAACAGCCTTTTCATTCGCACTAATTTGGCTTCATGTTTATAGAGAGTAGAAACATACACAAACATTTTGTGCAAAGAGAGCAAAATTTCATACATTATCTTTTCAAGAAGTTTCTGAAACACTATATATATTAGCGCCAGAGCGGGAAACGAATTTTTAAAATAAAGATAAGTAGCCATCATATTCCCTTTTAAAAGGCCATAATACGTTAATTTGAAATGACCGAGTGCTCAATATGTATATAGAAATAGAACAAAATAATAATATAGGAATAACTGTTGCAGCACGTTATTAAAGTTACACTTTGAAAAGTAGTTTATCATCAACTGTGTTCGCCTGTAACATAGCCGTTTCAACGTGGAAGCATCTCGAATTAAGACAAAATACGATATTTCAAATATATATTCTTTTCATGTGTCATGCACTTTTTTAAATCTGAAAACAAAGTAAGAAATCTATTGCAACAGTTATCATTACAGTACACCATTATTTCGCTAAATACATTGCAAGTTTGTATTAAAAGTGCTGAAAAAGTATCAAAAGGTCAGTTTGACTGATTTACACATTACAACTCAAGAAATCACACAACAAGCTATCCTAAAAACGCCATCATCCCTTCATCTGTTAATAACATGTTATTTTCCGACTAGCACATCCCTGGACGTAACACAGCTAGCTGCCTTCACATTTTTTGAGATCAAATCAAAGTTATTGACCAATTAGCATGCGAGGTGGACAAAAATTCCTTTGTCGGCGGTAAATTAGTTTTTCTTGATGAAAAATTCATTCGAACAATTTGCCGATTCATTATTCTTTTCGGAAATGCTTTATGCAAGCTGAACAGATAGAAACTCTTTCGCCCATACCTATATTGCAATTTTGAAGAATAAGTTACACAAGACATTAAGTAGATATGTTCAGAACTCTAAAGATACGCATACTAGTCTAATTTTGATCTAGTCCAGTTATATCCTTCACTTGGAAGTTCACGTATGAAAACGCAAACATTACACGCCCAAAGCATGACCTTGATACTCATTCAACCGTAAATAAAAAGCGTCAATATTAAACAAATTTCGGCGTGTTATCCGAAATTTCGGATAACAAAATTGTCACAAAAGTCTGCTCAAAATGTCAACGTTACAGTCACTGAATATAAATAAAGAAATTATATAGACACTGCACGATGATTTCTAATAACGAAAACATTCACAAAATTACCTATGGACGTCGGTTCACAGGTTTACATCCTTCAAATGCACGCAATTCAGGACATTGAAGTCATGCAACTAAAATTAGCAGATCCCAGCGTCAGCGCCGTTTTTCATTCCGCTAAGGTTTGATTTTTCTGTCACTTAGTTTCCACGCATTTAAAATTAACGAACTAAAACGTCAAATTACTTTCATTCGCAAACAGAAAGGGGTCAAAAAAGGTGTGAAGATCAAGTTAATGGAATTTCGAAACTTTTTTTGAAAAATGTTTGACAAATCGTCGCTAAGCTGAGCTTTGTTGATTTTAAAAGAATTTCATTGTCGATGTACGACACCTGCATGATATATGGGCGACTTTTAAAACATTGTCTTAATGAGAACTATTGTGATTCGCATATATCAAATTTAGGAATGGTCACGAGTCACACAGCTATTAATCTAAGAAGGCAGCTGCCGCACGATAATTGACATGGAGCGTGCATGTATTTAGAAATATCGATCTTGTTCGCCTGCTACGTATGTTGATCCGCATTTTGACGTCGTGATTATTGGCTTGACGCCAGCCAATCAGGTCAGAGCATTATAACTCAACATAAATAGGGTCGACTTGTCTTTTGAATGAACAATCAACTTTCAGACCGCGCTAGCAATAAAAATACGATGAAACGTAACGCCGTGCTTTTAATTATAAAATCTGCAAATCATTAACAAACGGGACGTTTACAGAGAATATGTAATTTACAAGTAAAGCTGAATAAACTTTAAAGATATACTTGTTTTATATCTTATTACTTCAGCACGATCCATATGGACACCACATTTCCGATAAGCTGATTTTTCTAAAAACAAACACACATGCGAATATGGAAGAAAAACCCGTTGGGAACACAGCCTATTACAAGAACACGTCCGAAAACGTAACATCACGGACATCTGATGTAAATACTGTAAAGTTTAACGATATCACTTTGTGCATCTCGCCGACTAAGAGCGAGAAGGCGCCTCACGGACACAATGAAGAAGAACACGAATGTTTTTGCCGTATTAATTATGATAAAATAAAGGAAACGTTACTAAACGCCGTCCACCGAGGTGCGCTTCCCGTTGTCGAGGCACTTTTCGATGGCAATAATCTGGATACTGCGTTCTTGGAAGGTGAACAAGGTGGTTATTATTGGTGCAAAGAGAATTTCCCACCGCTCATTGTTGCGGCACAAAATGGCAATTCCGACATAACGAGGTTTTTCCTGTCGAGAGGATATGGCATTGAAACACCACACGACACCCAATGTGCTTGTGATAGATGTCACCTGGACTATTTGAAAACGTCGCAAAAACGCTTGAGTCTATATAAGGCTCTTGCAAATCCTATTTGGATAGTAATGACCTCCGAAGACCCTATTCTGACAGCATTTTCCATGAGCACGAAAATGAAATCGCTGGCGAGTCAGGAAGACGAATTCGAAAAGGAGTACAGCGATCTTTACAAGTCCAGCAAACAACTGGCCGTGAGCTTACTCGGCGAGTGCTACGGTTCAAATGAACAGGAGACGATTTTGCACTACTCTCACAAAGATAATACGCAAGCAATTAATGGCGACAGACGACTGGATTTGCTTAAAATGGCTATTTCTATGCATCAAAAAGAGGTAGGTTTGAACTAGTAGAAACTTTATGCACAGTCTTCATATTCTTCATGAAAAATCATGACAAAATGTTTTGCTAAAAACTTGGAATGCTTATGATATTGCGGGTGGTCAGTCGACATTTGCCTGTATATATTGATAAAAACAGTCAGCATGCACTATTTAATGATAAATATTCATTATGCTTATTGACACAATGATATTACAATGTGTAAACACTTACATAACCTAAAAATATTCTACAAAATAGTGCGAGAGTCAGATAAACGTTCTGTATATTTTGATATTTTTTGGCATATAATTTTACAGTCACACGTTTGACAAAGCCATTGCTACCGTTGTTGCAAAAAGAAAAGGCTCTTCGGCAAGAGCTCTTCGTTATATGAATAAAATATGAGAGCCCGCCTTCATTTCATACTCACACACATTTTTCCTGTTCTGTAATTAAAATAGCATGCAATAACTACGGCTATAGTGAAGATATAAACATCATAAGACCTGTTGACAAATACGACTCACAGCACTGACCAATCTAGTAAGTCGACTCGAAAACAATGGGTAGAACCACTGATCCGAAAAAGACTGGATCAAGCAACTGTATATTTGTAATAAACGAATTTGAAGCCACCGCCGCTGTTAGTAAGGGACCAACACATCGAAAGATTTTTTAACAAAACTAGGGAAAACATAGCAACACATGGCCAAATCATGCTTTAAGATAACGCAGAATATGAAAAACAACCTTTGTGGCGATAGTAAAGCGATTCAGAAAGAATAATCGGCCGTATAAAACAAAACGCATACAGGTTTCACTCCAAATCACTCGTAAAAAAGGCTCGTAATTTTGAAGGATTGATTAGTTTATGATCGTAAATGAGATTATTTAATCAGTTTGTACTTCTCAACTACGATTCCAACAACTCTAGATATTTCCATGCAGTTCTGGGCTGTTTTCCATAGTTTTTTCCATACCAAAGTAGAGTTACCGATAACAAAAATCGCTGCATTTTGATCATATTTCATCATATTTCATCGTATTTTTAACTGTTTTATAAACTGATATATCCCTCAGTTATGTTTATGTAGTTACATGTTGAAAAATTCATGATTATTTGCGTACAAATCCACATTAAATTTGCTCCTTATTTTTGAAAGTTGGTCCCTTAGTAATGACGGCGCTGCTTATTTTTTGTTTTCAACTTTCGTGCTAGATGCTTCATCCAGTCTTATTTCGAGATCAGTGGTTAGAACGCAGTTTAGCCATTGAGTTCTATAATAACTGGAGCATTGAGCTCTGTAAGACCTGGAGGGGCAAAGGGGCCTGGGCCTCGTGGTCAAAAACATGGCGGTAATGGCGGATTTTGGTGGTCAAAACCAGAGCCCTCTATTAGTAAGAGTTGGGACATCTATTGTTATCCGTTTAGCTTACGTTGATTGGGCAATATTGATCACCTGATCAATTTCCGCCATTTTGGTTCCTAGTTTTCAAATTTCAGCTTGTGTTTATATAGCAATTGCTGCTAGTAATACAGTATTTTGAGATAATATTGCGATTTTTTATGGATAAGTGTGTAATAACTGATTGTTGAAGACTACTAAATGTCATTACATATCGCAAGAATCGAGGATTACGAAAAAAATTAAAGAAATACCTTTTCGTCGAACTTACGAAATTTGATTGCGTATGGTGATTGTTGTGCTGAACTGCTTTTGATATAAGGTTCAATTAACTGACTCAAGTAGAGAAACATTTTTGGGCCAAATAACATTGAAAAGTTCGTGCTGATGCAGTTTCAATAGTTTTCTTACTCCAAAGCTTGTTTTTTAATCGAAGATGATTTCTCATTATGTCCTGAAATTGGTCAATCTACAAACCTCTCAATTCTCAGCCACTTCCACACTGAAACAACTACACCAAATCACAGAAACTCTTATGATTTTCCATGTTGTATTTATTATTTTTCATCATTTAAAAATGAAGTAATTATAATTAGGATATTCACTGTAACATTTGAGTACAATATATTTTTGGTAATGAATTGTACAAATGTACCCTACTCTGTAGCTCAAAGTAGAACATTACTTCTCTTCTAGACTTGTCGATGATATTTTAATTGTAGGCTTTGGTTTATAAGATCAGAGGCATATCTCCATAATTTCAGCTATTTGGGCTTTTTAATGTATATTACAACTGTTGCTGCCTTTCTCATATATATTAAAATATTGCTGGCTTTCTGATATATATTAAGGTGCTGCTAGCTTTTTGATATATATATTTCACTGGTAATACAAGGCATAGAATTTGAACAAACGGGGCTGAGCTCCCTCCAACACACCCCTGTTTGATCATTAAACACATATAGAAGTTTCGTCATTCCTCAACCAATAAATTTAACTCTTTGCTAAATTAAAGATTGGATCAGACTCATATGCTGTATAAAAGACTACAAACAGTAGCATTTATAGCAAACAGACTGTTCTTCAACAACAGAAATGTTTCATATTATAGAAATAATATATTCATTTTAAAGAAATGCTTCACCAAAATTTTCAGCAGAATCCCCAACAAACTTTATTAGAAATAAACTTTAATACTTTATAAAGTGATAAAAACGAAATAACTTCATATAAAGGAATAAAACGTTTAAGGCCAAATGCATCTTGGTCAAATCATTGCATATTTCAATAACTAAAAAGTAAAGTCTGTCGTTTTCTGCTGAGCAAGAAAATTTTGTGATCTTTCAGAATAAAAAATGTCATGTTTGGATCAAATTGGGGGGCATAAACCACTCACTACCATTAAATTGTTACAAATCTTGAACACAAATCTCTCCCGACCAAAACTGCATGATTACTATGATTCGAAGTTTCGAACAAAGTCTTGTCCAAGTATTTGATAACACTGATGCCAGGATAACATTGCCGCTTGCCACCAAGCTTAAAGATCTTGAAAACTTGTTACAGAGTCGGAACATAAGCCGAGAAAACACGTTCACGTACGAAAAATACTTCTTACAATGGGTCACGATCAATTTGAAGCACGAACTAGTAAACCGCAAACGAAGCTCAAACCAATGAAATTAAATCAGGTCTGCCGCAAATCGTTAAAAAAACGCAAAGAGCTTGCTATTATTCCTAATATATTTGATACTACCATGGAATAAGCTTAAATTGCCTTCTTCTTTTGCATATAAACCCAATTTCCAATAGTATTATTATAGTTAAACTTTGCAAGTAGGAACCAAAATGGCGGCTCCGCGCTCGCCCCAGACCGTTTGTCCCAACTCTTACTAATAGAGGGCTCTGGTCAAAACTTCCACTTTAAACATTTTTTTCAATATTCACTCCCTCCTGATTTCTAACACTGTTTGTATGAACGAAAACAAGTGAGAAAAAAAACAATTACGATACCGACAGCATATCATGTGAAAATAATGCTTCAGCATTGCGTGAAAACATAGTACAGACACACATCAAAATAAAGAAGATCAACGGTAGAGAAACGCATATTTTGGATGTAACATTTAAGTTATTTTATGACATTTTAGCCTTTTAAAAGTGAAAATCAAACGGCATTCTTTACTAGACCTGTCAATCTCGTAAAACTTATACATTATTTCATGCTTTTGTGTGTTTGACTGTTGGTAAACAGTTTGGTGCACCAATTTTTCTTGCTTCAAATAAATAAATCTGTGTAAAAATGCTCCTAAGGAAGCGAGAAAATGTTTGCTTCAGTCCTACGACATAAGTCAACTGAAAGTTTACCATGGATAAGTATCATAGGTGTATTGTCATTACCTGATAAATCTACTGAAAACTCATAAAGAAAGTATGTTGAACCAGAAGAGCTACAAAAAAGAAAAAAATTCAAAACACCATGACACTGTTGCTTGGTAATTTGTATTTTGTAAACAGCTTGGCAGAATCTTGGATCTATTACTGAACAGAACTACATTAATTTTCCATTGAAATTACAAACTTGGAAACTAAAGTGCATTGGTTTCTCTGACAAAAACACTGTCTATTGCTGCATGAAGGCAAAATAGTTATTTGACAGTGTAGGTGTTCAAAGAAATTTATCAAGTTCTATAGATATTATTGTGCATTACTTACAGTTTTTTGGAATTGAGTAATATATGTCATGAACAAGATATAATTTTTCAAAAGTGCTAACCCCTTCGAGCACTACTACTCTTCTGTTTTGCTTAAACAACTTACAGCTACCAATACTAATTATTTATATGTACAAACTAACATTTGGGAATTAAATGATAAACAACTTGTTAAATCTTTGTATTTTACATCAAGCCTTTGAATTAGTTCCTTTTATCTTTTGGTAAAAAAATATTAATGAAAGACTTACAAATCAAGTTTCTTGAAAATAGTATTTTGTACAAAGAAACTAAATAATTGGAAAGGTCACATGTTGAAGACAGACTTTGCTTCTTTGACTAGGTTGCTTGACCATGAGCAAATTTAAATTTGTTTACAATTTGTTTAAAGAATTCTTTTTATAAATTTCTACTAATTCTTCATAAGACACAAAGAATTTCTTTGCCATCTATTTTTGCTTCTTCTACATCCAACTTCATTGTAACCAATGCATCCGATGTGAATTTGTGGATCACCTGGAATCATAACAAGTATGGATTTGATGAGATGAGACAATAATATGTTTAATTTTTCATGCATATTAATGATATAATCATAATATGCAACAAATCTTAGCACATTGCTCAACACATAATATGCAACAAATCTTAGCACATTGCTTATCTTGGTTTTGAAGTAGTAACCAGTTTACTATAACAATAAATACTTCATTTACAGAAACGCTAAGTAGTACTTTAAAACTGTTTGCATAAATCCAACTTTCCAAACCCATTATAATTGTCTACACTATACATTCAGTCAAATTGAGCAGGCAAACAGTTTAATAGTTATTTTTATTATACAACATATACCATAGTTCGCATTAATTTTGCATGGCACTGCATTCAATTTCAACACAACTCTGTTGTAAACTTTCCCTTCATCTTTTCAAAAAAAACATGAACAAATTATGCCCCATTTTTGGGAGGTAAACTCAATTCAAATCAGGAGAGTTTAGCTTGATGCCTTGAAAATGATACAAGATGGATGCAAAACTCGATAAAAATTGACAGCTTCGACACGTCTGGCGAGCGATTAAGTGAAGAACAAACAAGACTGGACCAAAATAA